GCCGTACCACAGTGACTGTTAGTAAAAGGGGCATCGGGTGAGCAAATCACTCTACTAAATGGTTTTTATTTGAAATGGTGGGGAATATTTGTAGCTTAGGTGGATGGTCTTGGTTGTATTATGTTCTCTGAGCTGGATTGTTTAATCGTTTGAGTTTTTATCGTCTTCCTAGACAATATTTTCAATATGGAGTGAGCCGTCAACACCTCTCCGTGAGTGATTTAGTAGCTTGCTCTGACGATGTGGTCTATGATTGGTTGTTTCCTTCGATTGTTGTTTCATTGATTGACTGTGTAGATTTTCCTATTAACTGTTCCTCTGCTTGACCTGACCGCTGACTTTTCTGTCGTTTATCATTCTTCTCATTGATTGAAAGATTGGATCTATGTCTATACATCCATTGGTTGCTGACTGACTGACCTGAATGCCTAGCTTCTAGGAATTCTCTGATATTCTTTGTTTCCTCTCTCTGTCCAAGATTTTTACATTGTCGAAATTGAATTCATATCCATGGTCGCCCTCTTCGCCTTCGTCTACATCAACACCGCTTGGCTATTAAGCGTCACAACATTTCATCCCTCATCTCAGTGCACGTAGATAACAACTATGGACATGAATTGAATTTTAACAGTGTAGAAGTTTTGGACAAAGGAAACACAAAGAATATCATCAGAGAATCCCATGAAGCTTGGCATTCAGGTCAATCAGTCAGCAATCAACAGATGTATAGACATAGACCCAATTTATCAACCAATGAGAAAAATGATAGACGACAGAAAAGTCAGCAGCCAGGTCAAGCAGATAAACAGCCAACAGGGAAATCTATACAGTCAGTCAATCACACAACAATCGAAGGAAACGAGCAATGACAAAGCAGTTTGTCATGGCAAACTTCTTAATCACTGACAGAGGAATATTGACAGTTCACTTCATACTGAAATTAGTGCTGTTGTTAATGAGGTCTAGAAAGACGATGAAAGCTTCACGACTACACAACCCAGCTCAGAGAATACCTAAGTACTTCATAACCTATGGTGAGATGGTAAGTTGTTTATGTCGAACAACTTCCATTCTCTTCACTTTTATTCAGCTTTGTTGTAGATGTGTTTATGGACGTCTGTGTCTACTCACCTGACTATAAAAAGATTGATCTTGGCACAGGAAATTCTGTAGTCATTCTCTGCCCATAATCCTACGAAACATTGAAGTGATGTTTACTGCGCTTATAATGACACCATATTGTAGGTTTTCAACACGTCTTTTCATCTCTGAAAAGTTATATGCATTCAAAGTTCAGAAATATGAATTTCGGGCCAGTTATATATATATATATATATATATATATATATATATATATATATATATATATATATATATATATATATATATATATATATATAATGTGTCCCTTGGGCTCCTAGTGTAAACATAGGGCTTCAGTAGCACATCTCCATTGTCTTTTTAACCTGGCTGCACGACTGCCAAGAAGCTTTCATTGCTTCATGTCACCTTCAGATATCCAACTCGTTGTTTCGCCTTTGGATTCCACTCGACGGCCTGACGCGTGATGTCTCTGAATGGTTTTGTCAGTGTATACCCCAATTCATGTCCACTTTCTTCTTCTGCATATTTGTTGAGCGATAGGTTCTTGGTTGGTTCGTTGACAGTTAGAGTTCCTTGTTGCTTACTATTCCTGACCATCTGGTCTTCAGCATCGAGCGTAGGCGACAGCTGTTGATGATGAATGCTTGTAGTTTGGTGAAAAAATGCCTTTCGTAACGCGCCAATTTTCTGAATCATATACAAGCACTAACTTGACTGACAATAGTGTTGAAAATCCGCATCTTGTTCACACTTTACGCTGAGTACAGTAGATTTCCACACTGATTTCAGATTAATGAAAGCCTGTCTTGCTTTTTCGATCGTGGTTTTGACATCCCCATCTGTGCCGCCGCTGCCTGTAGTTGAAACAATTCTGCCTAGGCAGGTAGGTGAAAGAGACTACTTCCTTTAGGTTTCTCGCGTTGGTGGTGATGGGTGCTTGTTGTTGGTCGGGTATATATATATATATATATATATATATATATATATATATATATATATATATATATATATATATATATATATATATATATATATATATGGAGAGAGAGAGAGAGAGAGGAGATAATTCAGCGAAGATTTTCCTTTTTCAACAGTATCCTTCTAAAGCTGTACAACTATATTTATGTTTATCGTAAATATATAAGCCTATTATTAAACAATAGGGCATAATTACATCATCAAACTACTACTAAAAGCCGAAATCAAGAATGAAAAGTAGTTGTGTAAGAATCTTTTAGACAGTGAAAATAATGAGGAAAGCAAGGAGTTTGACAAAGTGAAAATTGCTGGTGGATAAGAATCTTGAATATTGAGTATCCATTTGATAGAAAGCTGTAAAGAAGATGAAGAATGAGACAGGGGTCATAATGAAGGTGACAGTATTAACCAAACTCCTTTTAATAGAATCGAAAAATTGTGAAAGTGTATAATTGACACACTAAAGGAGGACTCTAGTGGAACTATGTATCCAGCGCTGACCGAATTTTCAAGAATTTATCATTATTTGTCTCTTGGGTTCCTAATGGAACATAGGGCTTCAGTAGCACATCTCCAGTGCACTCTGTTCTCTGCAAACTTTTGAACCTGGTTCCACGACAGCCCACAAGCTCTCATTTCCTCCTCGCACGATCTCCTCTATGTCACCCTCACCTCGGACGCCAAACTCGTCGTTTCCCATCTGGGTTCCATTCGAGCAACTAGCCTTGCGCGTGGTGTCCCCGAATGGTCTTCTCAGTGTATGCCCAATCTATCTCCACTTTCTTCCAGTGCATATTTGTTGAGTGATAGGTTCAAGCTTCGTTGGTTCGTTGCACGCCAGAGTTCGTTGTTGCTTATTCTTTCTGGCAATCCATCTGATCTTCAGTAACGAGCCAGTGTAGGCAGTTGTTGATGAATATGTGTAGTTTGTTGAAAACCCCTTTCGTAACGCGCCAAGTCTCTGAGCCATACAAAAGCATTGACTTGACGTTGATGTTGAAAATCCGGATCTTGTTCCACATGCTGAATGTAGAAGATCTCCAAGATCTTCAATAATTGAACTGTTATTTAATTTACATTCTCCCCTGGTAACCATGCAAGATTATGCTCAGAGTTACGTTTGAAAAGTGCGCGCTTTGTACGATCTTACATGCATGATGTAGAATTTTCTCGTCATATGTCTGTACTAAATAACTACAATGTCTATGCTTTCGAATAAGACGAATAAAAGGCGTTCCAAAGGGTTAGTTATCGTCACATAACAGATAGTTATTAATCAGCCATAAGGTCTCAGTCGTGTAAGAAGATGTAGATATCAAGGTTGGGGTGTGCTCAGTAACCGAAATGAATATTTAGATTGTATAGGTGATATAATTCAAAATCAATTTCTATTGTAATCCTCTTCTCCCACTTCTCCATTTTTCATTTCTTGACATTCTATCCTAGCAATATAGTAGGATGGGAATTTGTACTGTTATACTGTAACACTAAGTTCCATTGTTAGTATAAACTGATTGATATACACTTACAAATTTTCAACTGTGTTTGAGTCATACAACTAGGTGGCAAACTGAATTTTCTTTAGTCAATATCTACAATGAGATTATATCTAAGAGACAAGTGCATATTCATCCGTAAATTGTTTATAAGCTATAGGTGTATAGTGTAATTAGAAGACAAAGTTTATTTGAACAATGTGTATAATGTGCATTTGAAGAATACACATTTCGAACAATCTGATTCCCTCATATATTTACTTGCCTCAAGTTAATTTGTATTAAATCGAAGGATAAGGAAGGACAAATAAAACAAATGAGGTAATAAGGCGGTTAAAATTAAGAAAAATGGGGACAAAAAGGAATAATGGCATAATTGATCCTAATCTTGGTAAGAAAACAAATTTTCCCAAGGGGTGCGAACAAATTGTTTTTGTCTATGTGAAAGCGGTTTACATTTTCGTATGATTAGTGCACATCTCAGTCAGGGATGTACACAGAAACCTACAGAAGCAACAACTATACACAAACTGAAACCACCCTCATGTTATGTTATGTTACTGACCCGGTGCTCTACTAACTCAGCTATGAGATCCGACTACTGATCAGACTTTTGTTTCACTTCAATGACCATTGGTTTTATCTGACTACCATGTGAACTTGTGATGCGTTACTACAGCTTAATCACTAACCATACTGGCTGCCCACAGTCACGACTTCTCATCCAAATCCAAATTGAACTGATTTAGGGAGAGGGAGTATCATATTGATTATCACTTCTCAGATAGTCTAGATGATAATTAATATGATGCTCCCCCTCTCTAATTCAGTTAGGTTTGGATTGGGATGAGAAGTCCTGACTAGGCAGCCAGTATGAATACGATCAAGTGGTAGTAACGTGTCGTGAATTCACATGGTGATTGAAGTGAAATAAAAATCTGGTCAGCAGTCGGACCTCGTAGCCCACTTGTTACTTGTCGTTGATTGGATCGAACTGATCAATCTTTATTGTCATCATATAGGCTCTTTTGTGGATGGTGGATAACGTTATGGCGTTCAAAGCGATCGGTTTCTGGTTCAAGTCATAGCAGGAACAACATCATTCTGCACTGGGATGCAGGTTTATTCAGCTGATGAGTCCTAAGTTGGACGAAACGCATGTCCTGAATTCTACCCTTAATATGTGTTGCGTATTTTTTTTTAAATAAGAAGAATTACAGTTTATACTAACCCATAGTTTTAAGTAATATCGTTCAGTGTCTGATTGCATATGCTGGTTAAATTAGTGTTTCAGTATTTTGTTTAAATCTCTTAACTGTTGTTTTCTTCTTTCCCGCCATTTAAAAAAAAATCTATGTCCATATTCATATCCGCTGACATAGTAGCTTTGAGTCAACTGATTAATCATCTATTCATTCTGATATGTCTTCAAATAACACACTATCAATTGGATTACCTTTACATACACTTAACCCAATCGATGGACAAGATGGACTTAGTTTGACTAGACAAGAAATTAATCGACTTATCCTGGAATATCTTGTAGTTGAAGGGTATAAAGATGTTGCTGAGAAATTTAGTCGTGAGACAGGAATTGTTGAACCATTAGATGAATTACAAGTTGCAGGCGCAAGTTTAAATGATCGTATGTGGATTCGTGAAGCAGTCCTTTTAAGAAAGATTGAAGATGTTATTGATACTGTCAATCGACTTTGGCCTGAACTTTTTGATAAAAATCCTTTTATTTATTTTCAAGTAAGATATTCTATTTTTATATTCATGAAAAATTATGTTTAAAAAATATTATACATAATCTAACTTCTTTTTTTTCAGACAAGTACTTTAATGATAAATTAGGATGTTATAATTATTAAGTGGGCTAATTATTAGAATGAATGAATTTTCAAGGTCATCCTACCAACTCCTGAAATAACCAATCAGGTTTCAATATTCTGACCACAAAAATAACGAAGCCTAATTGGCTATCTCAGCAGGTGGTAGGCTGGGTCAGTCACTCCTACAGCGTAGTGCAACAACTTGAACTAGTACAATTCAACATAGTACAACAACACAATACAGTTAGAAAATGGAGAAAAGGAAATAACATGTGATTATATCGATTTCTACTTATCCAATTATTTTTTCTATTACTGTTTTATAAATTTTAAGGTTTATCAGGATTTATTTATTGATTTCCGGTTGATATTAGTTGGAAGAACATTCGAAACCTGAGAGCAATGGACAGCTTGTTTCGTCTTAGTGTGGGACTGCTTAGCACTGTGCACCCATTGCCCCACCTCTCTGGGGTTGAACTCCAGGACCTTCAGGTTTCACAGCCAACGTGTTAACCATTTGATCCCTAGCCAGGACGTAGGTGCGTACTACTGAGGTGTCCCCTACTAGAAAGAAACAGCTGTCCAGTGCTGTGGTGCTCCATATATATACTCAGGGTAGCAATAATTCAATGACCCTATTGGTCTTCAACTTCGCTAAGTACGCTGATGACGTGACAGTATCCATGCCGATCATCTCCTCTTCAGATTATTCTCTGTTTAATTACTTCTTAAACGAAATTGGTCACTGGTCTTCCTTAAATGGTCTCACACTCAATCCCTCCAAATGTCAGATGTCTATTTTTAGCTTAAGATGTGAACAAGACTTTTTCTACATTGCTTAAGTCCTATGACTATTATCTTGTAGGTGGATCTGTTGTGGAGAATGTAACAATCGTGATGCATCTTGGCTTATGATTTTCTTATGATCGTAGTGATTTCCAGGAAAATCTTTCGCTTGACGTTTTATATCAAGGAACTCAAACTATCTGGTATAACTGAACCTCTACACTTACATTTATTTCTTGTTATTGCTCACTCCTTATTCTTTCCTGGACTCCGGCAAAAGACTAGAAGGTATTGCGAAAGATTTTGATGGCTGTTAGTAGAGCAAGTGGCCCACCACTAACCGTGCTGATACATGTTGTTGTGGATAGACATCTGAACGCTTGTAGAAAGCTCTGGCTAAAAATATTTTATCTAATGACATGCATTTTCTATATCCCCATCTTCCTTTATGTCTGCCCTCTGGGGAGACAAGAAGCAAAGTACATTAAAGTCATTGCATGCACAACTACATACAGAAGTTCGATGAGAACGGCATTTGACTCCGTTGATCGAGAAGTCGTATGGCAATGTCTCACTGAAAAGCGTGCCAAGCAAGTACATCACCTTATTGAATGCTCTCTACTCGAACACTTGTGGGTGTGTCAGAGCCTGTAGTGAGATGTCTGAGGAGCTGTACTCGTCAAGCGGTGACGTCAAGGCTGCCCATTGTCTCCATTCTTATTCAATTTTATCATAGATATTCTTATGGAGGTCTCCCTCTCGTCATCTGACTACACAGAGGTTGACTTAATCGCGGGAGATTTGGGTTAAACCTAGAATACTCAGATGACACAGTCCTGTTAAGTGAAAACGCTGACAAGATGCAGAGTCTTCTGAACACTTTGAGTGGGAATTCAGGAATGTTTGGGATGCGTTTCTCACCACACAAATGCACATTGTTGCTCCACGATTGATCTTCAACGGTGCTCCACCGTGGCTAACAATAGAGAGTGAGTGTGTTGACCACCTCACTTACCTGCGAAGTAGGATCCAGCCCTGGTGCATTACTCAGTGGCCGATGAAATCTCCGCACGAATACAAAAGGCTCGACTGGCTGACTTTTGCCAACCTACGCCACCTATGGCACCACCGTGATATCCAATTGACTATTGAGGGTCGCGTGTACTGCACCTGCACAGCAGTCCGCTCTCTTCTACTCTATGGCTGCGAAACATGACCATTGAAGGTGGAAGACATGAGAAGGCTTCATGTGTTTGACCACCGTTGACTTCGTGGCATAGGCCGTATTCCGTGGTGGCACCACGTGAGTGAGTAACGCAGACATCAGGTAAGTCAGTTGACGAGGTTGTGAACCTTCATCGACTGAGACGGTTGGGACACGTGTTACGTATGTCTAGTCACTGATTGCCTTGTCACATAATCTTGGCCACAGTAGGTTCAGGCTGAAAAAAGGCTGGTGGCAGCCAGACTAAAACATGGTATCAATGTATGCAGTATTCGGCTGTTGGTTTGAGCTATATGGAGCGATACAGACTAGTCGGTTGAGGTCGGCGGGACAAGAGAAGCCAGCGATTGTAGACTGACTCTAGGTGATCATATGGCTGAAAATCGAAGTCAGTGGCGCAGATGTACACACACAATACCCTTAACGCGATACCGAACCTCACAATCTTCGCATTCTTCCTTTCTCTCTTTTCGTACTTTATATTCCTTCTGACTGAATTTTTCTTTTCTTTATCTTCCACTTCACTGCCTTGTTTGCTTGATTTAGGGATATGTGGCGTGGCAACTCGAACCGTTACACAGTAAGAAATGCATGGTCTTATGTTTATGGATGATGATGATGACAGCAATTCCACCATATCACCTTATTTAACTTATGTATTGTATGAAGGAAATCATGTTAGACATAGTCTTATCAATCGGCTTTGCATTAATGAACAATTATCATGTCTCTAAAGTCATTAAACATTTCAATAATCCTGTTATTCATTGTCATACATTGTTAATATAGATTTGACAAATGTTGTACAACGGATACACTGATGCCAATATCATATGCTGAGAATTCTGTTCTGTTGTAAACACAATTATAGTTTGGAATATAGCAAAGCTTGTATTACTATTATTATTATTAGTGTTGTTTCTTGTATATTATCCCATCGTTCAATGAAGCGAATTGATCGGTCTTTATTGGCATTTGACGTGTTGCACGGATGCCTCGATATTGCCTGTGTTTGAGTTATGTAATAATGGAGACGACATTGCTCATTGAGGGACGCAGGCACATCCAGTTGATAAGTTCCGAATAGCGTCCGAAAACGCCCGTCAAGCTGGATTCTAACTGGTAGCCACTATCTATTATTATTATTATTATTATTACTATTATCTAGTGTAACACTCAGATGGTTTAGAAGAAAGGAAAGGTACCTGCAGACTGCATCATCCTGTCCAGCCGACGACAATTCGGAAGATCATCAGTGATATTAGGTAGTGAGTTTGTCTTACTCCTTCCTGTCTTCACTTCAGAGGCACCTCTGTGCTTTCCATTGCAAATCACTTGGCGTGTCGGGTTGTCATATAGCCGTTGAATAAGATTGATAAAGATTTGTGGCACTAACAGTGTAGTGTTGAAGCAGCTGCCTACCAAATTACTTCTCGGTCGATGCTATCGAAGCAAGGCTTTTTCAAAGTCAATGAAGTTGAGGTGAATAAAGAGTAGTGTAGTGTTGCAAAGTCAGAATCGGAAAAGCAAGACAGGCGTTCATTAGCCTGAAACCAGTGTGGAGAACCACTTCACTGCACTCAGCATGCGGAACAAGATCCGGATTTTCAACACCAACCCAGTCAAGTCAGTGCTTCTGTATGGTTCAGAGACTTGGCGCGTTACGAAAGGGATTTCCAATAAACTACTGATATTCATCAACAACTGCTTACGCTGGCTCGCTACTGAAGATCAGATGGCCAGAATAATAAGAATAAGCAACAAGGAGCTCTAGGAACGAACCAACCAAGAACCTATCACGCAACAAATATGCAGGAGGAAGTGGAGATGGATTGGGCATACATGAGAAGGCCGACTGGGGAAATCACGCGTCAGGCCAGTTGCTCGAGTGGAATCCCCATGGGAAGAGACGAGTTGGACGTCCGATGTAAGGGTGGGACGGAGGAGGTCGTACGAGGAGGAAATGAGAGGTTGTGGGCTGTCGTGGAGGCAGGTTCAAAAGATCTCAGAGAACAGAGGTCACTGGAGATGTGCTACTGAAGCCCTTTGTTCCATTAGGAACCCAAGGGACTAATAATAATAATAGTGTTGCAATTTGATCCTCATATGATTTATTCATCATAAAGCCAGCCAGCCTGTTCTGGTTATGATTTTAAATCCAACGGCTTAATATTTTGCTTGGAGTGGAGCATGATTCCTCATCATTTCTTGCAAAGACTTAAATCATCCTTCTTTAAGAGTTCCACTCGGTAGGTACCTTTTCTTTCAAATTTTCTGCAATAGTGGTGTTCAATACTAATCTGAAATAAATACAATCGCTATACACCTTAATATAGAACAATTATATATTCTTCTTTACACATTTTTTTTTCTTAAAATTTCGTTATTTCGATTATTATTTAGCTTCGTCAATTACAAATGTTGGAGTTTATTCGAAACAAGCGTTTAGAAGAGGCGCTTATCTTTGCACAATCTTATTTAGCTGATCCAGTAGCAAAACGTTTATCAGAACATCCAGAATTATTGAATGAAATGCAAAATACAATGGCGCTATTAGCATTCGATAATCCTGCTGAAAGTATTTATGGTAAATTACTTAGTCCACAACATGCTGAAGTAGTTGCTGGTGCTTTAAATCGAGCCATTCTACGACATATTGAATTATCAGGTGATGAAATGATTACATCAGAAGATGGTAAAGGTTGTGTATCTACAAATTCTATTCATTATTCTGGTGTATCATCTACTGTACCACGTTTAACAAAAATGATGGCAATGTTATTACATTTTCGTGATTTAGCCCAACTTGAATTGCCACCAGAGTTAGCATCATTATAAACAACCTAATTAATTAAGTGAAATGCTTAAATTATTTCCCTTTTTAATTCTTTGGGTTTATATATATATATATATAAACTGAATTACTCTATAAAGGCAGCAAGGTTGTTTACTTGCAATTCTCAGTGGTAAACATGTACAAATTATATCATAAACAGTGTAGTAGTTGAAGTTTCTATCTAGAGATTTGTGAATTTGACTGTTTTTGAAAAGAAGAAACAAACAAACAAACAAACCTTCTTGACGTATTTCCAGGTTATTACTATGATAAAACACATTGTTCTGTTCTTTTCCGATAAATAGGAAGAGTAGATTGGTCATAAGAGTGCTTTAGTGCGAGTTGACACATTTGGTAATATTTCAAGTTGTTTAATCATCGTAGACTGAAATCAGTTGGAGGAAAAAAAGGAAACCTGGGAGCAATGGAAAGCTGTTTTGTCCTAATATGGGACTATTCAGCAGTGCGCACCCACGACCCCACCAGCAGGGATCGAACCGCGACCTTTAGGTTTCACGGCCAGCGCGTTACCATTGAGACTCTAACCCAGTGGCTCAATCGTAGCGCGGTGGCCGTGGGTTCCATCCCTGGCGGGGTCGTGGGTGCGCACTACTGAGGAAATGCCATGCGCCACAATGCCAGCAGGGGGAAGGTGGGGTCTTCTTCGTGTTTCTTTTAGTATTGTATGAGCTGCTGGGATGACGAGCAGGAGACGAAGAACCAAGGGGTCTTTGGGCCAGAAAAAGATGCAGAGGAATTAGATTTCCGGCGAACTACATGCACTTCATGATCACCCTGGCGTACGGATTGGACTAAACTTATATCCCGTTGTAGGTTCACGAAACGTTGACATTCAGCAGCGATATCATTCAACGTTAAAGTTGGTTCTTGTGTAGAATTCGATGAGTCAGCTGCAGGAATTCTGGACTCAGTTAATAATTCGATAATCTTCATTTGTAATTCCCATTGCCACTGTTATACTTTCAAACGCTAATGGTTATATATTCCAAAACGAATATAATACGCACGCTTAGCTAACAGCTAACTGAGTACGCAAGAGTCACTGATTGCAACCCCGGGATGAAAAGAGAGAAGACCCAAGTTGGAAGATGGGAGAGTTTATTACTATGAAAAAGTTCATCGTCCAGTGTTTTAAAATAATAACAATCCATCCAAAACACGTGCATAAGTGTACACATGAAAATGACCTTGTCTGCAATTGGTGTGGGAATGACACGTTTAAATGTTCAGATCACTAACAATGTTTTATACAAAACTGAGGCATCACAACAATATCCTTGAAGTTATTTCAAGACTTGATGATCCCGTTAGCCTTGATGTTAAGAAAATGACTGACGAACATAGTCTTCATAAAATACATTTACAGAGACCTGCAGGCTTATGGTGTGAATGAGGTGTCCGGCTAACCTTTAATGACGACCAATCACGTTCGAGTATGCACTGACCAATAAGAATAAAGTATATGAAAGACAGTGTAATTACTAAGGGAAATGGTATTTTATTTCCAATTTAGAAACTTGAAGCTGATTCCACATTTTTTCTACGCTGTTTGTGTGCCGCAGAATTTTCTACTTAATGAAGTGCTTCTTGTGAACAATAACTTAATGAGGATAACCCATTTCAGATAACAGGATGTATAAATTCCAAGAGTCTATGTATATTATATTACCCGATGTCACCCACTTTTGTATGACTGGTAGAATAGATCCTTCTGATTTATCTTTTATCCATTGACAAAGTACTTCACGTGTATTTCGATCATATATAAGAGGAATCTGTGATTTGCAATTGCAACCCCCAGTCCTCATTTTCCTCGGTTATATTTACGCTTGATACGTTAGGTACACAGTGTATTCATTCCCTTAACATATTTACAATTTAGACTCCTCGCAAGCAATCCAACTCTCTACAGATAACCGACAACATAGGCTTTGTCAGAGTTTACATGCGACTGCAATTATCTAGTAAACGGACGTAACGAATGACCTTGAGTACAGCATCTCCAACCTGATTGGTCGCTCTTAATGTTTCCTGCCAATAAAGTTTATCTCTACCTAATGAGGTTGGGAAGTCGATGAAATTATCAATAAAATTCTGCAAAATATCTGAAGGATCAAAATCAACACTACCAAACTAATCGTCTAGAATGTAGCTACAACTGAATAGGGCAATGCTACCTACCATTCATAACATTCTTTCGTAGTAAAGTGGAATATCATATTTGAAACCAGTTCAAGTACACAAGCATAGATATTTGGTATTGATAGTTGGTAGTAGTCGATTAACAGCTTTGGACCTAGTTTCGCGCTTCTTAGCACTCACCAGCAAGGTGGTTCTGCAACCGTGAAGCTGGTGTCACCTCGATGATTCGAACCAGCATCGATGAGTGTTGAGGTTAAAAACTTAACCACTAAGTTATCCAGTCGACCTCCAACCCCCCCCCCCCCATAAGAATAGGATGTGTGCATAAATTAGTGAATACTGCGCAAAAGATATAGCTCTTCGCTTCCTAGTGCTTAGCACTGATTGAAGTACACTCAACAAACGTTTGTACATTCATGTAGTAGTAGGCCATAAGTCACACACACACCTGTTGTGTGAGGGTCAAAGATATCACCCGTCTGCCCAAACCTCGGTAGGTGGAACGGAGGATTCGAACTCCTGACTCACTGGTTGAAAGTCAACCTCCCAAACCAGTGAGCCACAGCTCCACGACTTGGTGTTAGTAAATACTCCTTGATTATTATACTGAACCGAAATGGTCTATTACTGTTGCCTTATAGGGCCTTTGAACGGATGCATCAATCTTCAATATAGGATAATTTCCCTGTTAATGGCTAGCAATAGGATCTAGTACCCATTTCATCACGTTTAGGACGATAATAACTATGCAGACTTAGTTTATTTAGGGACCAGTAATAGCCCACAGCTGAAATGTTAACAGTGTATAACTAAAAAGTTCCTAGAAGTTAACGAAATAAGGTTTACAACAGGTCAATCAGTAGTTTGATACTGACATGTATTATACTGGAAATGGAATATCTAGGATATGAAACTGATCAACTAGACCATAAAAGTGGCCGCTCAAGGAGTTTTCCTAATTACGTACTGTTATTTTCATTTCCTAATAAATTTTTGTCATTCTTGTTAGTTCTCCTTTTGTCTAAATTAGATGGGAGTTCTGTGAAATGTAGTTGTATGAACCGACTTCAAGGTAATTCACTTCATAAAGTTATTGTTTAAGATAACAGAATGACGACTGATACTGTGAGACAAAACGTCGACAATGGCCTAGAAAATGCCCTAAAACTAACACCAGTTTTTTTCAAACTAAGTTTACAACAGATAGTTTAATCAAGGATAATCTGTATTGTGTATATAAACTGGGAGCAATGATATTGAAACACAATAGGAGTTGACGCTAACAAACTTCAGAAATCCAGTATGGTGACTGGTTTACTTTGTTAAAAGACTGATTAACAGAAAGCCATTTGTACAAGGTGTCCGTATATCTGATGTTCAAGCTAAGGTGGGTAAAGCCTAAACTCCACACCAGTGGGATAACGCACTCCTTATACTGAAATCATTTGCAGAGGGAATAGAACAACCAATCATAAGACAGACCATAAAAACTGTTAAGAGATATACAACGAATCTACTGTTGACTCATGAGACAATAAGGCAGATTTCTACTGAGTGAGTGATACAATATCACTGAACTGTGTGCTCACGTACTCATACTAAACTATATAAACTTCCCTCCAAAATATCTTACAATAAGCTGTTCTTTGATGGAGTCCACTATTCCCATCATGTGGAGCTATTGGCTAATCCGGTCACGGGTTCGAACCCCGCTTCAGCGGCCAAAGTTTCGGCAGCCAGGTAGTAGTATAGGTAACCTTCACACAACAGGTGTGGCTAATTGTCTACTGCGTAAATGTGCACAAGATTCCTCCCTTGAGGTCTTTTCATACCAGAAAGATCTGTTGGATAGTGGTTAACCAAAAAACAGTTACCATTATCGTGTAAATTGCTACGCTATGATGAAGATGTGAGGGCGAAGTCGTACTGCTGACTGGATGAGGGAGTCGGTGACAGCAGCATAGTGTTTCACTTGGATGACCAGCATTGCCGTGGTGATGCTGCCTTCCTAATTGAAAGGGGGGGGGTTGTAAAAGGTAAGCCCCAAAAATAGCACAGTGCTATCCTTTGCGGTATGCCATTTTCTATAAAGAGGATTCATAGTCAGATTCAAAACCAAAATATCAAAGTTGCCAAAATGCTGTGCGTAAGCAGCCTCAAGTAGATATCCCTTGGTCTTTGCGGTCGCACACTGTCCATCCTTTTCGGGTACCCTATGGTGTAGGCAGCCAGGAAGTGTCAAATGCCTACATGATTCCAGTAGGTACAAAAGACACAACCAACTCTGTGTCCTCTTTTCTTATCACCTCCTGATACTGATATTAGACCCTTTACGCCTCACCCAACCTCTCATTCTGCAACCATTGCCAACGATCGAAATTCATTGACTGTAGCTCTCCTTTTTTCCAGTTCTGGATAAAACACTGTGCAGTGATAGATGGCTGGAGGTAATCTGTATTGGACTTAAATTTCGTGCTTATTGAAACTTGTCAACAAGGCGTATATATACAACTTCGAGAAAACTAGTGTCCCCTCAGATACTTAAACCTACATCACCGAATCGGGTAATCAAACACATTATCACTCAGTCATTTGGGTAACGACTGACCTCGTGTAAAGCAGGGGATCAGATAAACTGGAGAATAACATTTCATGGTACATAGTCCTCTCGACCGCTGTTAAGCAACACGATGATGAATCTTCTACCTCGGTAAAAAAAACAAACTAAATCGATAGACAGAATTAGGTTGGCACTGAAAAACATGAGATAGTTTCTTCCGTAGTAAAAAATCACAATCCACAATACAATGTAACAATTTCTATGTTAAGCGTGCTATCAATTAAAATGATATAACCATGAAGTTGTTACAAACAGTGCAACGGATTTTTGATGGAACTCACCAACTCGAGCTACATTTATGTGATGAGTAACAGTAACTGATACAACTCAAAGTTTCGAAGTAATAAAATAAGCACTTTACCATATACTATAAAAATAATTATTGTAAAAGCATACAGAAAAAGCTTTGAAGTGACGACAGGAGTAAGACAAGGCTGCCTACTATCCCCCATGATATTCCTGATTGTGGTGCACTGGATCATGCAGCAAACTGTGAGGAGTGAGATGGGCGTACGCTAGACCGAGGGAAAGAATGTAGAAGATTTGGATTTCGCCGCCGATGATGATTTATGTCTGATATCTTATGGCGTAAACTCGAAGATCTACAGGCGAAAACTAACAAGTTGATAGAAGTGGCAGGGAAGCGAAAACGGAACTTCAAGTGAATGTAGAGAAGACAGAGGTGATAAAGATACTCAACGAACAACAGCATCAACAACAAGAGGCACTAATCACTAATAATGGGCGAAACCTGAAGGAAGTGGTCTCTTTCACCACCTGCCTAAGCAGCGTCGTTTCAACTACAGGCGGCGGCGCAGATGAGGATGTCAAAGCCAGGATCGGGAAAACTGTAAGACAGACCTTCCTTCATCAATCTGAAATCAGTATGGAGATCTACTGCACTCAGTATAAAGTGTGGGCAAGATCCGGATTTTCAACACCAATGCAGTCAAGTCAGTGCTTCTGTATGGTTCAGAAACTTCACGTGTCACGAAAGCATTTCAACAAACTACACACATTCATTCAACAACTGCTGCCTACGCTCATTCGAGCAGATCAGATGGATTGCCAAGAAGAATAAGTAACAAGGAACTCTGGGAACGAACCAACCAAGAAGCTATCGCTCAACAAATATGCACTGGAAGAAAGTAGAGATGGATGGGCATACACTGAGAAGGCTGACTGGGGACATCACGCCCCAGGTCAGGCCCTCGACTGGAATCCTCATGGAAGCAGTCGTGAGGCGAGGTTCAAAAGACTGCAGAGAAGTGCAGAGTGCAACGTAGGCGTGCTACTGAAGCTCTATGTTCCACTAGGAACCCAAGGGGAAAAAAAGATAATAATATAGAAAAGTGTTCCAGTTATTTCAACGTTAATAAATCTAAATGATAAGTTCTGTTTATATTATTAAATGACATTCAACTTCAATTTTTGTTGAAAAGTATATTTTCCTTGATACTACGAATTATACTGAAATAAATAAGATTGAAAATATATATCAAATATGAGAAAAGGAAATCTAGTAGTATAGCATGGTTAGCTGTATAATACAATGAAGTAATCCCGATAACGAATGTTCAACAAAAGTTTATCTATTTTTCATTTATATGATTTATGAATAAAAGTGTAACCAATAACGTTATTCGAAGATAAAGATAATCTCATCTAATTATCCAAGTAAATATAAGACCAGGGATTACTTAATGCGTAATGGTCTGATTTGCCATACCTCATATCAGTACATCAAGTAAACAAGCCAGTGAAGTGGAAGATGAAGAAAAGAAAATCCAATCAAGAGAAATATATAAAGTATGAGAAGAAAGAAAGAAAGAATGAGAAAATGGTCAGATTCGGTATAGTGTCGTTAGGATGAGGATAATGTGTGGCGATGCATCTGCGCTAGTGGCATCGGTTCTCAGCCATGTGATCACCTAGAGAGTCAGTCGACAACCACTGGTTTCTCTTATCCTACCAACCCCAACCGGTTAGTCTGAATCGCCCCATATAGCTCAAACTAACAGTCGAACAATGCATATACTGATACCATGTTTTAGTCAGGCCGCCACCAGCCTTTTTTCAGCCTAAACCTACTTCGGCCAAAATTGTGTAACAAGGCAATCAGTGACTAGGCATACGTAACACGTTTCCCAACCATCTCAGTCGATGAAGGTTTACAATCGTGTCAACTGAGTCATCTCACCACCCTAAAACTCTACACCTGACTTCTGCATTACTCACTCATATGTGAAACCACGAAATACGGCCTATATTACGAAGTCAACGGTGGTCAAACACATGAAGCCTTCTCGTGTCTTCCACCCTTCATGGTCATGTGCGAGTGCAGTACACGTGACCCTTAGTAGATAAGGTAATATGATAACAGCCTTCAAGATACAAGATATACAGGAATAATCATGGGCGCATACTAAAATTCACCGAAGCGTTAGTCATTCGTGAACCTAAGCCACAGCTGTGGGTACAAAAACAATCTGTTGTTTCACTTAATTTACCTTGGTAAGCCTTGCTAATCTGATTATATTACCAAGACTAGTGTCACAGCCTTTTCATATTCATTATATTTCATCTTCACATATAAATTGATTTGAGACAATTATATGTGTGTTGTGTGGGGGGGGGGGGTCAGATTGTTCGACATGTATCGCGCAAATTATATTATTATTTGTCCCTTGGGTTCCTAATGGAACATAGGGCTTCAATAGCACGTCTCCAATGCACTTTGTTCTTAGAAATCTTTTGAACCTACCTCCACGACAGCCCACAAGCTCTCATTTCCTCCTCGCACGATCTCCTCCATGTCACCCTCACCTCGGACGCCAACTCGTCGTTTCCCATCTGGGTTCCACTCGAGCAACTGGCCTTGCACGTGATGTCCCCGAATGGTCTTCTCAGTGTATCCCCAATCCATCTCCACTTTCTTCTGCATACTTGTTGAGAGATAGATTCTTGCTTCGTTCGTTCATTGACAGCCAGAAATCCTTGTTGCTTAATGTTTCTGGCCTGCTGACCTGATCTTCAGTATCGACCCAGCGTAGGCAGCAGTTGTTGATGAATGTGTGTAGTTTGTTGGAAATCCCTTTCGTAACGCGCCAAGTCTCTGAACCATACAGAAGCACTGACTTGACTGGGTTGGTGTTGAAAATCCGGATCTTGTTCCGCATACTGAAGTGGATCTCCACACTGGTTTCAGGCTAATGAAAGCCTGTCTTGCTTTTCCGATTCTGACTTTGACATCCTCGTCAGTGCCGCCTGTAGCTTCCTAGATAGGTGAGGGAGGCTACTTCCTTGCGCAAATACACATTACATATTGTTCAAATAATCTTCGTCTTTTAGTAGCGTTATCAAAGTATCAAAACCTGAATAATTTATACCATTCATTCGAATATTCAGTTGATGAGTTCACCGACTTTCTTCAAAATGTTTTACACCAAAGTGTAGATGAAGCCGAACTTGAATTTTAACTCCAAGTAAACTGGTTTAGTGAAAAAAATGAAATGTTATCCAAACACTAAATTATTACTTCAAGACAGTTTCAAACTCTTTTATATAAAGTTTAATTGAGCTTTAAACGAAGTGAACGCTTTTCTTGGCAAAGAGTATTTAAAACATATAACATTCCATGTAGTGCGGGAAAAAATATGGGTATTATATTGTCAGTGTATGGTTACACTTACAAGAAAGTAAGCGGAAATCATTCACCACCGCAGAAATTAACCCATTATCAATTAATGAATGTCAATATGGGATAAGGCTATGGTTCAAGTTGCTACACTGCATATCAACACAAAGCAGTCAGATGAAAGATGAAGTAAGAATGAGGAAATGATGAGTTTAGTACAGCGTTTAGGATGAAGATGAGTCATGTCACCTGGAGTCGCCAATCAATGATTTCTCTTGTCACACGGATCCCAACCGGTTAGTCTGTATCTCCCAACATCGCTCAAACTATACGATCACCCTCAGCCTTTTTCCAATCTGAACCTACTTCAACTAACATTCAGCGATGAGGTAGACGGTGACTACGCATACATAACACGTGTCCCAGCCAGCCATCTCAGTCGATGAAAGTTCTCGACTTTATCAACTAATGTTTCTCTCCTTTCTAAAAATCTACACCTGACTCCTGCTTTACTAACATGGTGGCACCACGACATACAGCCTATGCTACCAAGGCAACAGTAGTCAAACACTAGAAGCCTTTGCATATCTTTGATGGCCATCTTTCAAAACCATAGGATAGAACACATCTAACTGGAGCACAGTACACTCATCCGACAACTAGATATCGAAGGCGGGAACCCAGATAGCAAAAAGCAATCGAATAATTCAATCGTTTAAGTAGCTCAATTGGTAGAGTATCTAGCCGGTAAACCGGTGGTCGCTGGTTCGAATCCGATCACAGTACAAACATTCATCTCGCCTTTAATCATCACCCAATTTAAAAAAAGGATTACAAAAACGAAAAATGAATTTTCAAAAAATATTTTATTCTTTTATAATACTAAAGTACATAAAAATCAATAAAGAAAGTAACTTTACAAAGGACATATACCTAAATTAATCCCGTTTGACAGAAAGTTTCATAAGTTTCGGTTGAAATGAGTTGGAATTGGGAGCACTTGTTTGAGCTTTTCTAAATATTAAAAAAAAACAACACAGTAAAGTATTTGATGCCAAAGAGTTCGAATCCATATCCTAATTTATTCATAGATATAATTTACAATTAGTCATTGAAAATTAATCGATTTTTATCTTCTCTGACTCTAAGTGTTGACTAAGAAAACTTTTCATCATACTAATCTTAATTGATGTTCAACTGTTGAAGGTAATCAACAGGGAATCCTGAACTTATCAGCAATAGCCACACAGGAACATAGTGCTAAGTGGCTTCCCCTCTCCAAAGATCTTAACTCTCAACAGAAGATATAGTATTCCGATCAGATTGGTTCATATATGTGAGTTAAGAACAGTTATCTACAAATTGTAGACAAACATTGTTTACAGGTAATAACTAGCACCGGATTGCTTTCAACCACCTACCTAATGTAACTCGAAGTGCAATTAGGAAAGATAATTAATGATGGGACTGAACGCTTATAGCATCCACTTAACAAAGTTGAAAAGTAGTAGTGATGAATAGTGAATAAGAGTGGAATCCAGTATGCCCATTTCGTCTTATTTGGGACTCATCATCTGGATGTATCTGCCTCCTAGTGAGTGATGTTGTTCCCATCGGGATTCGAACTCGGGACCGATCACTTCAAATGTCAGAGCTTTATCCACCACACCACCAAGCCACTTGTTGTGCGACGGGTATAGTTTTAATATTATTGCTTGTATTATACCGTCGTTGATTGGACCGAATTGATCGGTCTCTATTGGCATATTGGGCTCCTGTGCGGATGCCTAGATATATTGCCTGTGTTTTTAACTACAGATTGATGATGGATAGTGGCTAGCAGTAGAATCCAGGATGTGGACTTCGTCCTATTTTGGGCTCGTCATTCAGGTGTATCTGCCTCCCAGTGGCTCAATGGTCTAGTGGATAATGCTCTAACGCTTGAAGTGATCGGTCCCGAGTTCGAGTCCCGTTGGGAACAACATCACTCACTGGACAGATACATTCAGATGACGAGTCCCAAATAGGGTGAAGTCCACACCCTGGATCCTACTGCTAGTCACTATCCATCATCAATCTATTAAAACACAGACGATATCGAGGCGTCGGCATAGGAGCCCATATGCCAATAGAGACCGATTCAATCAACGATGGTATAATACAAGTAATCACACTTAAGTTGAAAAATGCTGATTATATCAAATTTCAATGGTTGCTGAACGTAAATGTAAGAAATCAGAAATGTCTTACATCAGACTCTAGAAAGACGTGAAGAGTTTAATTATTTTCAATGAGTTTCCAGATGATGACAATCTGTGATGACAGTTATGCTGTCGACACAGTTCAGATTGCTTACAATACGACTGCAGTAATAAAGGATTAATACGGGTTGAAAGTCAATTATATCCATCTACATCAACATCACTCAAAATTTACTTAGTAAATATCTGCATATCAATCAAGTCGAATTAAAATCCAGTTAGCTATTTTGTACACTTTTATGCCACATATAATGTGAAACGGTTAATGATACTACCTGATTGTGCGGATCTCAGTAGGCAGGAGGTTCGAACTAGCAACTCCACTAGCTGAAAGTCAACTGCCTAAACGCATTGAAGAGCCGCAACCCAATCATTAATCAATCAACCATTTTCAAAGTTGTTTTCAATGTGGATATAATCTGCCTACATGAAATATGTTCTGCTCAACGTTCTCGCCATCTATCCAGGGAATTTATTACCGTCTTATACGATAGATGTTCGGGTATATCATGATATGTTTGAGTATCTACAGATCGATTCGGTTAAATAGTAAACAGACGACTAACAAAATTGGAATCTAGTTAGGAAGTCTGCTGATCTCTCTGGAACTGAATGCTATGCCTACCGGTTGATAAAACTAAGCACAGTAGATCACGTGGATCAATATCATTGTCTTGAGGACTAAGTTGTGCGCTGAAAACGTGAACACAAGGTTGCAACATAGAATAGATATCTGTTTATCACAATGAACCGTGAATAGATTAAATTACTTCTAATCCCACCTAGCCTGAAACCAGTGTAGAGTTCTTCTTCACTCAGCATAAGGCGTGAACAAGATCCGGATTTTCAACACCTATACATTCAAGTCAGTACTTCTGTATGGCTCAGAGACTTGGCGCGTCGCCAAAGGCATTTCCAACAAACTACACATATTCATCTACACCTGCCGCCTACACTGGCTCGTTACTGAACATCAGATGGATTGCCAGAATAACAAGAATAAGAAACAAGGAACTCTGGCTGGCTAGCAACGAACCAACGAAGCAAGAATCTATCACTCAACAAATATGCACTGGAAGGAAGTGGAGATGGATTGGATTGGGCATACACTGAGAAGACCAATTGGGGGACATCACGCGCTACGCTAGGCCAGGTGGTCGAGTGGAATCCAAAGGGGAAACGATGAGTTGGGCATCCCAGCTGAGGGTGACATGGAGGAGATCGTGTGAAGAAGAAATGAGAGCTTGTGGGCTGTCATGGAAACAGGTTCAAATCTTTTCAGAGAACAGAGTGCACTGAAGCCCTATGTTTGACTAGGAACCCAAGGGACAAATAATAATAATAATCCCACCTAGCCAAAATAGAAATGTTTGATAACTGACTATAATACCTAATATCCAACATGCACTACGACTTTAGACCCTGATGTCAACTAATAAGTAAGTTAGTAATATTACAAAAGTAGCGCTGCTATTAATTTTATCAATAAGCAACCAAACTCTACCTGGTTTAAAGGGGACATCATATTTAAAACACCAGTAATGATCAACTAGGTTATCGCAGTATAGAAACTCAAGGTAGTAAGTAGTAACACAACAGTTATGATAAATCACTAATCTAATTACAGGTAATAGATAGATTATTTCAAAAGAAAAACTTACCGTTTCCAACCTGTTGTAGTAGATGATGATCCTGATGAAGTGGAATTCGATTTGAATTGATACTTTCCAAATAAATAATTCCCTTTACGTTTCCGTTCATTTGTACTGGATGTAGTCTAACAAAATGGAATAAAGTAAAACATAAGTTGATGATTGTAAATATGACACAGAGGGTCTTGAAGAGTATTATTGTAATAGGTACTACTCATCAGAATGGATATAAGTAGTATATGTTGAGAGGACAGTAGAAAGCATAGGCAATTACCGGCAATGGGTAAAAATTTTGACCAGAGAAACGCAAAAGACGATATAGGCATATTAGAAGCAAATCAAGATAGAAGTAGAAAAGGAAATGAAGCACATTTTGCAAATGACTGTTTGAGTGAGAAAGGTACAATATTTCATCACTTCTGTACAAGATGTCAATAATAAGCATTCTTTATCGTTTCCTACAATTGGTGTCACTGCTTCTGGATATGATGAAGATTCCCTGGCCTACAGTGTTCGAGGGTGGAGACATCAAGGTCTTCGTCAGGGAATTAAAGTCAGTCGCAGAGCTGGTGAGTGTCTGAGATCCAAGAGCGAAGATTGTGGTGCTTGGCACGTTGCTAAGGTGTAGAGTGAAAGCAGCATATAACGGCGTGAATAAGAAGGAGATTTAAAAAAGAATGGTTGAACGACTGGAGACGGAGTTTGACAGCCCAGTGGACAGGGAGCCGGCGATGGAGCAGTTTCGGAGCAGGAAACTTGGAACAGACGAAGATCCGATGTGAAATTCATAAAACTACTACGACGAGCACTTCTCACGTTGGATGAGGACTCCTAGGCGCAGTTGCTGACTACACAACTAACCGAAAGTGTCCTGAATCCAATCGCCCAGCGGTTACGACTTATGAACGCAGCCCAACCCTTGGTTACAAGTGAGTTGGCCAAGGTCACCAGAAGATAATAATTTCAAAAAAAAAACACAACGATAACCTTCAGGAGGATGTAGCTGCACTTTGAATGAATATCAATAAACACCAATTGTAGAAAACGACGAGAATGCGACGAAGGAAGGAATGTTTATTATTGACATCTTGTACAATAGTCATAACATAGTCAACATAAACAAAGAAAAATATACCTAATACATATATAGATGATTTATTGTTTCAAATAATACCATAAATTGATTGCTCCATCGTCTATCTGTCGACTTGTAAACATGATAACATAAAATACACTTCAATTGGTCCCTCTCTACACTACTCTCTTATCTATATTCCCATATCACCTCCCTCTTCGAAAGAATCTCATTTGAGGTCAGATTAGGCAGCGCTGTTTTTTTTCCTGAAATTACCTAATTGACGCAGAGCAAATTTCTCTTTATTTACTGAATTAGTAGTCTTCTCGATATTCTTTTGGCAGGAGGATGACCTTTGTATATGTTGGCGACAAAAAACGTCCAATGGCCTTGAGCATTGATGTTGTTTATGTGGACAAGATTCAAGGAAATGCGAAGCAACATAGTGCCTTCTTTGATGGTCGGTTGATATTGCATAAGTTACTGGGTCAATGAACCAGTGAGATAACGCGAGAGGGTTATATAAAGGAATAAGATGTCTGGGGAAAAGTATGTACTTCAAAGAACCACCCTGGGGTCCGGATTAGGCTAAACTTGTATCACCCTGCAGGTTGACTAATCGTTGATACTCTGCTGACATGTCGTAATACTATTGATTGGCTGATCCATCGCCTCTCTGTCTAACTATAGATGTAATAACATAAAGTACATTACGATTTGTCTCACTCCAAACTAGTCACTTCTCTCAATCCCCATATCAGGTTAACAATTGTACCAATTGTACCAGTCATAACATGCTGCTTATTAACTAAGTAAAAAGTACCGAATTCGCATGTTAAATATCAGACTGTTTGATGGTTAGAGGAAATCAGTAGGAAACCCTCTTTGAACTAGGTTTCGCGTTTATTGGTACTCGTCAGTAACCAATCAAAATTAATCATTATCAACATAGGATTAGGCGTTACTGCGTGACAGTTTAAGCCGTCACACCACATATCAATATATCAAATAACACAGCAATAAGATGGAAAAAAGAAAGAAAAATCGGTTGAGAGCAGTGGAAAGTAGTAAAAAAGAGCAAGGAAGAATAAATAAATGCTGAATACAGTATGGCGGTTACGAAGAAGATAATATGTGGATATATCTACCCCACTGACATCGATTCTGAGTCATGTCACATAGAGTATGAATCTACCAACATCGCTGAGACCATCAGTCGAAGACTTCCTGCAATGTTTCAATTTGGTCACCCTGAGCCTTTTTCCAATCTGAACCTACTTCAACTAATATTCAGTGACGAGGTAGAAGGTGACAAGGCATATGTACCATGTCAGTCGATGAAAGCTCTCAAACGCATCAACTGACTTCCTTCTCCTCCCGAAAACTCTACGCCTGATTTATGTGGCACTGACGTGGTGATACCACAGAATACGGTCTATACTACGAAGGTAACGGTAGTCAAACACATGAAAGCCTTCTTATGTCTTCCACCTTCAATGATCGTGTTTCACAGCCATACATTATGACAAAGCGGACTGTGCTGAGTAGGTGCAGTACACGCGACCCTTAATAGACAATTGGATATCACGGTGGTGCCACAGGTGGCGTAAGCCGGTAAAAGCAATCGAACCATTTGTAAGCGCGTAAAGACTTCGTTAGTCATTAACGCATCAGGATTGATCTGACTTTACAGGTAAGCAAAATGGTCAACGCACTGAACAGCTTCACTCTTTATTGTTAGACAAGGGTACCGCTGAAGACCAATCATGGAGCAAGGTGTATCTGTATATCCTAAGTGCTGCCCGAATTCTATCGATTATTTTGCTCACAGATAACAACAATCATGAAACCAAGGCCTCTTGTCAACTACCTTCAACTAATCAACATCCATCAAAGTACACTACAATGATGGACCTTCTAGCTTGGTAGCCACATTGTAAAATGATTGATTGGATTCAGTTAGCATCCAGGATTAGATAAGATAAGATTGCTTGCTCTTCTCGATGACGAATCAATTTATAAATATCAGACTATCCAGTATAATGTAGACATAGCTTAGCTATCAAGCAGCAGTAAGACAGTCATACAATAAGCGTAATCCAACATTTAAAAAAACCATATTGTTTAATCTTTAAGATGATAATAAATACCAAGGATTATAAATGTTAAACTAACCTTTTTTGTAGTAGTATATGATTTACCACGACCACGTTTAACAAAACCACCACGTGATCGATTTACATTAGAATTGGATAATGGTTTACATGATTCTTGTAAAAGCATTTCTTCTTGTTCTTTTTCTTCCGCTTTCAACGCTTAAATAAAATAAAACACAAAACTTATAAACATTGAGTTAAATGAAACAATTAGAAAAATAATGAATAATGATATATTTACTGTGATCTACTTCTCCATATCATCACTTGACTACACAGAGGTTGACCTAATCGCGGGAGAATTTTCCTTAGATTTAGAATATGTAGATGACATAGTCCTGTTAAGTGAAGACGCTGACAAGATGTAGAGTGTTTTAGACACTAAATTGTAATTCGAAAATGTTTGGGATGCGTTTCTCACCATAAAAAGGCAAATCATTGCTCCACGATTGGTCATCAACGGTGCCCTACCATGGTTAACAATAGAGAGTGAGTATAGTGGTTCACTGTGTCGACCACTACACTTACCTGTGAAGTAGAATCAGTCATGGTGCACTAGTCAATGGCCGATGAAATCTCTGCACGATTAAAAAAGGCTTGACTGGCTGACTTTTGCCAACTTACGCCACCTGTGAGGCCGCTGTGATATCCGATTGTCTAGTAAGGGTCACGCGTACTGTATCTGCACACCAGTCCGCTCTATTCCACTCTAAGGTTGTAAAACATAGTCACTGAAGATGGAAGGCATGACAAGGCTTCATGTGTTTGATCACCGTTGACTTCGTAGTATGGGGCCATATTCGGTGGAGTCACCACGTGAGTGAGACGACGTAAATCAGTTAACGAGGTTATGAACCTTCATCGATTGAGATGGTTGGGACACGTGTTACGTATGCTTAGTTGCCGATTGCCTCGTCACACAATGTTGGTCAAATTAGGTTCAGGATGGAAAAAGGTTCGAGGTGGCCAGACTAAAACATGGCACCAATGTATGAAGTCTCTGACTGTTGGTTTAAGCCATGTAGGACGACGCAGACTAGGTGGTTGGGGTCAGCGGGACAAGATGAACCAGTGGTTGGAGACTCTAGGTGGTCACGTGGCTCAGAACCGATGTCAGTGGCGTAGATGTATCCCCATACACATAATCTTCATCTTAACGACACTATATCGAATCTCACCGTTTTGTCACTCCTCTTTTCTTTCTTCTCGTACTTTATATTTCTTTTGACTGCATTCTCTTATCTTCATCTTCCACTTCACTGCCTTGTTTGTTTGATACACTGATATGAGCTGTGGCAACTCGGACCGTTACGCACTAAGTAATGCCTGGCCCTATGTTGATATTGATGAAGGACCATTGATTAGCTGGTCTACAGTCTGTCTGTCTATCTGTCAAAATGTAGGCGCCATAACACAAAATACACTTTGATTGATCCCTCTAAACACTACTCTCTTCTCTACATTCCCATATCACCTCCCTCTCCGAAAGAATCTTATTTGAGGTCAGATTAGGCTGCATTGTTTTTTCCTTTGAACCTACTGGGGGTGGATCAGTAGTCTTCTCGATATTCTTTCGGTGAGCTGGTGTATGAGCATGAAAATCTGCAACCAAGCAAAGAAATTTGCCTACCGATCGAGAATGCCATCTGTAGCGATATCTGGAGGATGAAATTTGTATGTGTCTTTGTGTATGTTGGCGGCTAAAGCCGTCCTATGACCTTCAGTATTACATTCCCGGCTCGATGTTATCTATATGGACAAGATTCCACGGAATGCCAGCAAGGCGGTGGAGTGTCCTCTTCGAGGGTCAGTTGGTATCATGTGAGTTACTGGGTCGATTAACATGTGAGATAAGGCCAGAGGGTGATATGGAGGAATAAGATATCTTTAGAATTGTAGGTACTTTAGAACCACCCTGGAGTTCCGATTGGGCTAAACTCCTATCACACTGCGGGTTGAATAGTCGCTGATATTCTCCAGACATATCATTCCGTGCCTGGACTGTGGCATCGAAAGTGCGATCGCGTGCTTCCTGTGCCAATACATGTCGTAGTATCGGTCGAACTCAAGTAGACCAAGCTTTGGAAGTATGAGAGTACCTTTCAGCAATCATCTTAGTCAGTAAAACCCATTTTAAAGTGGTCTTCGTAACGCCTGTACTAACTATCAAAAGTTTCATTGGCATCTAGATCATAGTGAAATTCAGTGACACTATTAGTGATACCGTCAAATGAATGAATGTAGTAGGCAATGATTCAGAATCATGATAATGCTTATTTGTTGTTCGAAGAATCTGTCCAACTTCGAAGAGTCCATTTCCTAATATCTAATTCTCGTTTCTAACTGTTATGATTCAAAAACTGTAAGGGTTATTAACGATGCATGGATACAGACCATCAGCTATCAACATTCAACAGATTCCTAATTGATTCCCGAACTGATTAATCAATGCGGAAGACACCATGGACATGTAGAAACGTGCGTTGGCGTCGAAAGACCGAAGACAAGAACAAAGAAAAGATATCTAATATACAGATACTTCGCCATTTAAAATGATACTATTGTTTATAAAATGATGGATAGTGGCTGATAGTCAAATCCATGACGCGCGTTTCGTCCTATTTGGGACTCGTCAGCTGGATGTACCTTCACCCCAGTGCGAAGTGTTGTTCCTAATGAAGCTCAAAGCCGATACCCTTCGCTCCAAATAGCAGAGCGTTATCTACCAAACCACTGGGGCACAATAGCCACCTCTTATGCAACAGATAACAGTTGTTATTACAACACTTGTAATTTCCCGTTGCTTTACAAAGCCGAATGGTCTGACCTTTGCTGGCAAATGCCCTCCTGTGTGGATACCTCGATATATTCATGATGTTAGATTGTTATATGATATGCTATACTGATGTTATATTAACAACGCTCTGGCGTTTGAAACGATGAGTATGGGTTTCGAGCCTAAATGGAAACTAAATCACTCACTTGAGTACGAGCACATTCGGCTGACGAGTCTAAAGTGGGACGAAACTCGTGTCCAGGATGCCCTTGGTAGTCACCAAGATCAATATAACATCATAAATGGGATATAGTTACGAAACTATGAAATTACTATCTTTGGATTGTAGTATATATATATATATATATATATATATATATATATATATATATATATATATATATATATATATACTGTACATACCCCCTAATGAAGACCCAGATTTTCATTTCACCTTCAATCATCACCATTCAGTATCAATGCTATACGTCTGGCAAGCCACGGCCATCCCACATAGTGAAAATAATAATCAATATAATACTTCCCCTACCTAATTCAGTTAGATTTGGATTTCAATGAGAAGTCCTGACTGGACAGTCAATGTGAGTATGATCAAGCGACAGTAATTCACACGCCATCACGAAATCACATAGCAATTGGCCAAACTCTTAGTGATCGAAATGAAATAGAAACCTAGTCAGTAGTCAAGTCTCATAATTCAGTTGGTAGAGTCCCGAGTGGGAAACTTGGTGGTGGTCGCTGGCTGGAATCCTTCAGCAGTCCACACTTTCATTTCACTACGAATATCTCATATAGTCAACCACTTAGTTTTCATAAGAGCTTCAATTCACTCTTGTAAAAAAACTTTCGAAGATGTCTATGTTAGGGATGCTTAATCCTTAAGAAAAACTAATATGTATTTATTATCATTGTGGAATTTAAATTTCACCTTCGCGTCCTTTTTGGGCAATGCAATGTTATTTATTTCTACCGTGGTTTAGCATGCTGAACGCTGATTGGTCCATTTAAAACTTTTAATATGCTATTTTGATTTTTTTTCGGTCAAGGTCATCTACGGGTATATAAACGACTGAATTTTCAGCTATATGAACGATTCGGTTGAAGTAAAGTATCCTCTCAATCCTATCATCTTCTTTTTCTAGTGTCAGGTGAATATCGTGTTGTAAAGTCAGTGTTCAATCGTTAATCTTATCACGTTGAAGCATTAAATATCGTTGTATATATTGCAGATTATAAATCAGTCTACAATCTACAAATGTAATAATGGTTGTAAGTGTGAGAAAACCATATCACCTGATTGAAAAAGAAGGCTTTAAACATAATGTTAAAAGTATACAGTTAAGTGACTACATAACTGAATCTTACCACCAAGTATTGAAAGATAATTCAAAGTGATTTCTAGAAATGATGATTCAGCATTGAAACAATTCAATTTATAATCAGTACATTGTGGAATTTGTAATAGTTCTTCACGTGTAGTTGGTAAACTTGAAGCCATTTCAAGTAACATTTCATTTGGAAATACAGTAGCATAATTTGAAATACCTTGACTTGAGGCTAAAAATAAAGTTCACAAATAAAGATGATGATAATGGTGAAGAAGAAGTAAATATATGTAGAGTGAAAACACTTCAGAGAAGCTAAACAGTATAAAATGGTAGTTTATTTCAAGTCGATAAATGAAACTCATTTCAAAAATATTTGCCTCATTTTGCAAGAATTCATTGTGGAATGACTTGGAGAGATGCATAACATCAAGGTCAGTTAGCGGAGTTTACGAGAGGAGAGGACAGAGGAGAGGAGAGGAGAGGAGAGGAGAGGAGAGGAGAGGAGAGGAGAGGAGAGGAGAGGAGAGGAGAGGAGAGGAGAGGAGAGGAGAGGAGAGGAGAGGAGAGGAGAGGAGAGGAGAGGAGAGGAGAGGAGAGGAGAGGAGAGGAGAGGAGAGGACAGGAGAGGAGAGGAGAGGAGAGGAGAGGAGAGGAGAGGAGAGGAGAGGAGAGGAGAGGAGAGGAGAGGAGAGGAAAGGAGAGGAGAGGAGAGGAGGAGGAGAGGAGAGAAGAAGAGAGAAGAGGACAGAGGATAGAAGAGAAGAGGAGGGCGAGAATAGACAAAGGCTAAAAAAATATAGAAAACTTCGGGAATAACAAAGGGTGTATATATCATGAGTCATTATCATCAAATTGTGGCTCATCAGTCTATGGCACCAACTCTAAACCAATAGGTAACTGGTTCGAATCCCGCTATACCTATTGAGGTAGCATCACTAGTTGTCACACAATAGGTGTGACCTACTGCATAAATGTATTCACCATTTCACGAAACATCTCCAATCATTGATTCTTATGGTCTCGGGGACCGTCAACTAGATAGTCTACACCAATGTACATGGATTAGGTTAGCAGTCACAGACTTTATGGATTGATGCTGTGTCTTGGTTTCGCCATACTCAGCCACCTTCACCGACTTAAGTATGTCAAGTTAGACGGTGGCTCGGTATGCCCGAAACATGACTACGCTACTTCGGTCACTGAAGATTCATAGCCAAGTTGAATAACTTACCTTCTTTATGTGATACTCTGTGTCTAGCATCAGGATTCCTCACAAAATGACCCCACCATATAAAAGATATGCTATATATATATACCTGTTGTCGAAAAAACTATAATTTTTTCAGATATGTTCCACCAACCTATCAATCAATAAGAAAACGATAACTAACAGAAAGGTCAGAGGTCAAACAGAACACCCAACTGAAAAATCTATACAGTCAATAACACGACAATCAAAGGGAAACGACCAATCACAAACTAGTTCATTAGGGCAAGAGCTACTGAATCATTCACGGAAAGATATTGACAGCTCACTTTATACTGAAGTTAATGTTGAGGATAATATCTAGAAAGATGATGAGAGCCGAATGATTAAACAAGTCAACTATTAATTTCTTCAATGGTGTTGATTTAACCGAATTGATCGGTCTTTATTGGCATATGGGCTGGTTCCTGCACCGATACCTTGACAATATGCGTTTGAATCATATATTATTGATGGATAGTAGTGGAATCCATAACGCAAGTTTCGTCCATTTAGGGACTCGTCAGCTAGGTATACCTACCACCCAGTGAACGATAACATTAAAACTAGATCCATCGCACAAGAAGTAACTATCGTGACTCGATGGTCTACTGGATAACGCTCTGGCATTTGAAACAATCGGCCCCAAGTTCAAGTCCTAGTGGGAACAACATCACTTCACTGGGAGGTAGGTACATCCGACTGACAAGTTCCCAAATAGGACGAAACGTGCATTCAGCTGGTTTCCATTGCTAGCCACTATCCATTGTTCTAAACAAAAGAGAAAATAAACACTAAACTACTTACTAAGTTGTTTAGCTGCTTGAACTAATTCTTCATAACATTGATTACGAATACTGGCATAACGATCTTCTGGTGGGCGACCAACAACACTAACTTCATTTTGACCTGGTCGATTCGGTATAGAAACTGGCAGAGTAATCTATAAGAGTACAAGTTTAATATGCATATAATCTAGATAGAAGAGAAATGTTTAACAGGAACAGTCCAAACTAAATATTGAGCTTTAAATGTTAGTGAATTGAATCCTCAATCAAAGTAAACAGCTTTTAAAAGGATTTCAATTGAACCAACACAAAGTAGTGAAGCACCTAAACCAACTTTAATTTACTGAAAGCGTGTGTTTTTCCACTTGTCTTACCTCAGTAACTAACCTTATAAGCCTATATATAAACTAAGGGTTACCTTGTCAAACTCCCGAAAAACGGAGACAGAGGTATTTGCAAGAAATGCCGGGGAATCAAGCTCCTGTCCACACCAAGCAAAATATTATGCGGCAACATCCTGGAGAGGCTAAATTTTAATGCGCTGGATTCAGGAAGTACAAATCATGTGCGGACCAGATTGCAATGCTACGCTACACATCATCATAGAACAGACCATAGAATGGCAGTCCACTGGACCTGTGTCTCAACTTCATCGACTTTGAAAAGGCCGAGAAGTAATTTGGCAGTTACTTCAACACTAGGAATACACACAAACCGTTATCAATCTCATTCAACAACTATATGAAGACACCACATACCAAGTAATTCACAATAGGAAGCTCAGTGATGCTTTTCAAGTGAAGACAAGAGTGAAACAAGGCTGCTACCTACTATCACACATGATATTCCTGATTGTAGTAGACTGGATCATGCAACAAACAATGAGGAGCGAGAAGACGGGGGATACACTGGATCAGGGAAAAGATCCTAGAAGATTTGGATTTCGCCAGTCATGACTTGTGTCTAATCACACACAAAATTGAAGATATACAGGCGAAAACTAACAAGTTGACAGAAGAGATACGGCAGCGAAAACGGCACTTCAAGTGAGTGTAGAGAAGACAGAGGTGATGAAGATACCCAACCAACAACAACAAGCTCTAATCATCATCAACGGAGAAACTTAAAGGAACTAGCCTCCTTCACCTACCTAGGCAGCACCATTTCAACTGCAGACGGCACAAGCACATATGTCAAAGCCAGCCAGGATCCGAAACACAACAAGACAGGCGTTCATTAACCTGAAACCAGTACGGAGATCCATTTCACTCCACTCAGCATAAAACGTGAACAATATCCTCATTTTCAACACCAATACATTCAAGTCAGTGCTCCTGTATGGCTCAGAGACTTGGCGCGTCACCAAAGGCATTTCCAACAAACTACGCACATTCATCAACAACTGTTGCCTACGCTGGCTCGTTACTCAAGATCAGATGCATTGCCAGAATAAGAAACAAGGAACTCTGGCTGGCCTGTCAACGAACCAACGAAGCACGAACCTATCACTCAACAAATATGCACTGGAAGGAAGTGGAGATGGATTGAATTGGGCATACACTGAGAAGGCCGATTGGGGATATCACGCGCTAGGCTAGGTACTCGAGTGGAACCCAGATGGGAAACGACGAGTTGGGCATCCCAGCTGAGTGCGACATGGAGGAGATGGTGTGAAGAAGAAATAAGAGCTTGTGGGCTGTCATGGAAACAGGTTCAAAAGTTCGCAGAGAACAGAGTGTAATGGAGACGTGCTGCTGAAGCCCTATTTTCCATTAGGAACCCAAGGGACCAATAATTAATAATAATAATCTATAAACTAAGGAAATGTGATCTATGTTTTTACAGTGTATGTGTTTTAGATAATAATGATGGTGGCAGAGAATATTTGAAGGCAATAGATATTGGAGAAAACAACAAGATGTGAATTGTCTGAAACGTATGATGTATTTGCGTAACACATTTCGAACTATCTGATCACACATACACACACGTACTTGTCATAGGTATTTATATAAAAATTCATGAAGATAAAGGGTGAGAAAATAAAAAGAGGTCAGGGTGAACATTTCCACCAGGTTGATGGTGTTGCTATGGGAAGTTGTTTAGGTCCCCTCTTAGCCGACATATTTATGTCACACGTGGAAAACTTAGCCGACAACTTAATCAACAAAGTCCATCTGTATCGAAGATATGTTGACGATATCCTGATGATTTGTGAAGACTCAAATCAGTCTACTTCAATTCTTAACCGACTGAACGAAGTACAGAACAGCATATCGTTGACATATGTAAGAGAGGAAGATGACTACTTGCCGTTCTTGGATATATTAATTAGTCGAAGGCAGGATGGATCCATAAAACGATCTACTTACAGAAAACCTACATGGGCAGAGCAATAACTGAATTACCATAGCTTTTGCCCAGTTCAGTACAAGCGAACGTTAGTAAAGTGCTTATTCAGCAGAATTCAACGAATATGCATCGAGGATACTTTAGAAGATGAAAGAGGAACACTGACTGATATTTTGTTGGAAAATAAACTATCCATCAACACTTATCAGGCAGAACAAAATTATCAGAGCGCCAAAACTAGATCTTTAGTCTGTCTCAAAGAAGGATATCTTCACTAGCCTTCCCGTACAAAGGTGACTCTCATAGTGCAATCCTTAAGCAGACACTTAACGCTACTGTTAGAAGGACTTACTATGCAGCCAGGGTTCGAGTAACAGAAACCATGAAGCATGCATATTCCCCCCCCCCAAACCCTCACAGCATGAGAATGACAATGTCATATCCCATTGTATCTACCAATTCAAATGTACGTGTGGTGATACATACATAGGGAGGACTAATAGATCCATGCAAGTAAGCGCCTCAGAACATATTCAGAAGCAAATTAAATCACCTGAACCCATAAACGTTAGTGGCAGACGTCCAAGTTCTTCGATCGCCAAATATATTATTGAGACAAGCCACAGGATTGATATGGCTACTTACTTTACACCTATTTACAAAACATGTTGGGGAAGGATCCTTAAATTTGTTAAGGCCTTAGCTGTTAGAAAGTTGAAACCATCTTTATGTGTTCATAAACAATTTTTTGTCACATTAAATTTTCCTTGGTAAATTCAACTATTGAAAATCAAGTTCGATGTACTATTATTTTTTCGCTGTATTGACTTTCATTGTTATTCGGACTTTAATTCAGCCTTCGTACCTGACCTCTTTTTATTTTCTCACCCCATACCTTCATGAACTTCAAATAAAGATCTATGACAAGTACGTGTGTGTCTGTGATCAGATAGTTCGAAATGTGTTGCGCAAATACATTACACGATTCAGACAAATTATTATTATTATTCGTCCCTTGGGTTCCTAGTGGAACATAGGGTTTCAGTAGAACGTCTCCATTACACTCTCCAGTTCGATGCAGTCTTTTGGACCTGGTTCCATGACAGCCCATAAGCTCTCATTTCTTCTTCACACCATCTCCTCCATGTCGCACTCAGCTGGGATGCCCAACTCGTCGTTTCCCATCTGGGTTCCACTCAAGTACCTAGCCTAGCGCGTGATGTCCCCAGTCGGCCTTCTTAGTGTATGCCCAATTCAATCCATCTCCATTTCCTTCCAGTGCATACTTGTTGAGTGATAGATTCTTGCTTCGTTGGTTCGTTGACAGGCCAGCCAGAGTTCCTTGTTTCTTATTCTTTCTGGCCATCTGGGCTCCTTATTATGGTTTTGTCGAAGTTTATAAAGGGGACTAATTGTTTCAAACAGATATTGGATCAAATGTCTCACTGATAGCCATTAACATGATGGGAACAATACAATAGGAAGGTTTCAGACAATGAAACTGTATCGTGAAGATAACATGTTTACCTACCGTAAATGTAAATCGCCCTGGCAAGATATCCAACTATCTGTTAAGAAATAAAGTATACTGCACTGTTGTTCATCCTACCTTTATATACGGTTGAGATATGGCCGTTAAATTAGAATCCATGAAATGTCTTTGTACCATTGTTCACATTCGGTGGAATGACTGTATGAACAATATTGAGGTCAGGTGAAGGGTAATCGACAAGACAGGCAAGTCAATTGATGTTGAGAACCCTAGCCGATTGACATGGTTTGGAACATGTACATGCCAATCCACTGCCTATCTCAATGTCCCATGTAAGGGGAAATCAGACTAGGCTGGAAGAAGTTTCATGGTGGTAAGGACCTGACACCTGACTTCATCCCTCACACAACTTTGTCTACTTCGATATCACTCCATCTGTTCGTTGTGTATTACTGTGAAGTGTAGCAACTTGAGTCTATACACTTGTGTACGAGGTTCTACGTTGATTCTATTCGTCTCCACCAGCACAATGATCACCCGTGCGCTTTTCAGCAGAGAGATAGTTGAGATGGATGACTTTTTATGAAGATAAGCATTAAAGAGGAACTTAATCCAGTTTGAAGTATAATATACGAAACTACTAAATGACCACCATCTGAAGTTTTTTGGATAACTGAAGTTGGTATTTGGGTGCCTTAAATGATAAGGTCGAAGGTTAAAGGCAACAATAAATAGGCAGAACGTCAAAATAATATGCACAGAAGTGTATTCATCCAACTTGCTATACTTTCCAATAGTACTACTAATATAGAACAAGAAAACAATATTGTTTTCAGCTAGAAATCCACTTCACCCTTCACTTACTCGAATAACAAATAGCTTAATATATAAATATAAGTGGAATCAATCATACAGATTTGTCGGTTCATGTGATGCTTTAAGAATAACAATGGTGATAATAATAATAATAATAATTATTATTATTATTATTATAAAGTTGATTATGTCTTGTTCTAATTTACAATCACAAGTACTGATATAGGCAGAAGGGTAGACAAATAGAGATAACAAATAGTGTACATATTTTGAGTGGAAACGAGGGGGTGGGATTTCTGAAGGTCAAAAAAACTACTATTGTAGTCAGCACTGCTAATCAGAATGGATATAAGTAGTATATGTTGAGAGGATGGTAGAAATCATAGGTAATTACCAGCAATGGGTAAGAATTTTGCCCACAGCAACGCAAGAGATGATGTCGGCGTATTAGGAGCAAATCAAGAGAGAAGCAGAAGACGAAATGAAGAACAGTATGCAGATGACCGTCTTAGTGCAAGGTGTGGAATATTTGATGATTACTGTACAAGATGTCACTAATAGATATTCCTTTGTCTCTGTCTTGTCGTTTTTTACATTATTAGGATTGTATTTTGAGGGATTTGTGGGGATTTGGAAATATTTCAAGTTGTTATTCGTCGTAGACTGGCATTAGTTGAAGGAAGAAAGGAAACCTGGGAGCACTGGACAGCTGTTTCGTCCTAATATGGGACTCCTCAGCAGTGCGTACCCGCGACCTTCAGGTTCCGCGGCCAGCACGATACCATTGAGCCACTGGGTCAGAATCCAATGCTCCATATTTCCAACTTCTGTAAGCTCACGATATAGCGCAACCGCCACCCAATGTCATCGTTGAGTAACTGTCCTCACGACCATCAGGGTTGTGTGTGCGCACTGCTGAGGAGTCCCATATCAGGACGAAACAGCTGTCCAGTGATCCCAGGTTTCCTTTGTTCCTCCAACTGATGTCAGTCTACGATAAATAACAACTTGAAATATTAGGACGAAGCTTTAACACCTGACGCCAACAGGTTTTAAAAATTTCACGGAAAAAATGAATGTTCTATTACTCATATCCTACTTGAACTATCTTCAAAATTCTATCATCATTATTTTTCTCTGTTCTATTACAGACGACTATTCGAACGGTATTATATTATTGTACGAGATTTACTTTGTGTATCTGAGACGTGATGTGATGGGTGTATTCTCGTCTAACTGACGGTATGTGTGTATGTGTGTTGTGAATGATGATATTGAGGATGTGAGTGTGATGTAATATTTTTTTTTAATCTAAAGGCAGGACCGTGAGGCCTCCTCACTGACAAAAACTACACACCCGAGCGCATCCAATTAGGATTCGTCACGAGTTTCAACCCAACGAGGTGCAATGGTAAGCCTCCAACTGGAGTCAGAGCATTCCTGATCACCCTGAACCATGCGCCAGGTAAGTTTAAGCACACCCACCATACACCATCACCATTTATGAAGAATACATCAAAGTGTCAGTTACAGACTCATCATCATCACATGTAAAATATTACACAAAGTAAAGTGGGTTCCAACTAACCCACTTAGTGGATGACTATGAAGGTACTTTCGTTTCACAATGTTGAGGAACAATAGGTTACAATATTGTTTGATTTTGTAGCTAAATAGCACCATTAACCACCCATAAAATCTATTTTGAAAATATTCATTGATATACTTTTAATTCTCCATCGATTTTAGTGGACAGAATTGCTCAAACTCTTTTGGTATATGGGCACCTACCTATACGAACACCTCGATATTGCCTAAATAACTAATACGATAATTTACTTGTTTGTGGTTAGCAGATTAATCTAGGACATACGTTTCGTCCCATTTAAAACTTGTCAGCTCCAGAGTGAGTGATGCTATCAAAGCGACGGGTAGGAGGTTCAAGTTTCAGTAAGAACAACAGTACTCACTGGGGTCCATTAAAGATTCATCAGCTGATGAGTCGTAACTAGGATGAAACGCGTGTCTTAGATTCCTCTGCTAACCAAAACCAAGTTAAATGTTAAATGACTAGTTAATCCCATTTAGAAGACGAAAAATTGAAATATTTTACAAAAATATTTACCTACGTTATATCGTTGGTAGCATCTTAAAGTGGTTACAACAGAAATCATGACAAGTGTTATGCTAGAAACTTTATTATCAAGTTTTGGCTAACCCTTGGCTCACAGGTTGAAGCTGTTGACTTCCAGTTACTGGGTTATAGATTTGAACTCCCATTCACCTACTGAGGCCTAAGAAGACATGTACTATCATCAATCACCATTAACATTAAGCATATATGGTACAATGGCTACTAACTATATAAAGGTGCGCAGTGAATTTCAATTCCAACTTTTGACTGTATTTCAAAAATCAAAACATTTTGCTGACAACCATCAGCAAACACGATAATGGCGTCCAGTCTTATCCTTAAGGAAGTTAACTAGTTCAGTTTGGAAGTATTCAATTATGAATCGCTTTCTTTTGTAAATACTATAGGTTGAAAATCCAAGGACATGAAAACATTCAGTGAGAGAAGCTCAGTGATGCTTTCCAAGTGAAGACAAGAGTGAAACAAGGCTGCTACCTACTATCACACATGATATTCCTGATTGTAGTAGACTCGATCATGCAACAAACAGTGAGGAGCGAGAAGACGGGGGATACACTGGATCAGGGAAAAGATCCTAGAAGATTTGGATTTCGCCAGTCATGACTTGTGTCTAACCACACACAAAATTAAAGATCTACACGCGAAAACTAACAAGTTGACAGAAGAGATAGGGCAGCGAAAACGGCACTTCAAGTGAGTGTAGACAAGACAGAGGTGATGAAGGTAACCAATCAACACTACCACCACCACCAACAACAACAAGCTCCAACCACCATCAACGGGAGAAACCTAAACGAAGTAGTCTCTCCCACCTACCTAGGCAGCACCATTTCAAATACAGGCGGCACAGACGAGGACGTCAAAGCCAGCCAGCATCCGAAACACAACAAGACAGGCGTTCATTAACCTGACACCAGTACGGAGATCCATTTCACTCCACTCAGCATAAAACGTGAACAATATCCGTATTTTCAACATCAATACATTCAAGTCAGTGCTTCCCTGTGATGGTTGAGAAACTTGGCGCGTCACCAAAGGCATTTCCAACAAACTACACACATTCATCAACAACTGCTGTCTACGCTGGCTCGTTACTGAACATCAGATGGATTGCCAGAATAACAAGAATAAGAAACAAGGAACTCTGGCTGGCCTGTCAACGAACCAACGAAGCAAGAACCTATCACTCAACAAATATGCACTGGAAGGAAGTGGAGATGGATTGAATTGGGCATACACTGAGAAGACCAATTGGGGGACATCACGCGCTAGGCTAGGCCAGGTCGTCGAGTGGAACCCAGATGGGAAACGACGAGTTGGGCGTCCGTGGCGAGGGTGACATGGAGGAGATGGTGTGAAGAAGAAATGAGAGCTTATGAGCTGTCATAGAACCAGGTTCAAAAGTTCGCAGAGAACAGAGTGCACAGGAGATGTGCTACTGAAACTCTATGTTCCATTAGAACCTAAGAGATAAATAATATAAATAATAATAATAATAATAATAATAATAATAATAATAATAATAATAATAATAATAATATAATCACAAAAGCAATCTGTGCATGTTTCCAATCTTTATGTTGAGGCATAATTAAGAAAAGAAACAGGACGATTTGTCTAATCCAATCAGGAGGCTTGTGGGGATTTATTGATGTCAGGTTGGGTTTAATCCCTAGGAGGGGTCGTGAGTGCACACCGCTGAGGAGTCCGAAACAGCTGTCTAGTGCTCTCAGGTTTTCTGTGATGATTTATCTGATCATTTCAAAATATTTATATAACTTACTTTAATGGAACCATTCAAAAGTGATGTTGCTTTATATCCAAGACGAACATAAGCAACAACATGATCCAATTGTGTAACTGCCAACTCTTCAAACAATACACGTTCAGCAACAAGACGATGAAGTAATCTTTCAGCATCTGTCTTTGAATAACTTGATCCTTGACCATAAATTGAATTCATTTGATCACCACTACGTTGAATTTGACTTGTATTTGCGCCTTATTTAAATGAAGTATACAATAGGTTGGTCAGATGGAGAAAAATGTAAAGTGATAATTTGTGGATTTCAGATCGGTAATAAAAACTAACTTTCAATAACATAAATAATAATGAGGTGAACAAATGATATTGAAACTGTCCACAACATTTGAAATCACTAAGATACACAATGAAATCGTTAATGATTATTGACAATATTACTCAAGGGAAACTGAAACATTTGAGGAATAGTGTCAAGAATCATGTTTAGTTAGGTCTACTTCACTGGTGATATTCTATAATGAATTATAAAAGTTTCCACGTAAACTTATTGTTTTCAAATATCTTGAAAACTGTAGATTGCCACAGTCTAAAACAAGTAACCCAATACATTTAAGCCCAGTTACTAAAATAACCCCCTGCCCTCCCCCCCCCCCGCAACCATAACATTGGGAAGTGTACATATTTAATCATACTTAGGATGATTGTATGATAATAATTTCTTCGTATACCAGTAGTATCATAATATAGCAGAATATCGGTAACGCAAGGATAACGATTGATGATAAAGATTTGGGTGGAAAGACGACACATGGAACAAGAAAGCCGAAGAATTAGGATGCCTGTAGATGTGACTATTTCAAAACTGTTGTCATTACGATTGTGATATTCCAAAAAAAACCTGTTGTTCAATTAAACCTGCTCTCATGATCTTAATAATACGACTCAACTGTCTATAACCTCAGAAAGTACAGCGGATTTCAAGCTCAGCTGTCATTGATCAAAGTTTAACTGCTTGTAATAATGACTTAGAGTTTCACTTAAAACATAAAATAAGTGGATCAATCGAATAAAGATAGTAAGTTCCCTGGATGTTACAGATATGCGCTGCTGACGAGTGCTAACAAATACGAAATCTAAATATAAGCCTTCTTGCTCATGGCTACCTAATCAACTCATATCCAAGCTTTTATTTGTAAATGAATCAGTCAATCAGCCAGTGTGAGTGATTATCTATGCATGAGTTATATCAAGAAATTAACTTTCGAAAAAACAAAAACAATTCTGAATCAAGCTTACAGATAAGATGAATTCTTTCAAACATATTCAACAAGCAAGAAAAATAGACAAGAAAGTAATAAGGACTACTTTAGTCTTCTATCACTTCGATTGACATAGATCATCTCTCTTTCTGTAATAAACAGGAGACGATAAAGGTAATACAAGGTCTCAAATAACTACTAAGTAATACTTTACACTATCACGTCAACATGAAAATCGATAAAAATTAAAAAAAGTGATCTCCGCTAAGAATATATGGTTATCTGAATATATATGTAGAAAGTACCCACCATCAATTTACTAGGTATCAGATAATCCCTTTTCTGTATGACTTAACTAAATCATTTACGTTACTAATTCGCTCTGCTGACATCTAAATATTTAGTTTCGTATAAAAGTCAGTAGAACCTATTGTCGGTTTACTTAAACTCTAGCCAGTAAGTGCGTAGGAATACGAAATACAAAGACATCGATGTTTCCTCAACTTTATCGATTTTCGAAAGGCTTTCGTCAACGTCGACCGAGTAGTCATTCGGTAGCAGCTTCAACACTACATTTTAGTGACACAAACCCTTATCAACTTCATTCAACAGCTAAATACTATATGAAGATGCTAAATGCCAAGTGATTCACAACACAATGGAAAGCTGAATCATGCTTTTGAAGTGAAGACCGGAGTAAGACAAGGTTGCCACCTACTAACACCTATGATCTTCTTGATTGTAGTCCACTGGATTGGATCATGCAACAACTTGTGAGGAGCAAGAAGAGGGTCATACGCTGGCTGGACCGATGAAAAGACCCAGGAAGAAGATTTGAATTTCGCCGATGATGATTTATGTCTAGTGTCTTATGTCGCACAAGGTCGAATATCTACAGACGAAAACCAACAAGTTGTCACAAAAGGTAGCTAAGACGGGACTTCCTTCAGGTGAACGTAGAGAACACAGAGGTGATGAAGATACCAAACCAAAAACAACAACAACAATCACCACCAACGGGGAAATCTAAACGAAGTTAGCTATTTCAACTACCTAACTGCCTAGGCAGCATCCTTCAACTACAGGCGGCACAGATGAGGACAACAAAGCCAGGATTGGAAAGGCAAGACAGGCCTTCATTAATCTGAAATGATCACTCTGAAGATCTACTGCACTGCACTGCATTCAGCATAAAGCATGAACAAGATCCGGATTTTTGACACTAATCTCAGTCAAGTAAGTCAGTGCTTCTATGTGACGGTTCAGAGACTTGGTTCACTACGAAAAGCATTTTCAACAAACTGCAGGTATACATCAACAGCTGCTGCCTACGCTCACTCGATACTGAAGATCAGAAGCAAGGCGAGAATAATAAGAATAAGGAGGAACTCTGGCTAACTGGGAACGAACCCACCAAGAACCCATCGCCCAACAAATATGCAGAAGACAGTGGAGATGGATTGGATTGGACATACACTGAGATTATACAGGGAAATCACACATCAGGCCAGGACCTCAAGTGGAACCCAAATGGGAAACGACGAGTTGGACGAGGGTGTCTGAGGGTGACATGGAGGAGATCGTGCGAGGAAGAAGTAAGAGCTTGTGGGCAGTTGTGGAGCCAGGTTCAAAAGACTAGAGAGAACAGAGTGAAATGGCGACGTGTTACTGAAGCCCTATGCTCCACTAGGAACCTAAAAGACAGATAATAGTAATAATCATATGGACTTATAAAACCTTTGATGGTAAAAGGTGTATACATCTCTTCTATTTTGGTTTCCAATACTTCAAATACCACACATTCAGACAGGCTTACACAAATGAAACCAACGACTATCTGAATCACTGTGTTTTCTGAGTCGATTTACTGCTTAATCTATCTTTACACAGGATATTACCAGACGTCAAGGTAGGCGTGCGGAAATACGACTATTATCTAAACATTTGCCACAAAAATGGAGAAAACAAATCTAATGATTTTATTCACTATCATTTGACTATTTGAGATAGCAGCCGTGGTTTGGCACACTAGTATTCCCGACCGATAGCTGCTGCTACCTTGACGTGGGGGTCAAACTTGCATACCACAATGACCAAACGAGCTATGCTGGTGGAACACTTGTCCCCTTGAGGTCCTACCTACCATAACCAGAAAGGTCTGTTGGATAGTGGTTAGACGAAAAGCAGTTACCGTTGTGGTGTAAATTGTTACACTATGATGGGGATCTGAGGGCGAAATCGTACTGCTGCTCGCTGGATGGAGTGCGACAGCAATAAGGTGTTTCTCTTGGATGACCAACAGTGCCATGCCGATGCTGCCTTCTCAGTGGAAGTGGGAGTTGGGGTTAGAAAAGGTCGGCCCCAAAAATAGCATACTCCACCGTACCCCACGGTCTGCAGGACCGGTGGTGTTGGTTCATTTGTCGTTTCCTTTCGACCATCCAACCCCAGAAATACAAAAGTTCAAAATAATCATACACAAAAGGCTGGGTGTGACAGGCCTCAAGCAGATGTTTGATGGGCTCCGCGGTCACATAAATCTCTTTCAAGGTACCTTAAGAAATAGCTTTCCACGATGTGCGCAGCCGGGAAGTGTCAACCACCCTCACAACTCTGTCAGAACTCAAGTTTCTTCAGATGAGACTAGTATTAATACTGGCTGATGATTGAAAGTGAAATGAGAACTTTGACCACGGTCGGATTCGAACTAGTGACCACCGGGTTTCCGATCCAATGCTCTACCAACTAGGCTACGAGGTTCGACTGCTAACCAGGTTTTTGTTTCATTACAATATGATGCTCCCTCTTTCTAATTCAGTTAGATTCGGATTAGGATGAGAAGCCCTGACTGGGCAATCAGTGTGAGTACGATCCAGCGGTAGTAACGCGTCATGAATTCACATGATAGTCAAACGAAATCCATGATGATTGAAGTGAAATAAACATCTGATCAGCAATCGAGCTTCGTAGGTCAGTTAGTACAGTACTGTGCTGTTTATTCACAAAATTCGATTATCAGTCGAATGTCACCTTAGAATGGTTGGTGTGCAAAATCACTTGAGAAAATCATATGGATACATACGAATGTTTTGCCTTGCGTTTAGTTAGTTTGGAGTCATAGTAAACGCTTTTAAACTTGTCCCCGCTTATTATCTACCTTTTCACTTACTTGTGGCCGCATTGGAAGTTGGTTATTCAATATCTATCTCGGCATACTGTATCGTTTCGTATCGACGGTTTCATTTTGAATCATATCAATTATGGTGATTCGGCTTAACTTAAGGAATACTATGTAAGTAAGTGTTTTAGCGACAATTGGAACTGATAGAAAAAGTTTACAGATCGTTTATCAATGTCAACAACAGAGTACAGCTCCTATCCGAACAAGCATATAGATCGTAAGCAATACCTCGCGTATTATGCTTGATCCTGCATCAAAAATTACACTTTATTTCAGTGCATGTGGATAATTATGGACACGAATTGACTTTTGATAATGTTGACATCTTGGACGGAGAGAGGAAACACAAAAAATATCAAGGAATTCCTAGAAGAGTGGCATTCACGTCAGTCAGTCAGCAACCAACAGATATACAGATATAGATCCAATCTATCAACCAATGAGAAGAATGATAAACGACAGCAAGGTCAGAGGTCAAGCAGAGGAACGGCTAACAAGAAAACTTATACCATCAATGACACAGCAATCAAAGGAAACAGCCAATCAGAAACCAGTTCATCAGGGCAAGGGCTACTGAATCATTCACGAAGAGATATTGACAGCTCACTCTATATTGAAGTTAGTGCTGACAACCAAGACTATTCACCTCAGCTATGAATATTCTCTCCTTTATTCCACGTTTATCAGATAAATGGATATTTTTGGAGTGGAATTAGTAAATAGAGAAGGTTCTTGGAAGGTTAGATTAACAATGTATAAACCTGATACGTTTGAATAAGCAAAACGTGAAACATTTGAAGAAACAATACAGATTATTATCAGCGATATTTGGAGATCAGTCCTCATTGCTTATTACATTAACAATGTTTGAAGTTAGCAAAGCAAGACAGTGATAATTTTTATTGCCTACACCAGTATACTGAAACAATCATTTATATGCCTCAAACTATGTTCCCTTTATAACCATCAATTTAAGTGTTTTGTCTTTTATCTATGGACCTGAATCATTCATGACCTTGAAGATCTTTACCGCAGGTGGTGAGCAGCTGACCAATCTAAAACAATTCAACGAGTTAGTCTCATAAATTCATGGCCATCTTCAGGATACAGCGGGGAAAAAAGCAACAAGGAATTGTGGCTGTCGACGAACCAACCAAGAATCTATCAATCAACAAATATGCAGAAGACAGTGGAGATGGATTGGGCATGCACTGAGAAGGCCGACTGGGGACATCACGCACCGGGCCAGACCCTCGAGTGGAAACCAGATGGGAAACGACGAGTTGGGCGTCCGAGGTGATGGTAACATGGAGGAGATCGTGTGAGAAAGAAATGACAGCTTGTGAGCAGTCGCGGTGCCAGGTTCAAAAGACTGCAGAGAACAGAGTGGAATGGAGGCGTGCTACTGAAGCGCTATGTTCCACTAGGAACCCAGAAACAAATAATAATAATAGTACAACTCCACTCTATATCACTAGTAAGTGCCATAAACTTAAGTAATGAAAAATTTACAATGATTGATGTAAAAAAAAAACGGTTGCTCATATAAAAATGTAAAAAAAGTACAAAACATAAAATCTAAACTTACCACGGAATAAATCTACAAGATAATTCAATGTTACATTACGACGTGATCGTACAAACAATTCAACTGCACGAACAACTTTAACAGCATCCTCAGTAACATCTCTATGTTCTAAACGTCGTCGATCTGACATTTGACAATTATCACATAGACAACCAACTATAATTCCACAATCAACAGCATCAAATGCTTCACCAAAATGTGATAACATTTGTTTTCGGCGACAATCGATTTGATTTTCACAATAAGAAACCATACGATACAATGCATCTTCATGAAATCGGAGAGTTTCTCGAACTGTTGAACTAGATCCATCACCTAGATTATCAAATAAATAATAATGTTTGGTAGGTTAAAAGTTACATTCGCCTTAAAAATAAAGGCTAATAGCAAAATGTTAACAACCACGTAAGATAATCTTAGTCGCTTAAAACTGACATTCATCATCATCATCAATATCAACATAGGAACCAGGCATTACTTGATGTGTAACGGTCCGAGTTATCACAGCTCGTATCAGTACATCAAGTAGAAAGGTAGTGAGGTGAAGCATGGAGATAAAAGAATGCAGCCAAAAGAAATATAAAGTATGAGAAGAAAGAAAGGAAGGATGACAAAATGGTGAGATTCGATATAGCGTCGTTAAGATGAGGATAATATGTGTATACGTCTGCGCCCCTGACTTCGGTTCTCAGCCATGTGATCACCAAGAGTCAGTTTACAACCATTGGTTTCCCTCATCCTGCAGACCCCAACCACCTAGTCTGCATCGACCCACAGGGCTCAAACCAAGTCATACACTTCATACATTGGTGCCATGTTTTAGTCTGGTCGCCTCGAGCCTTTTTCCAGCCTGAACCTACCTACTGTGGCCAACATTATGTGACGAGGCAATCGGCGACTAGACATGCGTAATACATGTCCCAATCATCTCAATCGATGAAGGTTCACAACCTCGTCAACTGATTTACCTCTTCTCCCCAAAACTCTACACCTGACTTGTGCTTACTCACTCACGTGGTGACACCACGGAATACAGCCTATACTATGAAGGTAACGGAGGCCAAATACCTGAAGCCTTCTCATGTCTTCCACCTTGAATGACCATGTTTCACAGCCACACAGTAGAACAGACCGGACTGGTGTGCAAGTGTAGTACACGCGACTCTTAATAGACAAACGGATAAGACGGCGGCACCATAGGTGGCGTAAATTGGCAAAAGCCAGTCGAGCCTTTTGTATCCGTGTAGAGATTTCATCGGCAACTGACCCACAGGGGCTGATCCTACTTTCTAGGTAAGTGAAGTGGCCGACACACTCAACCACTTCACTCTCTATTGTTAGCCGTGGTACCGCTGACATTGCATAAGATCGTAACATAAGTGTAACCGATAACTAGTTCATCGTCTGATCTAGTAAACCTGAAGTCGTGTAGAAAAGTGGATCTGCTCACGTTGCCAAACTTCATAGCAGCGTAAAAATAACAAGCGTATAGGGAGAAAATTTATATCAAAGTAGACAAAACTGCTTGAGGGGGAAACGAATTTCAAAATTCAGGTCAATGGAAATCTCCAAACGTCAAAGAGTCAATTACATCTGCATCACTGTCACATACTATACACTATATCATCAACAATCTGTAATTATTGATTCCTATTACCTCGAGGACTTCAACTAGGCATGCTACATCTCCCTAAACGGCTCACACCAATAGTCACAGACTTTAAGGACTAGCACAACCCTGCTTCAGATAACACATTGAATTTCGAGGTTGCTGAGGGCATAGCACGCGCAACTCATGCAAGCCACCTCATCGGACAACTTGTTTAGCTTACCTAGTACCCTTCGCCTAACCACCATACTGCTCACACAGTGGTTCCACCATACGTGAACGATGCTGCAAAGACACCTGTGATTGAAAACTTGTAACCACCTCATACCTTCAACTCTGTCTCACAGCCGTATAACAGGACGAAACAGTCTACAGTACAGTGTACTCATCCTTTATTCGGAAGTCAGATATTTTGCCAGTCGGCGCCACAGATGACGCAGGTTTGGCAAATCCCAGACGGGTCTTCTCTATTCAAGCTGAGAGTTTGTCAGAAACCAACCAGTTCGATCTGATGCAACTCCTCAGGTAAGTGAAGTGATAGACGCATTCAACCATTTCACTCACTATCTATAAACTTGAAGTGGCTGCAGATCATTCCCAAAGCATCATCCTGCATTAAATAGGTGTAAAAAGTATGGCAATCATTATTGAGATTTCTGCTCAAGGCATTCAGAACACTACGTTCCGTTGGTGTCGTTACACAACAGGAAAATGTCCTCTTTATTCTCTCAGTGAACCAAGTACCTGCCGAGGAATAATTCAATCTCTGTAAAGTTGAAGTTGCCTAGGTTTGTCTATTAGTACGTTTATAACTAAGATGAAATACGAACCTGTTTGATTTAAACCATAAGGAAGTACATTACATATAAGAAGGGAAAAGTTTATGCCCAGAGGCGATCCCCTAACAAATCCTATTCAAAGTGACTCTAAATATCACTCTAGTGAGTAGTACAATGATTAATTAATTTGTTTTTTATTTTATGCAAAAAATATCTCACATAAAATAAAGGACCTTAAATGTTTTTCAGTGACCTTAAAGGCTGGTCCAGAAGGACTAGTTCCTGAGGTATGTATATAAAGACGGTGGTAGAGTGCTCCTAGTCAAGTTAACTGAAGTATTAACTAGTGTATGGAAGTCAAATACGATCCCCTTTGACTTGTCTAAACCATTGAGTATTCCAGTCTTAAAAAAGGTGAGAAGTCCACTTGTGATAACCACAGAGGAATCAGCCTGACAAACATAGTGTGTAAGATTCCTAGGTTCTGTAATCATTAGACGTTTCAGTGGAGCTCTGGAAAATCAAGCCCGAGAAAACCAAGCAGGCTTTAGACCTGGTCAGGTTCTGGAACATAGGCACGCTTACCGACGCCAGACACTAACTGTATTTCTCGACCTGAAGGCGGTATTCGGCTCCGTTGATCAAGAAGTCATGACAATGTCTGTCACTGAAAGAGGTACCAAGTAAGTACATCACCTTAGTGACGGCTCCTTACTAGAATACCTGTGAGCGTGTTAGAGCCTATGGTGAGATATTGGGTGAGTTGTGTACGTCGAGTGGAGCCCACTCTCTCTATTCCTATTCAATTTTATCATAGATATTCTTATGCAGGTCTCCTTCTCGACATCCAACTACATAGGGATTAACCTAGTTACAGATTTTTTGCAGACGTAGAATACACAGATGACATAGTCCTGTTAGGTGAAGACGCTGACAAGATACAGTCTTCTGGACAGGTGGCAATTTGACAATGTTTGGGATGCGCTTCTCACCACACAACTGCAAATTTTCGCTCCAGGATTGGTCTTCAACGGTACTCCGACTACCAACAGACAGTGAAGTGGTTGTGGGCGTTGAACACGTCACTTACTTGCGAAGTTAGATCAGCCCTGGTGCACTGGTCAGTGGCCGATGAAATCTCTGCACGAATACAAAAGGCTCGACTGGCTGGTTTTTGCCAACTTACGCCACCTGTGGCACCACCGTGATATCCAATTGTGTATTAAGGGTTGCGTGTACTGCATCTGCACACCAGTCCGCTCTCTTCTACTCTATGGCTGTGAAACATAACCACTGAAGGTGGAAGACATGGGAAGGCTGTATGTGTTTGACCACCGTTGTCTTCGTGGCATAGGTCGTGTTTCATGGTGTCACCACTTAACTTAGAAGTCAGGAGATGCGTTTGTGAACTTTCATCGACTGATATGGATAGGTCATGTATTACGTATGCCTAGTTACCGTCTGCCTCGTCACACAATGTTGCAGGACTTACCAACCTCAACTAAAGCCACCTTTGTTAAGAATGCTGTTGACCTAAAAATTATCTATGCTGATCATCTCCTCTTCAGATTGTTCTCCGTTTAATAATTTCTCAAACGAAATTGGTTACTGGTCTTCCTTAAATGATCTCACACTCAATCCCTTCAAATGTTCGATGTGAACAATACTTTTTTACATTGACTATTGTCTTATAGGGGGATCTGTTGTAGAGAATATGATAGACATGATCCGTCTCTTACGTTAACACTGATTTTTGTGTTTTGACGATACTTACTTATAGCTAACCCCCCTACCCCTCCCTCCCTTATTCTTTTATGGACTCCGGAAACAGACTAAGTTGTATTACGTAGGATTTTGAAGGCTATTTTAGTAGAGCAAGTGGTAACACCACTGACCGTGCTGATAAATGCTGTCGTGGATACGCATCTGAACTCTTATAGACAGTTCTGGTTAAAAATATTTTATTTGATGACAAGCATCCTCTGTATCCTTACACCTTTCTCTATGTCTGTGCCTATGACGAACAGTTATCATGTCTTTGAAGTCATGAAACATTTCAATAATCCTGTTATTTTATTATTCTTCATCATATATTGTTAAATAAAAACAATGTTACTGTTTCAGAAATGTTGTACTATGGGTAAATTGATGCGATATCATACGCTGAGAATTTTGTACTGTGGTAGTCATAGTCGTGATTCGGAATAAAGCAGATCTATTATTAATCTAGGTGTAAAACTTGGCACTTTCGTAGAATTTAATTCCATATTAGATTTGTTTATTTGATTTATAACACACAGTGAGTGATCTAGTATTACCTATTTACTTGATGACGTTTCAAGGAGAAATTATCCCTGCTGCTCATAATCATATCAATGTGTAATCTCATACACCACTTTCGACATCCGCCTTTTTTATAGTTATGTCACATTATATAATTTGTTTTTAATTTAATGCTAAAACTAATAATCCTAGCACAATTTATAACACTATTAAGATTCATAAACCAGGTTATCCCATTAGACCCATAGTTGACTTCAGAAATACCCCCAACATAGGAACTACCAAAGTACTTAGCTTCGATATTATACCCTATTAGGAACTGTTCGAATTCCAGACTAGTAAACTCTTACGAGTTAAAACTTAAGCTTAATGACCTACAACACATAGAAGAGGATGAAAAAATGGTTAGCTTCGATGTAACTAGTCTGTATACTGTAAAATACCAATGAATATGGCACTGGAGGCAGTCAGAAGTCAACTAAATATTGACTTAGAACTTACTCACAAAACTAAGATATCAGTTGATGAGATCAAAGTAGGCATATAGCTATGCCTGACCTCTACAGTCTTCAAGTCTCAGGACAAAATATATAGACAGACAGAAGGAGTAGCAATAGGATCACCAATATCCCCAATCGTAGCAGATATATTTATGGATAGTTCGGAAAACATGGCTTCACAAACGTATAACCCTACACCTAAGATATGCTGGCAATATGTGCATGACACACTTACTGTTTCCTCACACATATAAACTCAGTAGTAGGCACAATCCAATTCACCTACGGGGAGGTAGAAAATGAACAAGGAGAATCACCTATGTTGGATTGCAGAATAAAACGACGGACAGACGGTGGCTTGAATACTACTGTCTACAGAAAATCAACACATTCCAACAGGAATCTAGACTTCAAATCATCCCATCCAATGTCAGTCATTGAAGGCAGGATTAGTCAAATGTCTTAGTGATAGAGCTAGAAAACTGACGAGTCAGAGCAATAACCTAAACAAGGAATTGAAACATGTAAGAGAAGTGCTAATAGTTAATAATTATCCTCCACAGTTTATCAAGAAATTCTTACGTACACAGAAAAAACAAAAAAATAACAGTCACAGGAGTTCGACTAATAACGACAACACGAATAAAAAGGAGTTCACAGCCTCCATTGTGTTACCCTATAAGGAGGATACCTCAGAAACTTTACGTAGAATCCTCAACAGAGCTGGAATTAGGGTGGCATTTATATCTACAAACTCACTCAGAGATAAACTTAGCCGGCTACCTTAAGGATCCAATAGAACCACTTAAGTAAAATAGTCTAATCTATAGAATTCCATGTACTGACTGTGAGGTCAAGTATATAGGTCCAACTAGCCGGTCGGGGTCAGTTAGAATAGCTAAACATAGGAATTTAGCTAAATGTAGAGTGACAGAGGTGAATAAGATCAATAATCTAGAAAAAAAACTCGGCTACTGCTATGCATGGATTAACACAAAACCATACAATAAGGTAGGAGAAAGCCACTGTACTACAGTCCAATATAATCAGGTGGAGATTGAGAGAGATTGACTATTGAATCTTTCTTCATCGAATCGACACTCAACATGATTTTGAGCAGTGATAATTTATGCTCGAAACGTCATCAAGTAAATAATACTAGATCACTCACTGTGTCCTATATCATCAGATAAATAAATCTAAGACACACCTATTATTATTATCGTTATTATTATTATTATTATTTCAACACTGAATAGAGGAAGTGATAAACCAATTAGTTAAAATGACGATATACAATTCTAATAAATAGAGATAAGTAGACATTGAACCAACCTTGTATTAACTTCCTCAACCTTACAACATCATGCCAATGATAATAAAGGATACATGTTGAAGGTAATCCATCTCTACCTGAACGTCCAGCTTCTTGATAATAACCTTCAATCGACTTTGGTATTGAATGATGTATAACAAATCGAACATCCGGTTTGTCAATTCCCATTCCAAAAGCAATAGTTGCGCATACAATCTACCATTGACAATAAAATTCAATTCAATTATGATATTTGGTGATTTTTAACAATATCAACTATGATAACTATTCATTGATAAACTTGTGATTCTCCGTTGTTTTACTGGACCGAATTGTTCAACGTCTGCTGGCATATGACCTCCTATGAGGATGCCTTGATATTGCCTGAATGTTAATTATGATAATTTGCTACGTTATGGCTAGCAGAAGAACCCAGGATGAGCGTTCCGTTCTGTATAGGACTCGTCAGCTTGATGTGTACAGAGGTTGAACAATTTGATCCAGTATAACAACGGAGAATTACAAGTCTATCAACAAAAAGTTATAACTAATATCCATTGTACAAGAGGTGGCTATTATGCCTCAGTAACCAAGTGGACAAGGCTTTGGTGTTTGAAACGATGAATACGAGGCTCAAGTTTCAGTGGGGACAACATCACTCCGCACTGGGGTGCGAGTTCATCTAGCTGACGAGTCCCAAATGTGACGAAACACGCGTCCTAGATTTCTCCGCTAGACACAACTACGATAAACAAGCAAGCAAGGTATCTACTATTTTATGACATTTTTCTAAAAATTTCTCTATTAAACAGATATTTTCAAAAGTATACATATGAAATGATATCAAACAATTCAAGGAGAGGGTAGAGGTTTGGCCTATAACTCGAGGTATTCAATTTTCAACAGGTTGGAACTCTTTTTCATCCATCGAAGCTTTAGTAGCCAGAAAGTATTAACAATGATGGATAGTGGCTAGCAGTGGAATCCAGGATACGCATTTCGTCTATTTGGGACTCATTGGTCAGCTGGATGTATTTGCCTCCTCCCAGTGAGTGATGCTGTTCCCACCGCGATTCGGACTCGGGAGCGACCGCTTCAAACGCCAACGCGTTATCCACTACACCACCGAGCCACGATAGCCACTTCTTGTGCAACGGGTATAGTTTTTAGCATATGAGCTCATTCACTGGGAAGCAGGTATATCCAGTTGACGAGTCTCAAATAGGACAAAATGCGCATCCTGGATTCCACTGTTAGCCACTATTCATCATTAACATAATTAGATTGCTGGCAATATTGAGGCATCCGTACAGGAGCCCATATGCCAATAGAGACCAATCATTTCGGTTCAATCAACAACGGTATGATATAAAAAAAACCCTTACACTAGAAAGTATTAGCACTTCTGAAGTAATATGTGTAACTTTTTCCGTACTACATGAAAATACCCATGACTGAGAAGGGATAATTTTGATTTTTCAATAAATGAAACATTTTTCTTAACATGTTTAGATAGCACAATCTGATTCTCTTTGTATATTCTCCAAAAGTAATGAGAAAATTCGGGATACAAAATTTCAATTTATTTAGTGTATCTACTTTATCATCAATTAATGAAGTTATAAATGCCTAACTCCGTAGGGATTGTTTAACATCATCATCATCATTATCAACATGGGACCAGGCATTACTGCATAACGGTCCGAGTTCCCACACCTCATATCAGTACATCAAGTAAAAAGGTAGTGAGGTGAAGCATGAAGATAAGAGAATGCAGTCAAAAGAAATATAAAGTATGAGAAGAAAGAAAAGAGGAGTGACAAAATGGTGAGATTCGGTATAGCGTCGTTAAGATGAGGATAATGTGTGTATACATCTGTGCCACTGACTTCGGTTCTGAGCCATATCACCTACGGTCTCCAACCACTGGTTCCTCTTGTCCCGTGGACCCCAACCACCTAGTCTGCATCGTCCTACATGGCTTAAACCAACAGTCAGAGACTTCATACATTGGTGCCATGTTTTAGTCTGGCCACCTCGGGCCTTTCTCCAGCTTGGACCCACCTCAGCCAACATTGTGTGATGGGGCAATCAGTGACTAGGCATACGTAGTACGTGTCCCAACCATCTCAGTCGATGAAGGTTCACAACCTCGTCAACTGACTTACCTCTTCTCCCCAAAACTCTACACCTGACTTGTGCATTACTCACTGTGGTGACACCACGGAATACGTCCTATACTACGAAGGCAGTGGTGGTCAAACACCTGAAGCCTTTTTATATCTTCCACTTTCAATGGCCATGTTTCACAGCCATACAGTAGAACAGACCGGACTGCTGTGCAGTACACGCGACCCTTAATAGACAAACGAATACCACGGCAGCACCATAGGTGGCGCAAATTGGCAAAAGCCAATCGAGCCTTTTGTATCCGTGCAGAAATCTCATCGGCAACTAACCCACCAGGGTGGTCAACACACTCAACCACTTCACTCTCTATTGTTAACCGCGGTACCGCTGAAGACCAGTCCTGGAGCAAAAATTTGAATTTGGGTGGTGAAAATCGCATCCCAAACATTCTCAAATTCCCACTCAAAGTGTTCAGAAGACTCTGCATCTTGTCAGCGTCTTCACCTAACAGGACTATGTCATCTGCATATTCTAGATCTAAAGAAAATTCACCTGTGATTGGGTCAACGTCTGTGTAATTAGGTGACGAGAGGGAAACCTCCATAAGAATATCTATGATAAAATTAAATAAGAATGGGGATAGTGGGCATCCTTGACGGACACCACTTGATGAGTATAGCTCCCTGGACAACTCGCCATAGGCTCTAACATGCCCACAAGTGTTCGAGTAGAGAGCTTTCAATAACGTGATGTACTTACTAGGCACGCCTTTCAGTGACAGACATTGATTGTCATAAGACTTCTCGATCAACGGAGTCAAGTGCCGCCTTCAGGTCGAGAAATACAGCTATTGTCGGGCGTCGGTAAGTGTGTCTGTGTTCCAAAACCTGGCGCAGTGTGAATATTTGGGCGATACATCCACGGCCACGTCTAAAGCCTGCCTGGTTTTCTCGGGCTTGCTGTTCCCGAGCTCCACTCAGGCGTCGGAGAATTATAGAACCTAGGATCTTAGACACTATGTTCGTCAGGCTGATTCCTCTGTGGTTATCACAAGAGGACTTCTCGCCTTTCTTGAAGACTGGGATGATGAGTGACTTAGACCAGTCGGAGGGGATCGTATTTGATTCCCATATACTGGCTAACACTTCCAGGAATTAGTTGACAAAAAGAAATTCAAAATCAACGTAGAACACAAAAAGCTGCATCGTTTCAAGTTAGTTACCATACTTCATAGTAGTACACAAAGAATAGATGGATAGAAAAGGAGTGGTATCAAGATAAAGGTTAGTGAAAATATTCAAGCTTTACAAGATATCAAAGAGAGTGAATACATTTGCATCATTGTCACCGATTATCAGTCATATCACCTAGTGTCCTTACAATCACTGACACTAATCAGTCATTCTACATCTTTCCATATGATTCAAGTCAACAGTTAGAGATTTCATGGAATAATGGTGCCAGATATTCAACTAGCCACCTTGAACCCTCTACTAACTTAGACGAACTTCCTGTAGCATCATAAATCAAGTTATGCAGTGGATAGGCATGCGCAGTACATTCCCAAACAGCCTCAGACGACTAAGGTTCACAATCTTATCAAACGACTTGGCTAGTATCGTTCACATGAACTCAACATTGTTTACACAATGATTTCACCAAATGGGTGTAAACACTACAAAGACACCTGCGATCCAAACCCTGTAATCGTTTACTGTCTTCTACTTTAAACGATCATATAGCTCACACCCATGAATTATGTCCTATCAAGCTATTATTCCTCGAATTGTCTTACTTTGTTTATTGCATCCTACTGTTTTATTACCTTATCACTTTATAGTATTACATAAGCAGTGTAATCGTTTAGACAGTCAATTAGTTTGAATTGTTTAATTTGGAGGTTTGTAAAGACATCAGTTGGAGAAACATTGGGAACGTGAGAGCATTGGAATTCTTCAGCAGTGCTCACTCATGACCCCGTCAGGGGGTGAACCCAGGAACTTCAGGTTCCACAGCCACTAGGTTAGAATGCAATGTTCTATAATACTTACTTCTAAACTGAATCCCAGTAATGATTGACTCCATCATTAACCTTCCGAAAAGAATTCCCCACGACTGTATAATACTCTTAATAAACTTCTAAGGGAAAATCTCAGTATTGTTAACGCAAGTATGGGACTAAAGGTCCGAGGTGGCCATACTAAAACATGGCATCAATGTATGAAGTCTCTGACTGTTGGTTTAAGCTATGTAGGACGATGCAGACTAGGTGGTTGGGGTCCACGGGACAAGAGGGAGCAGTGGTTGGAGATTCTAGGTGGTCACGTGGCTCAGAACCCACGTCAGTAGCGCAGATGTATCCCCATACACATTATCTTCATCTTAAAGACACTATACAGAATCTCACCGTTTTGTCACTCCTCTTTTCTTTCTTCTCGTACTTTATATTTCTTTTGACTGCATTCTCATATCTTCATCCTTCACCTCACTACTTTTCTACTAGATGTACTGATATGAGGTGTGGGAACTCGGACCGTTACGCAGTAATGCCTGGTCGTATGTTGATATTGATTGATTGAAGTATGGGACTTGAAGAAGTTGTCGAAAAGAGTATAATCCGATGACAAAACGGAAACTCCATGGATAGTGGTCTACAAAGTACAGGAACCAGTAGATGGCGGTTCAAGATAATATGATTAAACATTCGTCAACATGGTAACCATACATCTGATGAGACTTTCCTTGCATCTACTTTGTACTTAGTTATTCACCATTTTTGTATATCCTCTAGGTTCACATTAATATTCCCACTCCCGCCCTCTTTGTCTCTACAATGTTTAGAACTAGTAAATCGATGTCTAGAGAATAATATACTATTGGTAAATATGCATGTATACTTACCTTGCATTTATCCTCTTGTATCCATGCTTGTTGTACATTACGTCGTTGAGTATCTGTCATACCAGCATGATAAGCGAATGCTTGAAATCCTGCACTAGTTAATTCTTCAGCGACTATATCACATTCTCGACGAGATAAACAGTAAACAATACCTGATCGTTTAGGGAATTCATTATGTATTACATCAATAATTTCTTTAGTACAATTTTTAGGCTTTTTTGGTCGTACTTCAAATTTTAAATTGGCACGATTAAAACTTTGAATAAACCTATTTTACAAAAACATCATACAAAATTATTATTGGTAGTATTATTATTATTATTATCAGTATTATCATTATTAGTATTATTAGCATTATTATTATTAGTATTATTATCAGTATCATTGTTATTAGTAGTATTATCAGTAGTAGTATTAGTATCATCACTATTAGTATTATTATATCTAGATATAACGTTTCAAACCTGAATGATGGTGCATTGAGTAGATTACTTTCAGACAGGTCCTGCAATACAGGAATATCTACTGTCTAATAGCTGACACTTGTTATATTTCTCGACCTGAAGGTGGTAGTCCATTTTGCTGCCCAAGAGATGTTGTGGCAGTGTCTAAGGCTAATCAAAGCTCTCTATCCGAATTTATCAAGCCATGTAAGAGTGTAGACAGAAAGTTATCATCATCAGAATTGACGACAATTAGTAGTGTCCATCATCAAGGATGCCAACTTCGTCATACACATGATAATGGATATAATTTTAAGGAACGTTTGACCTCATCATAAGGATTATCCTACACCATGGAAGTCATCTGGTAGACTGAAGCATGTACACATATAATTTTTAAAAAATTAAACTGTTGACAGAAGTATGTTGCTTAAAGTTGTAATCTACTTGGTGTTAGGCATGCCTAATCTCTAAGAAAAATTAACTTATAATATGTATATACTATCATTGTGCAATCTAAACCTTATTTTCGCGCCCTTTTTACCGCGGTTTAGGATACTAAACGCTGATTGGTCCATTTTACACTATAAATCTGTTACTTTGTTTTCTCTAACTAAGGTCATTTAACGATATATAAACGACTGATTTTTCAGCTATGAGATTATTCGGTTGAAGTAAATATACTTTCAATCTCATTATCTTTTGGTGTCAGCTGAATATCGAGTTGAAAAGTTATTGTTCTATCGTTAATCGTATCATGTTGGAGCACTGTATCGTCGCATATATCGTAGATCATAACAGTCTATACCCAGGATGAGCATTTCGTCCTATTTGGGGCTCATCAGCTAGATGTACCTGCAAATTCACTCACTTTAAAGTGCTTTCTATTGGCTTACCGATTTCAATACTACACATTTCGAAACCAGAATAATAATCTTCATAATGCTGTTTCTGAGAACGATTGTGCACATTCTGGCTAATAAATGATCAACGTTGTTTAGTATGCAAATGAACATAACTATTAGACGATTAATAGTAGCAAATACAAGGTCACAACGAAGTTACCGAGAAATACCTTTAGAGTGCTGCAAAACAATCATTTTTTTAAATCGCAACGAATGATATCTATAAATGCTGAATAGTGTGTTGTAGACTACCCAAAACCCTTCTAAATAAAGCTCATTTTTAAATAAATATAGCATTGAAGAGATGAGAAGTTACCAAAGATAGTGTGTATCGTCGCTCATGAAATCACGAAACCACCCATGATGGCTTAAAAGATAGATCTATTATTATTATTATTATTATTATTATTATTATTATTATTATTATTATTATTATTTGTCCCTTGGGTTCCTAATGGAACACAGGGCTTCAGTAGCACGTCTCAATTTCCACTCTCTTCTCTGAAATCTTTTGAACCTCGCTCCACGACAGCCCACAAGCTTTCATTTCCTCCTCACCATCTCCTCCATGTCACCCTCACCTAGGACGCCCAACTCGTCGCTTCCCATCTGGGTCCCACTCGACCACCTGACCTGGAGCGTGATGTCCCCAGTCCGCCTTCTCAGTGTATGCCCAATCCATCTCCACTTCCTTCCAGTGCATATTTGTTGAGCGATAGGTTCTTACTTTGTTGGTTCGTCGCCAGCCACAGTTTCTTGTTGCTTATTCGTTCTGATCATCTCATCTTCAGTATCGAGTGAGCGTAGGCAGCAGCTGTTGATGAATGTCTGTAGTTTGTTGGAAATGTCTTTCGCGACGCGCTGTCTCTCAACCATCACACAGAAGCACTGGTTTGATGTTGGTAGTGAAAATCCGGATCTTGCTCACGCCTTATGCTGAGTGCGGTGAAGTGAATCTCCACACTGGTTTCAGGTTAATGAACGCCTATCTTGCTGTCTTTCCGATCCTGGCTGGCTTTGACGTCCTCGTCTGTGCTGCCACCTGTAGTTGAAACGATGCTGCCTAGACAGGTAGGTAGGTGAAAGAGACTACTTCTTTTAGGTTTCTCCCGTTATTGGTGATTGGTGCTTGTTGTTCATGCTGTTGTTGTTGTTAGTTGGGTATCTTTATCACCTCTGTCTTCTCTACGTTCACTTAAAGTCCCGTCTTCGCTGCATCGCTTCTTCTGTCAACTTGCTAGTTTTCATCTGTAGATATATATACAATGCTAACCGTGATTCATTCTTTTACTAACCAACCAACCAATTACCTAGTTTATTCTGCAAAGAAAACCGTCCACATAAAATGTTCCCGTGATAACTCACACATTCTGGTTTAAACATGCTTCAAATCTCGCATACCAGATCAGTTCTAGGTTCACAAACATCCACAGATGTTGAATCTCACTTGGTAGTTGCCAAACTAAAATATATTCAAAGGTCTAAAGGGGCGATTCTGTTGAAAAGATATGATGATCAGTGCCACAGACAGAAAACATGTTCACTTAAGGCTTTTCAAACTGAAACTTGTGACAATGCACACAATGTCAACAACCTTTACACATGAAATCTCATAGACATATCCAAACAGCATCTTTACAGAGATCAACACATTGTTCAAAATGTACAAAACTCAAGTAGTATTACCTGCATTTTATTAAGCATCACACACACACACACACATGTTAACTGTCTTCAATCACACCTATTCTCATCAGCACCAAATACAAGTTAATCTATAGAATACAATCCACACCATCTTCACCATCACACTGGCGGCCACTAGAAACACTAAAGAACCTTGCTAATCATGGGTGTTGTACTTTAAAGACCAACTTTTACCACACTTCCAATTCAAATAGTTTCCAGAAGTCCCTTATCTACAAAACTATATAATGTTTCCATGACAGTAAAAGAATTTAACTGTTGTAATGCTGAACCTATTGATCAGCTGTTGAAGATCAGAAAATCAATAAACTTTTGACATAAATTCACTTACCATTTAGTATTCATCATCTTCAATTGGAGAAGAATATCTCTACGAACTTTTGGTGTAGCTGTAGCAGTCATTGCCATCATTGGTACATCTGGGAAATTAGTTCGTAAAATATTTAAGTTTCTGTAATCTGGTCTGAAATCATGACCCCACTATGAGTTAGTTAAAAAGAAAGGGGGAAAAAACAAAATTATAACAACATATTTTTCTAGTGGTTTATAATTACGCAATCTTGATGAAACAACAGGTAGGATAGGTGTTGAGGCAATTCTATCACTCAAAATAAACCTCTTGCAATGAAAACCACTCAGTTGTGTTAGGCATGTTTTTGCATAGTCACTATTTAGATTGGCAGGTATTTTGACGAATCAAGTATATTAGGGGAACCTTACAAATACTGACTGATGTTTAATCAGAACGAGTATACTACGCTGCGTAGTCCATCCTGTCCTATTGTATGGTTATGAGACATGCCCGTTAAAAGTAGGAGATACGAAACAATTACAGTTTCTCAACAAGATATATCATCGTAGCATTGCACGCATGAGGTGGAATCACCATATGAGCAATGTTGAAGTTAGACGAAAGGTACTAGGTAAGACAAGCAAGTCGATTGGTGAGGTTCTCAACCTTTATCGACTCAGATGGCTCGACATATAGTGCGCATGCTGAGCCACCATCTACCTTGATGTATCATGGCTAAAGGAAGTTAGATCAGGTTAGAACAGCGTTCACGGTGGTCAGTCCAAGATCTGGCACCACTCCATGAAGTATCTGACTGTTGGCCTGGTTAGTGTCCCTGAGTCGAAAGTTATGCAAATACACTAAGAGGAGGTAACGCAATTGACCAAATGAGATATAGCGATCAAGATGCAGGTAATATGCGGATGTATTCCCGCCACTGACACAAAATCACAAATCCATCTGATGAAAGCGCAGCAAATAATAACATTCTAAACAGCACAACTGGTGAGATTACCAGACGAGTTATCGTCTACAAGCAGTAAGTACCATATGGAAGAGGTGAACTAAAAACCTTGCATACTTCATGAGGTATTCTCGCTACTCCAATACTTTAAGCAGATCATTCATAATATACCATCACCCGTGAAAATAGTAGTACAAATGGTTATTATCGTAAAATAGCGAAAAAACAGCACAATAACGCTAGTGTATGTTCTAGGCTACGAGCAACACTTTTATAAAATGATAGATAGTGGTTAGCAGCGGATAATGCTTTGGCGTTTTGAAGAGATCGTTCCCGGGTTCGAGTCCGGATGGGAACAACATCCCTCACTGCAAGTCCTAAACAGGACGAAACGTGCATCCTGGAGTCCATTGTTAACCACTATCCATCACTAATATAAAACTGAAAGACACGCAATATTGAAGTATCCGTGCCAATCCGGTTCAATCAACAACGGGATAATACAAATAACAACATATGAGCAACACTGGTTATGTGAGGGCTTGCCGCAATACCCAGTTGAAAAGATGGAGAGACGTTTGACTCCAGATCCATGGTTTATAAGTACATTGCTTAAGCCCAAGAAGGCATACATTTAGAAAGCAATAGACGAAATTGGTATCATAAAGCAGATACAGCAGTCTCAATACACACACACACCTGTAAAAATAGTCATGATGAAACCAGACTTACTTGACTAACACAATGCGCCTCATCGATAACAAAACGATCCAATAGTTTGCGTTTGTATAACTGTTCAAGCATGCTCTGAGTTTATCTGAGGCAGCAATCTACAAATGAATTTGGAAAATTCAGTTATGATGATTATCAATAATTTGTCGAGAGAAGGAAGTGCTTCGATGAAACATATCATATATAGAAATAAATGGTTACAAAATTTTACAACTAGGCACAGAAACCAGATGTAAATGAATTCAAAGTTTAACAGTTACGAAGAAGAGGAGTATGTAAAAAACTGGACTAGGGCTCTACATCATTCTAAACAATGAACACAATCACTTTCTGAATATTAACAGAATTTCGATAACATTATAAAAGTCGGTTACCAGTTTATAGTTAAAACAGATGCAATAGACTTGGTATGAAACCACTTCCACGGGCTATGCATAATACACATTAAATATCTTTAAAGAAAGAAACCTTGATAAGGAGAGCCTCCTATGTAACATCAATGAAGGTATAGCACAGCAATGTTTCGATGCTGAAATTTCGGCTGGTAAATCATGAGTCCCATTCATCAAGATGTGAACAGTTATATACTGTTAACCGGGATATAAAAGATATACCTTGTATTCTAGTACATAAACCTGTAGAAATTGTTTTCTAAGTTCCAGGTGTACTGAATATATTAAGGTTAATCAAGGAATACTTACTTTTTCTGGAGTTACATACAAAAGTTTTAGACGAAGATTGACCATATGTAACTAGCATACACTCGATCACTTTCTGTTAGGCTAACTTCACCAGTTAGATGAGCAGCTGGAACCTAAGAACAAGAGAAGAGAAAAAAAGATGTCTATATTCACAATGGTAACTGCTAATAGAGACAGATAAGTACAACGACCATATCATTGTGACCGAAATTACAGGGGAATATTGGGAAAGTGAAGATGGTAAAACTGTATCGAATGATATTTTACACGTTCGTTTTGGTCAAATAACATAGAGAAATACTTGAATTGAAAGCTTACATATTTATGCATCTATCCATCATCATCCAAATCAACATAGGACCACGCATTACTGCATAACGGTTCGAGTTGCCACACCTCATATCCCTACATCAAGCAAACAAGGCAGTGAAGTGGAAGATGAAGAAAAGAAAATTCAGTCAGAAGAAATATAAAGTACTAAAAGAGAGAGAGGGAGATTCGGTATAGCGTTAAGGTGAGGATATTGTGTGTGTACATCTACGCCACTGACTTCTATTCTCAGTCATGTGATCACTCAAGTCAGTCTCTAACCACTGGTTTCGCTTGTCCCGCAGACCCCAGTATTGCTATAGGGCATACAATCACTGGATCAGCATTTCTGTAGTCTTCCTCTCCACCCTGACTGATACCTTGAAGCGGTGGTAGGGCTTGTATATCCCAATGATCCAACGAGCTATGCTAGTGGAATGCTTTTCCCTCGAGGTCCTACCATACTAGAAAAGTCTATTGGACAGTTGTTAGACAAAAAGCAGTTACCATTATGGCGTAAATAGCTACGCTGTGATGGGGGTCTGAGGGCTAGACGGGGGAGGGTTGACGGCACCAAAGTGTTTCCCTTGATGTTAGCCAGTAGTGCCTCATTGACACTGTCTTGCCAATAAGGAGCGGGGATTAGTAAAAGTTGGCCCCAAAATAGCACACCCATCCCTGGAGGCATACCGATGTCTGTAACAGGGATTCATAGTCGGATTCAAAAGCAAAATCCCAAACTTACCCCAAGGCTATGTGTGATCGGCCTTAAGCAAACGTCCCTTGGGCTCTGCGGTCATGCACTACCCCTTATTTTTCAGGTGCCTCAAGAAGAACTGGCCTTCCACGGTGTGGGCAGCAAGGAAGTGTCAACCCCCTGCACGCTTCCAGTAGTACACAAGACTTACTCGGTTGGGTTCGGAGAATTACCATGAGCGGGTAACGATGAAATAGGTTTATAGTAGTAAGTAAATATCAACTTATCACTAGCATTTAGTCGATGCAGAATGTTTCTGAATATTTCGGCATCTACAGAATATGCAGAAGTATACGACCTGTCTCACCACACTTTCCAGAAACTAAGGTCCACAGTTAAAGATTCGATGTTACCATTTTTAGTTGACCGGTATGCAGATGATTTTACCATATTTTAATACTACTACATTGAAGCAGATGAAGAATAGGTATACAGAAAAAATATCCGTCTATCACAAAAGTGGTTGATGATGTCTATAAATGATCTAACTGCTTTACATAACTAACTGCATTTATAATCGCTAAGAAGACAAACGCTGAACAGTAACACTACTGTCTTATCTGCCTGAGCCCATATACATCATTACGGAAGGTCGAATTTCTTTAGTTAGGCACTCAATTTGCAGATTCTGCTGGGTTTAACGCTAAATCAGGGAAGCATTCAACTTAGCAATCAAGCTTGACTCGTAAAGTCTGACACCTCTTATGAACGTTACTCAAAATACCAAAAACCATTACCTCTTGACAAGATTATAAGAAAACCACCAACCTAGAATACTAGAGAAGCAGATACACTAGTTAGGATACTATTTTAGGCACCATTTTCATGATAAACTAGTTCCTATTGAATAGTGAACAATATTAATCAGGAATTAAAGGCCGGTCAGTAGGTAGAGCAGGTTTTGTATGCAGAAACAACTTTCTAAAAATTAAACGTCTAATCCAGTAGAGTCGCAATCCAGTGTTGCTTACTATAAGCTATAATAAAGATACCAGATCACAACAACAAAAAAGGTGATAAATTTATGAAGAAAGTAAAATGATAATTCACATTTCCCATATATTAAAATGTAGTTATCATTCACTTTAACCAAAAGAATCGTTTATTCAGATTTGTCAGCGAAATGAGAGACTGAACTACTCGTAAAGTGAGAAAGAAGCATAAGTGACATGACATTCTACTTCCCCCTATTCTTGATAAGCACACACTTACTATCATTCATGTAGTTGGTTAACGTAAATATTTTATTAAAAAATCCAAGTATTATACATCTTATACTTACCCCAAGTGATTGGAGCTTTGTAACTTGATCCAAAACTAATGCTTTAAGTGGGAAATTACTAATGTTAACCCCGACTGAACTACAGCTGGAAGCTGATAACACAGACTTTTCCCACCACCTAAAAATTAAAAAACAATAAGAAATGACCACTGAGTCAATAATTAGAAAGCTCATTGTGCTGATACATATGCCATAGATACCAAATGCAAGCACCTAAAATTAATGGTCTTCATCATAGTAATGATGGATAAAGGTTAACACTGGAATCCAAGACGTACTTCTCGTCTGAGTTGGGACTTGTCAGCTGGATGTACCTGCCTATCAGTGAGCGATTTTTTTTCCACTAAGACTCCAGCTTAAGAAGATCGCTTCACCCACATAACTCAGCAACCATATACAGGTGGATATATTAGGCAATCTACCACAATAGTAATGCGATGACTTAAGATACCGCTTGGCAGCCAAAACTTGGTAAATAGAGACGTTCAAACCTGCGACTTGCCAGCCTGGTTTCATTACATCTACTTCCAACGGCAGTCTCATAGTCGTATAACAGGATAGAATGAATTTTAGAGCAGCAAACTCGTCCTTTAATAGGTAATCGGATATATCACCAGTCAGTGCAAAACATAACGCGAGGTGGGGAATACCAAAGAGGCTCTCCGTATTTGAGTTGAGATTTCATCAACAACTAACCTATTTGAGCTGATGCGACTACATAAGTTAGTGAAGTGGTCAATGCATCCTACCACTTCATTCCCCATCCTTGAATTTGGAGTAGCAGTAGATCAGTCAAGAAGCACTATTTAACACTCGGCAAGTAAACAAACGCATGCCAGATATACTTAGTTTTCTGCTTAAGGTATTTAGAAGACCCTGCATTTTGTCAGCGTCAGGACAATGTGGTTTTTGTACTCCTTAACCAGATAGCCTCCAGGAAGTAGGTCAGTCCCCGTGAAGTCAGAGGTATTTCAGACTGTATCTACTAATAAGCTCATAACGATGACAGTGAGGATCCCTGGTGGACACCATTAGTTGTCATCAATTCAGATGAAAACTCTCCGTAGGCCCTTGCACGGCTGAGTGAGTTCGAATAAAGAGCTTTGATTGGCGTTATCCATTTGCTCAGTAATCCGTTTGCAGTCAGAAACTGCCACAACACTTCTTGACTGACGGAGTTAAATGCCACCCTCAGGTCAAGAAATATGGGAAGTGTCGGCCGCCAATGGGAATACCTGTTTCGGGACCTGTTGAAGGGTGAAAATGTGATCGATACGCCCTCGTCCAGGTATGAAATGTCTGGTTTCCCGCAGTTTGTTCTTCTCCAGCCTCGGTTAGGCGTCGGATAACCATGGAACCCAGGGATCTTGCATACGACAGATTACTCTGTCTGTCACAGGGTGACCTCTTTTTTTTACAAACTACAGTGGTCAGTGAAGTAGACCCGTCTGACGGGACTACCTCCAACTCCCATGTGCTATCTAGTACCTCCGTTACTCTAATCAGCAACTTTTCACCGCTATCTGGAAAAACCGTGGGTGGTAAACCATCAGGTTCACCTGCTTCGTGTAGTTTCAAGTTTGAAACAGATTTTTCAAATTTGATGAAATTTGAAGGACTGACACCTATATCCTATTCGGGCTTCGTCTCGATGCTAGGCTGTAGACCAGTTGGACTGTGCTTCAAAGTGATGCCTCCAATGTTCTAGTCGCATATCCAAAGAGATTATTATGGTCTTACCCTTCTAGATGATGGTTTCACTGACCATTGTCTTCTTGTCAATATCCTTCATAAACTGAAATCATTGTTGAATATTAACTTATGCTGATGCCTTCCCCATTAGAAACGATATTACTCCTGATGAGAATAAAATCCATAAATGTATAGCAGCTTGAAAAGTAAGTGCATGACGTGATATATGTTAACTACTTCATAAAAAGATTTGTAAGGCAGGAATTTTCCTGCATATAGTACAGGAAATTAACGTTTAACATATGAAAGACTTCAAGAGATTATCTCTAATAAAAACAAAACCGTAAGTAATAGAGAAAAGTAACATCTTACCAGTGGGCATGATAACAAAGCAGTCACGACCCAAAAGCGCTGCATTGATGGCTTGAAGTTGATTCCGCCTGAAAGATCGTAAGCCAAACATCTTTGAGAATGCTTCCATCATTCGTTTGGAGTGAGGAAAGCGATCTTCACCATCAAACTCCCCTGTAGATCCATCATCCGGTTGATCGTAATCATCACTACAGTGAGTTGGAAGATCTAGTTTACAAATAGGTAGGTTAAATGATATATATTCATAAACATTCAGTGCATATACAGTGGTAAACATCGCAAAGGAGTTAAGAAATACTACATAAACTGTACCTGTATTTGACAGACAACCGCTTCTCTTTGTTGTTCCAGACTAGCAGTTTGGTTACACAAGGTTGGCTGGGTTCCGCCATTTCTTTGTAACTTTGCTATCGATGACATTTTGATTTAGTTTTGAAGATATATTGTAAAGGTTTAGAACTGTTACCAGGAGAGAGATTTCTCGACCTCAAGCATACGGACGATATCGTTTTAATATGCGGCACCGCATAAGCCACTGAAGTTGCAGTCAATTAGTGAGTGTCTGTATGTTTTGCAAAATGTGCAAAGTATTTTTACAAGTTCGACAGAAGTAAAGTTTGAGCATATGATTGGTTCTGTGAATTTCAGGTGTTGTGGGTGTGATTTTGAACCGTTTATTAAACTGAAGAGTATGTACCAGTCTATCCTCGTCGGCGCTGTCACGACGGTTAGGAAGCTATAAAAGGTCACATGAAAACGCGTTGGTACAAAAAGGCTTAATCAACACTTGTGGAATCTGGCATCTTCGGGATAGGAATATCCTACAACTTTAAGCTTCGGGACTGGATAGAAGCTGAAAGGCAATGAGTGCATGATGTACGGTAGTCGATGAGTAATTATTTCGGGTTAGTATCAGTTAACGCTTGAAAGATTACCGAGTGAAGTCTGAGAGATCATGCAACTGAAAGGTCTGAGACGAGATCAGATACAGTATAAAACCAAAATCAGTGGCGATTATTTCGTAGTTTTCTTACATCCTACTTGTAATAATTAAGGCGAGTAAAACGAAAACTTTCTCTGAACCTAACAAACCAACTGTTCACTCGTCTTTATCTTTTCTTATCTCTGATCGTTTTTCACTTTATTTTGTTATATTGGGTTGTATGGTGCGTTGCGGTATCAACACTGTATAGAATTTGTTTAAACGAGTATTATACAATACTAGATCAACGTGCAGAAAACAACTTCCTAAGATACAACCTATATTCGGAATCTTTTCCGAAGAGCTGATTATAAATACGCCCATAAGCCCACTTCCCAGTGAAGACATTTCCATATGTATAGTATAAATATATTTAATTTGTTGGCGACAAGGTTAGACACAAATGTATCTTTACTTAAATGAACACAAATTAAATATAAGGTGTCGTTCACATGTTCGAAGAATTTAAGTGCCCCAAGATGCCAATTGAATGGCTTCCGAACACTACGCTAAATTATTCCTTCTGACTCAACTACTCTATGGATACAACATAGATAATAGTACTCGAAGAGTCAGTTTAGCAACTAAGAAGTGAAACCAATACAAGATGAATGGTTCGCATTTACAGCCAACCTCTAAATAGGTAAATTAGTTAAAGAAAGGTCACAACCTACATGGTTGCATAAAACCCTATTATGTTACCTATGATAACGTTTCAACTTACAATACCAGACCCCAACCCTTAACATTTTATAATTAGCCGATATCGTCTATTCATCTGAGTGGAACGTGAGTGCTGGAGTTTTCAAATTATTGTTAAGCTAAATGACAAGATAATTTGCTGGGCATTTTCATTGGTCGACGGTCATCATATAATACACATCTACCTAAAAGTCTGTACTGTGATAGTACTTCAACGTGCTCATTTGATGTCTTGAACAAAATGTCATTTGTCTTAAAATCTATTTCTACTTGAACTGGGTAGCGTAAGGTACTGGTTAGTTATAATCCCTTCGTTACCAACTTATTCTTGTCTTAAGTATTCCATTATTCCTTGATTTGGATTCTTCGAGACTTACTCTCATTGTTCCTTTGGGTCATCATAAGGTAAACCAAAGCAGGCAGATAGATAGACATAAGGAGCTATAACCATGTGTCGAACAGTTCAGTTGCTTTGAAAGTCCCATCAGCCCGAACATGCTGGTTGCGGACGAAAACTAAGCCCGGGTATGGAGGGCTTGTTTGGCACTTGCCAACCCCCATCATCTGTTGCACCGACTGACAAGGTATTCGACTACCATTGGACGAGTATACTGTGCTGCAGTCCGTTCTGTCCTACTATACGGAGACAGTTTTTAAAGTAGATACAAAGCGATTACAGGTTTCTGATCATAGTAGTCTTCAAAGCACTGCTTACATTTGGTGGAATCACCATGTGAGCAATGTTGAGGTCAGGCGAAGGGCACTAGGCAAGTCGATTGATGAAGCTGTGAATTTACATAAGCTGAGGTGGCTTGGATATATGTTTCGCATCTTCAGTTACCGCCTAACTCGAGGTGCCACCCTTGGGGAAGTTGAATTAGGATACAAAAGCGTTCAGTATCGCCAGACCAAGAACTGGCAGCAGTCCCTGAGCCATGTGGAGATGTAGACTGGCTGGCTGGAGTCCCCAAGATGAAAAAATAAGTGGTTGACAACTCTCGGTTACATGGCTGAGAAGTGGTCAAAGATGTACTAACCCATTGACGTCTTCTAAGACTTCAATATTCGCACTAACCATCATCTAAAGACTGGTTATTCTCTCACATAATGTTGCCTACTTTCTCATTTATCCATCTCTTCTTTCTATACTACTGTGAATTGTGGCAACTTCAGCAGATGCACTTGTGTGCGAGGTTCCATGTTAATCTTGTCGGTCTGTCATAGTTGTGTACAAGAATTATTCAGTTTATATTACCGTACTCTGTAACAGCATGAAGTCATAGGGAACATAAAGTGCTGTAATTAAATCTCTGAAATCTGAAGAATGGCAAAAAGTAAATACGTCTGAACTATGGTGATTTATCTTGAACTGTCACGTAAAGTTACCAGCCATTTTTTATAACATTTTGTGAACTCCTACTGATCGGATAAACTTTGTAAAAACTCAAGACAAATAGCCACTGAGTTTATTTATTGCTCTATCCATATCTAAAGATTTATCCTGATGGATCTCTTAAAGATCATTATCAGACGTTGGAACCCTCGGTGACAGAGTATATAACAAACACACTGTAACCATATAACTGGCTAAAACCTTGTATACTCCACTTTTGTATTTTCTCCGCTACATATGAAATGAAACAAACTGGTCAAATAGTTTGACAACAATTATCACTTACCCCATTTAGATTGAACGGCCTTTAGAGGAAGAAATACACCGCCTTCTCCTGAGTCAGAAGTCACAGTCGATTTCTGTGCTATGTGATCATTTGTTTTCTTTGGGGTGACAGTTAATTTCTTACTTGTCGGACATTTTGGAGGGATTTCTATAACGGAACGAACTCTAGACGAGCTAGTGTTCAAGTTGACCCAACTGTCATCATCTGACAATATAGCTCCGTTCGCCTTGGGAGTGCTGTTTGTCTAATAAAAGTTAAGTGGAGAATCAAATCTTAGTACATTATTTACTTAGGTATTATCAATAGATTAGAATGTATTCTCGAAGTAACTAACCATGTGACCGAACAAAATCTAACTACAAAACTGGTTAACAATCACTTACATAAATTACCAAATAGCTACTTTCAAAAAATACTAACCATTATTTTCCTGGTGAGATGACTGTCTTTAGGACGCTGGTCAGCTGTGAATATGGATGAAACAGGATTGTTTGGCTTCATCACTGTTCTTGGTGGGAGATGACGACTACTTTCGGTTACTGAGATAGAACTTCTAAAAAGTGTCACAGAAAAGATGAACAGACCTCTCACTTAGCAATTTTGTTACAACAGACAACTCATCCCGAAACAGTACATGAGCTTGTTCATTGGCAGGCCTTCTAGCAATTCACAAACCTTGCAGATCGACGTATAGAATGACCGGGGTATTACGACGGAGTCAGCAAGACAATTTGAAAGCTCCGATTTTATGCTTATGTTCTCGATACATTTGTCCGAAAAAGGTGACTTCATGTCATTAAATGGTAAGATACTGGGTTGTGAAGAGCCAGAAACTTCAGGACTAATGGAGACAGGTAGTGGCCTCGAGACTGTATATTACTTGGTGATTCATAAATGGTTGGAGGGTTACTACTAACGGTTTGATCAGCTTCATCAAACCACGATGGTGAAGGAAGTTCTGTAAGTTGTGAAAATAACCAACAAACTGTTTACCTAAAGACTCCTCATGGGTGGAAATATCAAGGTCAGGAGATGGCGATCTCGGAACATCATTATCTTTCCTATAAGTAATGATACAGTTAAGAAATACTAACCTAAGAGGTGTCACCGTAGCTGTTGGGAGGAACTTCGCAGAAGATTTTATTGCACTTTCATCTTTACAGCCTGGAGAGCTCTCAGGAGATGTGAAAAGTGGCCTGTGCAGAGTTTTGCTTGACACCTAAAATCGTTAACTGGTAAAATCTACGCATACTGAAGTAGTAACAACAGGAGTGGTCACCTTCGGTGTGTTCTTCAGGGGCTTGAAAGTAAACCTGAAGGCGTCATCCCAATAAATTCGAATTACTTTCGTGATCCGTCACTCATTTTTTTAGTGACGCCGATTTAACCAATAGACGCGCTCGTAATAGCATCAATTAATTAACGAGATGTAGTTAACGAGATTGACTGACTATTTGACCTTCTAACATCAGTGAAGATCGTGCATGAGGAAATGGGTTGAAAAGCACTTTGACACGAAATACAACCAGTCCTAATGAATGTTGATAGAAGTATGAAGCTCGTATATAGCGCAATTCTCCTAACTTACATCCAATATCCAATATTCTTTTAACGAGCTGATTTCTTCGCGCTCGCTTCTAGGTCTCGCGGAATGGTTCCAGGTCTTTGGTGGATTCCGCTGCAGTAGGTCTACCCACTCGACTTCTGTAGCTCTGGTTGGGTGTTGGTTAAATTTACAGTGTTGTTGTTTGTTTGTTTTTCTTAAGGACCGTGGTGCAGATAGGTTCCTCAAACGTCGTACCAACAGTCAACTGGTCAGACTGGTTGCAAAAAGGAGGTCGAAAATATGTCCAGAGAGATCAGGGGAAAGAAAGTGCAAAGAAAAACAAATAGGAAAAGAAAACAAAAAGATTAGTAAACAGGAAAAGTAATGTCAGCAGGAACAGAAGGAGAAAATAACATTATAGGACGGTTTATGAGGATAGAAATAGTAATTCTATTAGTGCGAGACGGCAACTGGAGGCGACGTCTACACGGAATTATAAGGTTGTAACATGTTTGATAATGAGTTGGCCGTACTGAGTTAGTAGGTCGCGTCATCCTACTCCGCATCCCAGCGGGATGAGCGCAAGCCACACGTCACTACTTCACTGTCCAACCTCTTCTTGAAGCTGTCAGACTGAGCAGTAACAAACTCAGCGGGCAAGCCTTATAGTGGCAGCAAACTCTCAGAGAGAAGTGTGAACGTACACAGGTTTTCGCCCTTTGTTGGCGATTCTCCTTGGGTTACCACGAGGACCGCCATATTGGCCGTTCGGTTGGATTCCACTGTTCGGATGACTTGGGTTGCCTAGTGTTTTGCAAGCCGTCTCTTTTCAGATATGGTGGTGCAGTGACGCTAAGGACCTCCAAGCGAGGTCGTATGTAGGTCTTGTACAGCTTCAAAGAGAGTTCTGGGGTCGGAGCACCTGGTTGTCTGCTCATGGAGTTCAGTACTGCGTAGGCTCTGGAGGCGTCTCCAGGATAACTGGAGCTATTGTCTAGTTTGTCAGTTAGTATTAGTCCTGGGCCTTGCTCTGTGGTGGTATGTGGAGGCTGTGTTCCACAGGGAGAACAGAGTACCTTCTTAGAGTCAGGGATGCGGAGAAACATGGCTTGGCACTTATCCAGGTTAAACGCCAGTCCATTAATATCCACCCACTCTGCAAGTAATTTGACATCACCATGCAGTGCACTTGGTCCTGTTTTGGACATCACAGCTCCCCACAACTTAACATCATCAGCGTATATTAGAATTGGGGGCCGAGATTCAGTGGGAGGTCGTTCACAAACAGAAGGGATAGCAGCAGTCCCAAAATCGCTTCTTGTGGTTCACCAGTTGATAATGTCCTCCAAGTCGAGCAGACTTGGTTGGCTTTTGCGCAGAATTGTCTGCCGTCTAAATGGTCCTGCAACCAGGACAGCACTTAACCCTTGATACCGAACCTTGATATCTCGCGAATAAGAATGGTGTGTAGGACTGTGTCAAAGGCCTTAGCAACATTCAAGAAAATGATGTGAACAGGAATTTGGAGGTCCCAACAGGCCATCCACTTATCACCTGCCGCCAGAATGTTTGCGGCACAGGACCTACCCTTCCTAAAACCATGTTGGGCATCACTTAGTGCTCCCTTCTTTTACAAGCGCACTCGGACAAGGTCGTCTACCAGTCTCTCCATTACTTTTGACACCGCTGGTAGAAGGGCTATGGCTCGATAGCATTTTTGGGTTCTGCCTGTCCTCTCATTTGAAGACGGGGGACAGAATAGCACGTTTCAATTCTCGTGGAAGCATGTGGTTGTCTAAGGAGTGTTGGAACAGATTACGCAGAGGGCTGCACGAGACACCCGCGCACTGTTTCAACACAGCTGGTCGGATGCCATCGCATCCCGGTGATTTCCCTACTTGGAGCTTTGATAGTTTTTCCAGAGCCATGATGCACCAACATACGGACAATAAGAACTCCACTGAATCCAAAATAATATTTCTAAAACCTTGGATTTAACGAGCTAAATCATGGAGGTCTTCGTTAAAAATGGCGGCTTATGTTCAATGATATCTAATATTGATAGGATGAGCGTAGAATTCTGGTAGTTTTTGATCCCTTGCATCCAGCTCTTAGGGCTTGGTTCGAGATGTTTGATCCACTCCTGCAGTGGACGAGGAGATCTCCTCTGCTTATTTGCTCTTAGCTTCAATGAGATGGATGTTTTTTGCGTCTACAAGTTACGATTTGTGGAGTGGTTAATGAGCTACCTGATGCTGAAAGGTTAGGGACCGTCGTGGCTCCTGTCTGTGCAGGCACCAGAATGAAAATGAAGTGGGTAGCGCAGGTCTATTTTCTAGAGAAGAATTAGCAGGTAATGTGGGTGTATTATGGAGTTGGTGTCCAGGGTGTCGGAGAATTTGGGCCCCAAGTCTTTCTCGACGGACACTCTAGTGATAGCATGGTTGCTGAATATGTACCTTAACTCGCCAGCAGTTGTTTCACATTTGCTGCTGTGCATTGCTTTACACTTTTCCGGGTTGAAGCTCAGGCCGTCTTCCGAAGCCTAAAGTTCGAATTGCTGCTGGTCATTTGTAGTGCTGTGAAGTCAGCTTTTTCGTTTACTACCCCCTAAATTTTGACGTCGTCAGGGAAGAGGAAGATGGATGAGGGTAGTTTATGTGGCAGATCACTGACAAATAGGGGGAACAGAGGTGATCCCGGGATCGCTTCTCTTCTAAGTACTCCTTGAGCCAGGAGAGTAGGGATTCACTCATAACGGCTGATATGATCTTGTGAAGCAGGACTGTGGGTGGGACACTGTCAAATGCTTTGGCTAGGTCGAAAAAAAAGACATAAACAGTTTTCTGTTGTCGGTGTTTTCACAGCTGAGGAATTCTTAGATAATGTCAGCTACCGGGCTTTTTAAAACTTCCGACAGAATAGGCAGCAATCCGCCTGCAGCTGCCAGTGATTTTCCGTCTCCTCCCTTGAAGATGGATGACAAGATGGCTCACTTCTATTCTTTGGAGAGTTTGCATAACTCTACTCGGTACTTGAAGAGGTGCAGACTGGTTTTGCAAGCACCTCGGCTTAGTATTTTAGGTTGCCGGTTCTAGGATATCATTGCCGAGGGGCTTGCCTGGAGGTACCCCGAAGACTTTCTCCGACACTTTTTTCTCTTTTATTGAAATGCGGTCCGGTCAGCGCAGTGATGAGTCGGTGTCCATTTGAGAATGACAATCTGCACAGTAATCGTTACGCTGTTTGAGTACAAGATGTTAGCGGGAAAACGCTGAGTCTCTCAGAAACCATGATGACAAACATTCGAGAACAGCCTTGTGAAGAGATGCTACTGTTCAGTAAAAATGTTATATGCACGTCCGACATACCCACCAAGTTTTTAAAAAGTTGCACTGATGACCTGAAACAAAGGCCGGAAACACGCAGGCTGAAATCACACACATAGATCGTGTATCAAAATGGAGCTAACTCACCGCAAATTAATAATTTTACGGCAAATATATGCGATTTCTCAACCCTCTTTGAGCGAGTCAATTGATGATGCAGACAACACTTCCTCTCGGAGTCAGTTCCAGATGTTGAGTACTCGACGCGAGAACCATTACTTTATGGAGACTATGCTCGTTCTTTGCTTTCACAGCCTCCCACCATGTCCTGGAGGTATTCCGACCTAGTGGGAAGGGAAAGAGAAGTTACATCAGGCCCGAAGTCATTTCTTGGAATCCTGGATAGCATGATTGGGTCTCCTGTCTGCGATAGGATAAAGAGAAGAGGTTCAGCTCCTTCAGTCTATCTTCATAGGTGAGGCATCATACGAGTGGCTGCACTCTAGACTCTTTCTAGAAGGTCTGCGTCACCTTTCAGACAAGGATTGGCCGCTTGTGTACAGTTTTTTGATCTAGACCTAACTAAGGACTTGTACACGATGATGAACATATCACCACTTATCTTCGTAAACACCCTGCGTAATGCCCGGAGAGTACTAAAACTCCGAGCTGCTGCCGGTCGGTAGTGAGCCGTGGTTTTCAAATCGTAAGTCGCTGCGACTCCTAGGTTTTCGTGGGTCATTAGTGATGGTAGAAAAGTTTCATCAATATCGTAGGTGTTGCTGTTTATGTGTGCCTTAAGTGGATGCTTACACACGTACCTGGATAGACAGACCTCAGCCACTTCTCTGACCAGATGAACAAGCTGTTCGGGTCTGTCGGAAAAGCACGTATATTAATAACAATGGCTTCATTCTGAAAGCTATTTCTGGAACACTCTACAGAATTTTCAGCACCTCATATATCGTCAAATGGGGATAGTGTACATGTAAACATAGCAAAATGATAGAAGTTGAGATTACATGGGGAAAAGTAAAAAAATATTCGCTATCTACAACTTTCTCCAGAGTGTGAGGTCAAGTTAGTTAGACAGTCACATCGACAAACCTCGCCTAGTTAACTGGTTCACTGGTTACTATCCGGTCCTAAGCCTGGAGAAAGAGGGAAGGTTGGGTATAGGGCTAGCAACCCTACCCCGTAAAACAAATATAACCGCCAAAGAAACTTTAAAGCGCAAATGATATGTAAAAAATGATAACAAAATTATTCCTCTCCGGAAGCGGAGAGGCGAAATGATGCCAGTTGGTGAAAGCCTTCGTGAAGCCAATTGGCCGATGTGTCTTCGCCTCTCTCGATGAAAGCAAAAGTAAACGGGGGACATGGAATGTTCGCACCAGGTTTGAGCCCAGCAAGGCAGCCCAGATTGCAAAGGAGATGAGAAGGTATCACATCGAAGTGCTTGGAATCTGCGAAAGCAGATGGAATGGGAGTGGACTCTCCAAACTATCAACTGGCGAATCAGTAATCTACTCCGGTCACCCAGACAACAACCACGAGCACACTGAATTATGGAGTGGCTATCATGATGTCTCCAGCAGCATCGAAGGCCCTCATGCAATGGGAACCAATCTCCTCCAGGATCATGACAGCAAGGTTCAACTCAAAAGGAAGGAAGGTCACAAACACACAATGTTACGCAACTACAAATAATGTAGGGCAAGAGAAGTGGGATGAATTCTGCAGATAACTTCAATCAACTCTGGACAAGACGTCAGTTGGCGATATCAAAATTCTAATGTGTGGGGTGACATGAATGCCGAACTGGGAGGGGACAACACAGGAAGAGAACTAACCACGGCCCGAGAAGCGCTTGATGAAATGAACGAAGATGGAGAATTGTTTGCAGAATTCTGTGCATTCAACGATTTGGTGATTGGAGGCGAGGCAGTATGTTCAAGCACAAGGATATCCACAAAACGACAAAGATTTCACCAGACACCAGGACACGCTAAAAGGCAGATCGACTTCATCTCAATCTCGAAAAAATGGAGACACAGTCTACTTGACACAAGGTCAAGAAGAGGAGCAGATGTGCGGACCAAATTGCAACGCTTCGCATCATCACAGAACAAAGTACAGAATAGCAGTCAAATCTCTACCTCAACTTTATCGACTTTGAGAAGGCCTTTGACAGCGTTGACCGAGAGGTAATTGGAAACTGCTTCAGTACTACGGAATACCACAAACCTTTATCAACCTCATTCAACAACTATATGAAGATGCCAATTGCCAAGTAATTCACAGTGGGAAGCTCAGTGATGCCTTTGAAGTGAAGACAGGAGTGAAACAAGGTTGCCTACTATCCAACATGATATTCCTGATTGTGGTCGACTGGATCACACAGCAAACAGTGGGGAGCGAGAAGAGGGGAATACGCTGGACTGCGGAAAAGAACCCAGAAGATCTGGATTTCGCCTGTGATGACTTGTGTCTGATGTCACACAAAACTTGAAGATCTACAGGCAAAAACTAACCAGTTGGCAGAAGAGGCAGCGAAGACGGGACTTCAGGTGAATGTAGAGAAGACAGAGATAATGAAGATGCCGCACCACCACCATCAACAACAACAACAAACTCCAATCACCATCAATAGGAGAAACTTAAAGGAAGTAACCTCCTTCACCTGTCTAGGTAGGACAGCACTGTTTCAACTACAGGCAGCACAGACGAGGATGTCAAAGTCAGAATCGAAGAAGCAAGACAGGTGTTCATTAGCCTGAAACCAATGTGGAGATCCACTTCACTGCACTCAGCATGCGGAACAAGATCCGGATTTTCAACACCAACGTCAAGTCAGCGCTTCTGTGTGATAGTTGAGCGACTTGGCACGTTGCGAAAGGGATTTCCAACAAACTACAGACATTCATCAACAACTGCCTACACTGGCTTGTTACTGAGGATCAGATGGCCAGAAAGAATAAGCAACAAGAAGCTCTGGGAACGAACCAACCAAGAACCTATCGCTGAACAAATATGCACTGGAAGGAAGTGGAGATGGATTGGGCATATACTGAGAAGGCCGACTGGGGACATCACGCACCAGGTCAGGTGGTCGAGTGGAACCCAGATGGGAAGCGACGAGTTGGGCATGCCAGCTGAGGGTGACATGGGGGAGATCGTGCAAGGAGGAAATGAGAGGTTGTGGGCTGTCGTGGAGCCAGGTTCAAAAGATTTCAGAGAACGGAGTTTACTGAAGACGTGCTACTGAAGCCCTATGTTCCATTAGGAACGCAAAGAACTAATAATAATAATCACATCGGCAATTATGTTCATAGTGCGTAAAATGAAACGCGTTCATCCTCAGTTAGTTTACTTTCATAAACAGAAGTCGAATAGTTAGCTCATTCCTAACACTTACTTCATCACGCGTCAGACGAGCTAAATACGGTATAGTAGAGTTTTTATATTCTATAGTGCGTGCATAGAGCCTTGTGTACTTGTTCCGTGTCTTTCCAGATAGTCGACACGTAGAGAGCTTTGAGTGAGGAAGATCCTGATCATCTGACAAAATAACTCCTGCCAGATGTTTACACGAGTTAATATGTTTGTCCACAACCGTTTTAACTAGACGCTTCAGAGGAACATCGCTAGTTGTGCTGAACAGCTTCATAGCTCTACGCGATATTGCATGGTTTTTCTTCAGCAACCCAGGAAAAAACAAAGGAAAAAAATAGGGGGGAATAAGCAAGATGTAGGAGTTTACAAAATACAGGAGTAGAGGTTGAGTAATCCTAGGATTTAATGAGTGACGGATTGGATGTCCAGGTGTGCTCAGAATGTCGTGAGTCATTGTCACATCTCTCTTGTCTTTCTGCATTCCAGGGGTTACACAACCAGCAAAAACGGTCGTTCTTCCTATGTTTTGACCTAAGACCCCGAAAGGATTTTGTCGAGCACCTCTGGATGCATTCTAAGTTTATTTTGTCCTTCTAGAGAGAAGGGGGGAGGACTGTAGTCTCAAACTCCAGATGAGGCAGTCAGCAGCTGTTGAAAATCTGGTGGAAGCATCTACTAGACGCGAGAGATCAAAAACTACCAGTTTTCTACGCTCGCACTATCAATATTGGATATTGGATTGGATCTACGACCGAATCGTCCGAAAATTCTTCTGAGAGTTACTAACGCCAAGTTTCCACGAAATGTGTTTCTGTCACAGTTGGCATCGGACTTTGATTCTTGAGGGACTATGATGCCAAATCCTTCTCTGTCGGCAACGCTTCAAGTTCCATGACGTTTAGGCTATATGCATGAGATACATCGCGTTTTACGTGAGTTACATAATGATTCTTTTGCAGTCTATCCGAGCCAACTGATTGTGCTTTGAATTCTTCTACAACTAAGCATCGGCAGTTATATGTCCACAGGGTTAGCTTATTCAGGGGGGAGTCTGCTGCCTTCCATTCAGGGCTTCGATATACTACGATTAAGTTGACTTTTATCCCTTGCATTTTAGTCGGCAGCACTGCATTTCACGTCTCCCACTTGCATGTACCTCCGTTTCGGAGGCTTCTACATTTGAGGTATTCCTTATGTAAAGGATGACACCGCTACCTTTGCGTGCTAACCTATCACATCTAAAAGGAAACACATCCAAGCCTCATGTCGGGCTAATCAGAGCTACAGCAGGTGAGTGGGTAGACCTGCTGCATAGAACTGCACAAAAGAAGTCAATTAGTCTACGCTAGCTTATAAAATGGCTTTGAAAGTTGAGTGTCGACATTCATTGGCAGGTTTTTGTGTTTAAACATCCCAACAACTAGTTCTCTTAGATGCAGTTGCTACAATATCTTTTGAATTTATGGATGTTCGGCATCGATGCGCTAAGCTTATTCAAAAATCATGGTATTCTTATCGCAACAAACGTATATTCAACACCCTTAAATATGCTGTCAATGTTCTGGTTGGTTGAAATTCTGATAATTTAACCTCCAGGAAAACTTGCCGAAAAGACACCTTCTTAAAATCCTTCTACCAGATGACTATCAAACTTTAGTCAAAGATGGATTATGTGACACAGTTATATTGTTTAAGTAACTAAGAATTTTAAATTAACTTTGAAAATTCGGGCTGGACGGGTTGAAATTTCCTCCAGTTATATGCTTCAAAATCAATGTGAAACATACTTCATGTTCTCTAATTAACATCTCGTCCCTTGGTAGATCTCACTTGGATGACAGTGTAAGATTTTGCGGTACCGTCTTATTCTCATAGATCAGAAAATGTGTTGTGAAGAGCATAGGTCGAAGAAAGTACCTTGACCTGATTTTCGGAGATTCATGTGTTTATTTTCAACGTCATTTCATGAAAGAAAGGAATATTTTGGATGTCATAACATCCAACAAGGTAAATCAACTAAAAAATGGTTAATTGCAGAGTGATACTGGCACAAAGCAGGTTTGCATGTGTTGATTGTAGCTTGGGTCGCTAAATTCGAAATTTTGTTTGAGGATAGAAGGCTGAGAGCTTATATTAATCGTTTTACAGTAGATTTCTGTGCTTGCTCCCCCCCCCTTTTGAACGAGTCAATTGATGATGCAGACAACACTTCCTCTCGGAGTCAGTTCCAGATGTTGAGTACTCGACGCGAGAACCATTACTTTATGGAGACTATGCTCGTTCTTTGCTTTCACAGCCTCCCACCATGTCCTGGAGGTATTCCGACCTAGTGGGAAGGGAAAGAGAAGTTACATCAGGCCCGAAGTCATTTCTTGGAATCCTGGATAGCATGATTGGGTCTCCTGTCTGCGATAGGATAAAGAGAAGAGGTTCAGCTCCTTCAGTCTATCTTCATAGGTGAGGCATCATACGAGTGGCTGCACTCTAGACTCTTTCTAGAAGGTCTGCGTCACCTTTCAGACAAGGATTGGCCGCTTGTGTACAGTTTTTTGATCTAGACCTAACTAAGGACTTGTACACGATGATGAACATATCACCACTTATCTTCGTAAACACCCTGCGTAATGCCCGGAGAGTACTAAAACTCCGAGCTGCTGCCGGTCGGTAGTGAGCCGTGGTTTTCAAATCGTAAGTCGCTGCGACTCCTAGGTTTTCGTGGGTCATTAGTGATGGTAGAAAAGTTTCATCAATATCGTAGGTGTTGCTGTTTATGTGTGCCTTAAGTGGATGCTTACACACGTACCTGGATAGACAGACCTCAGCCACTTCTCTGACCAGATGAACAAGCTGTTCGAGTCTGTCGAAAGCGCATGTGTGTCCTTTGTAATTTCTCGCGGGATGTTTGCACCATCAGCCTACATTTACCCGGGGAGTTTGTGATATTTGCATGCTCAGTTGTATTTAGGTGTGGCAGAATTGAATCAGCGACTTTGCCTGGCGGTACTCCCCTCACTTTCGACTTCCAGGTGGAGAGTTGAGGATTGATTCTTGCTCTCTGCTTCCTATCAACAAGAAAGTCGCTTATCTATGCTAGCAGGCTGCCTCTGGTTCCGGAACTTCCCCGCTTACCGAGCAACCTGGAACGAGGTGTCTTGTCGAACGCCTTACTAAAGTCTATGAAAATGACGTCTACAGGTGTGATATCATCTCCAAAATTAACTTAACTTCCTCTGACTGTATGGAAATTCGTCAAGCAAGAGAAATTTCTGAGGACGCCACACCCGCGAACGAGACAATATAGGGTTGTTCTCTGAATGGACTGTGACGGCTTTCTCTATTACTTGTTTTAGGAGTTTTACTACGGCTGCAGTCAAAACTTACAGGTCTGTAATTTTATGGGAGCTGCCTAGAACCTGTCTTGTGGATAGGTATTACTATGGCATCCTTCCATTTATAGGGGAGTGTGCCTTCACTGAGAGATAGTCAGTGAGGAACCGACTACATATAGTGCTAGCTGTCTGAGCAGCTTTAGGTGCAGCTCATCCGGTCCCGTTGATTTTTCCACGTCGAGGGTACTCAACATCCAAAACATGTCAAAGCGATCAATATCCACAGAGTTTATTCTGTTGGATGTCAATGATTCTACTGATCAATAGGTGTTCACAGAAGATTCCTGTGCGGGGACCTCAGCGAAATATCCAGCCATGACTTCCACTTTTTCCCTGTCATTCTCCGTCAAACAGTCAGTTTCAGTCCCTTTGATTAGGATGGGTATACCAGAACACATCTTATTTCTGTAGTTCATATAAGAAAATAACCTCTTCGGATGTTACAATGCAGCCTGGACAGGATGTGTTCCAAAGCACATTCGAGAACGGCGGATAGCAGCGGTACATTTATTTAGGGCTTCTTTGTTATGCTTCGTCACTTTGAGTGCACCGAGGCCGGTGGTAAGACTCCAACACCTTTTTTTACGTAGTAGCAAGTTTCGGATTTCACGGTTTATCCACGGAGGACAGTGTTTCCGTCTGGTCGAAACAGTCCATGGGATGAACGGTTGGATCACTTGTTCATGTAGCTGTTCGAAGCAGCACTATGCACCAGGTTCTTAGGAAGCAGTTTGCGGCACATAGCAAAGAGAATTAAATTTACGATATCTTTTTTTTGACGAGCGTATCATTTTACTATTGCTTTTACTTCACTTTCTTATTCATTACAGCATAACAATAGTTATTACACTCATTGTTCTTGAAGTTGTATTGCTAGTGTTTTCCAAGCAATTTAGCTGTCGGATTGTCCACTTGTAATATCTGGCCCTAAATACTTCGGTTTTGGTCATCACATATTCTAACAACTAGTTTACTGCTTGCTTTGAAGTCTTCATCCGACACTAAAGCGATGCAGTTTAGGATATAAGACAGTTTGAGATTATCATTATCTGTAAGCATCATAAGGGATATGAAAATGGATTTTATCACACAAAAGTGGGTGGCGAGGCTGGCATAATTTTCAGGATGAACTCGAGGATGCTAGAAATATATTAGTTTAGCCAAATAGAATAAGAAAATACGATAAAAACCAAACCATACTTCCATGATAGGAATGTTTTTATTATCACTTGCCTAATCCTAAGGTTTCAAAAAATGTAAGCTGACTAATCTGAAGTTGACGTGACTTACAAATTGCACCTCTTCACTAGGTTTAAGAAAAATTAGTAGTGCACGTCCCAACACCTGATGGAGTTAAAGTGTCGGAGTTTAATTTTTTGTGCATTTGATGCATAAAAATTCAAGAGGCTTTGCTAGTGGGGTTAGTTTTTGTTCAAAAAGGCGGGCTTATTTTTCTAACAGTTATTCCCATGTTCAGAGATATTTTAAGACTATCGTTTACTGGGATTTGTACACTCTACTTCGTGAGCTTCTCTGAAAAATGAACAAAACTACTGATCTCTTCCTTTTAGTAAATTTCAGCATCGTCTTTTAATGCTTAGATAGTCATCTAAGTGACAGCGTAAGTGAAATTGAAACCTCTGAGAAAAATCGTATTTGCTCACTTTCATTTTTGATAACGATATGAAGTGAAATAGCTCCGAGATATATTTATTACAACCCTCACATATAACACTAATGTTGTATGAGTAGAGCCACTGTATAGTTTTACTTTTATTAAAATGCATCGTTACATTTCATAGCCATTTGCAAAATAAAACTGGATATAAATGTGATATTCACTTAAACATGCGAAGGGAGAGAGAATGAATAAATGAAGGTTGGTGAAAATTTTCACAGTTTTAAAAATGGTACTACGAATAAACCTTCGTCATTGTAACTGGTTTTCAGTCACGCTAGAAAGTCCTCAGTCATATAATTTTAGTGCCCATATGACCCTATCCAGTCACTTTAGTGCGAAGAAAAACACTCAAAAATCTTGGATCAGTATTGATATTACATCTGAATCTGCTTACCATTAACTTTTCTCCAATCCAATCAGCGTTCATCTGGTGTGGCTCATTGAGTTGGATGGCGGCTAGGGATGTTCAACAGATGTGCAAGTAGTCTCAGTCAACGATGGAAATACTTATGACCGAGTACTTTTAAGCGCCTCATATCTTCCACCTACAGAAGCCACTTTGTAAGGTGTCTGAATGAGGAAGGATTTTATTGCTGGGGATTATGAAATGATATTTCATTATTAATTAGCTAATAAAGTGTTATACAGATTCTCGAATAGGTGGTGTGAACAATCCACACTATCACTTCACCTGTTAGCTCCAGACTAGAATTTCGTTGAGACCTGTTCTGAATTGTCATCCTGAATTCGACAACTACGAAGGATATGTTAAAAATCCCCAGGTATTCAATCAAATCAATCAAAGAATTGCACTTTTTGATGGAAAATTTTGCCTAAAACGATTATATGGTCCGAAAATTCTTAGTCAACTATACACTTCTAGTCACTAAACATCCCTCAAGAAACTATAAATGAACAGAGTTATCTCCAACTGCACATTTGTAAGAGACTTATATGAAAATGGTGAAAGTGAAATTCCTTTATGGAAATCACCGGTTGTTGTAGTCTAAAATGACAAATGCAGCTACTTGAGTTTCAGTGTAATCCATGTGGCAGCATTATATAATTCTTTGGTATCGCCTAGGAATTTAATAGACACGGAAAGAATAAAACAAATCAGATGTTAAGCAAGTCCAGTGTTATGTACATCTGATCACTGGTTTTTTCAGTTGTTATCCATAACTAACAAGGCCGTATGATCGTTTGGTGGCAGCTTATTCTCCTTTTGTTTAAGTTCTAAGAGAACTCACGTCGGTAAATATGAGATACAGAAAAGGGTATATATGCGTTATCTTCAAAATTTACTATCAAAGTTTTCACTCCAAATATAATTCTTCAACTCTATTAGTGAGTGTACAAAGTTGTAAACTATAACAACTAGTAGGTAAATAAATATACTTTAATGCAAATGGTCGTTTTCTCTTCTCCCTGTGAAAGCTTTTTACAGAAGAACTCCCTGCTGCTTATGGTGGGTATCAAAATCACTGGCGTTATTTAGATGGAAAAGGTAAGTCAGATTAGAATCAATTCCAGCAGTTGAATGCTTCATAAGTAATACGTTATACTGAAGATGGATCCTTTTAAAATTTCAATGTAACATATTATTTTAATTTACTTGCTTTGTGGAAAAGAACTCTACAAGTAATGTACTCATGTATAACCAAATGAAATTGAAATTCAACTCAGTAATGAGGCTGAAATGTTAAACTTTCCGCCCAACGCAAAACAGTCATAGTGCACTCTCTGACATAGGTAATATATGTAAGATATGCTTATTTTTATCATTAAGTACACAGAAAATTGTTCATTTTTCGACTTTGTTGTGTGACTACATTACATGATCCTATCTAATTTCCACCTGTTCAGGGACTTTCGGGGACAGTATTAATCTTTCAGATTTCTGCTTTGTTCATCATTGAAAGGATGGGACGCTAGTAACCTCTCAGGATAGGTGGCTAGAACGTTAAGCAGAACATTCTGAAGCACAGGTCAGCTGACCTTTAGCAACGCTTCAATTTCCCAATATCCAGCTTGAACCCGAATAGAGAGTAGATGTCAGTCCGGCAACTCTGCTTGAAATTTAGAAGGTTGTGTTAAACACGCGACGATATAAAGCAGCAGGACCTAAGAGTTCGCTCCTCTACGTTTTCAGGGATGGAAGTATGAAACCCCTAATTAAATTGGTGGTGCTAGAAAGTGTTCGGGAATCAAAGGTACTGCCGTCAAACTAGTGTATTTCAGTGATCATCCCCGTCTATAATATGGAGATGCCTTCCTATGAAAAACCACAAGGGAATTAGTTTGGACAAAATTTTTTCCAAGATCCTGAGATCCGTAATTATTCCACCCGTAAGTGAAGCTCGAGAACAGCAAACTCGAAAAATCTAGGCAGGTTACAGGCCTGGTCGAGGGTGCATAGATGACACTTTTATCCTCTAACAGGTTCTAGAACACAGGCATACCTACCGGCCAACGGCTCACACTTGCTATATTTCATGACGTGAACACGCAGTTGACTATGTCCACCATGTGTTGTGGGAATGTCTAACTTTGAAAGGGGTGCTAAGAAAGTATATAATGTTTATCTTAGCTCTCTAGTCGAACTCGCGCAGCTGTGTCAAGGCTTATGAAGACTTGTCAGATCAGTTGACAACAACTAGTGATGTCCGTAAGGGATGCCCACTGTCACCGTCCCTATTTGACTTCGTCACAGACGTACTGGTGGACATGATCTTAGGTGCGTCTGAATTCACAGAGATTGACCTGCTCCGTAGAGGTCATCTGGTTAACTTAAGATATCCAAACGATATATCCCTACTAGGAGAAAATGCTGATAAAATGCCGGGTCTTATGAGCGCCTTGAGCAAAAATCTGTGTCTGTTTGGCATTCATTTCACTGTCGCCCGTCAAATGTTAGATGATGCTCTCGGACTAGTCTGCTGCGAGTACTTTCAATTCAATGATAGTGAGTGAAGTGGTGGAACGCGTGGCCACTTCACTTACTTGAGGTATTGCATCAACCCGAACGGGCTGGTCTCTGAGAAAATCTCAGCTAGGATACAGAAGAACTGTTTGGCATTCGCCAACTTTCATCGTCTGTGGCACAGACTGGCGAGATATCCAACTATCTATCAAAAGATGAGTATACTGCACCGCAGTTTGTTCTGCCATGTTATACAACTGTGAAACATGACTGTTGAAAGTAGAATGCTATGGAATGATCATCGGGTTTTGATCACAGATTTATTCTTAGGATTGCTCGTTTTCGGTAGAAGCACTGTATGAGCAATGTTGAGACCAGGCAAAGGGTAATAGGCAAGAAAGGCTAATCGATTGATGAGATTGTGAACCTTCATCGACTGAGATGTCTGGGACATGCACTGGGCACCCGATCCACCGCGTACCTCGACGTGCGGGCTAGGGGAATTTGGATTAGGTTGGATCACAGAGGCAGGCGACGGTCTCATCATGCGTGGCGCATGTGCAAGCTATCCCAGTCGATGGATACTCTCAACATCACTAATTGACTTGCCTTTCTTCCCCAGAAACCTTTGTCTGACCTCAATATTGCTTACACAGTGATTTCATTATAAGTGAAAAAATTCTTTAAAGATACCTATGATAGGAAACTTGTAATTGTTCCATATGTTTTACTGTTAATGGCCAACCTCCACAGCCATATAAAAGGATAAAACAAACTACAGTACACTATACCCATCCTCGGACAGATAGCTGGATATCTCTTAAGTCATTACCATAGGTGATACATGGTGATAAATACCAAACTGACCTATATCCTATCTGAGATTTTCTCAACAACCAGATTATTCAGGCTGACATAACTCGTGAAGTCAATGAAATAGTTGACGTATTCCATCAATTATTTGTTTATTCCTAAAGTGATGTATACCTAAGCCTAATACCCTCATGGTTCCAATTTCAAATGATATGTATAATAAGGAATGGCTTAAATTGTTTAGAGATTTCAGTAATAACATGAAATTTCTCAAAACTTAGTCAACCTATTAAAAGCTATTAGTGTAATTGTTTTTATATGATACCGTCGTTAATTGGACCGAATTGGTCGGTCTCTATTAGCATACAGGCTTCTGAGCGGATGCCTCGATATTGTCAGCGTTCTAATTATGTTAATAATGGATCGTGGCTAGCAGTGGAATCCAGGATGCGCACTTCGTCCTATTTGGGACTCACTGGTCAACTGGATGTACTTGCCTCCTCCCAGTGAGTGATATTGTTCCCACCGCGATTCGGACTGGGAGCGATCGCTTCAAACGCCAGCGCGTTATCCCGGTGCGAACAACATCACTCACTGGGAAGCAGGCACATCCAGCTGACGGGTTGCAAATACGACGAAATGCGCATCCTGGATTCCACTGCTAGCCACGATCCATCATTAACATATTAAAAGCTATTTCTCTAACTTTCTGCTTAAAAAGATCAATTTACTTTATTCAAGATTCAGTGTTTGATTGTTATAAAGAATAACAATTTTTATTGTTGATAACTACCTACTATGTTATTTCCCACATTTAGATAATGTGGCATATTTAAACAAAACAAATTAAAGGATTACCAAAGTTTATTTGACTACTTATCATCAGTTGAAAGTAGTATGGATTTAGAATGTTTGACATAGTATTTCAACAAAGTTCTGTAATATGTTCTGACTACAGAATATATGGGATATATAATATAGCACGAGTAAAGAGTTAAGTATACGGTCTCATGGAAAGCTTTAGAACTGTAGACAGGGGAAGAATAGTACACAAATACCAAATTTATCAATGATGGATTTGGAGCTAACAGTAGAATCTAACTTGACCCGCAGTTTATCCTATTTGGGACTCGTCAGCTGCATATACCTGCACCCGAGTGAGTGTTGTTCCCATCGAGACTCAAACTTGGGATTAATCTCTTCAAACACCAAAGCGTTATCCACTAGACCACCGAGCTATGATAGAAACTCTTTGTATGACGGGTATAGTTTTTGCATTATCATCTGTATGATGTAGTCGTTGATTGAACAGAATTGATCGGTTTCTATTGGCATATGGGCTCCTGTGCGGATGCCTTGATATTGCCTGAGTGCAAATTATATACATTCCACTGCCAGCCACTATCCATCATTACCATAATTAAGACACAGGTAATATCGAGGTATCTGCACAGGAGCCCATATGCCAATAGAGACCGATCAATTCATTCCAATCAACGATGGTATAATACAAGTAATAACACTAAGTACCGAATTTGGTTAATTTTTATTCCTCTCTCTCCCTCTTTATATTTATTCCCATGGCATGATGAATCATCTATGAGTTTCCCTTGAAGTTGATTAACTTATGTTAAACATCATCTAGTCAGTATAACTTTTATGGTTTGACATACACCTTTAAAACCTTACTTAGTTAACACTAATTCACTAGTTCACTAGCCCATCCTAAGCCCGAATAAAGAGGGAAGGTTGGGCATAGGGCTACCAACCATACCCCTTAAAACCAATCCAATCTCTAAAGAAACTTCAAAGCACAAAGAAAATATAAAAAATAAAAACGAACTTATTCCTGGCTGGAATCGGAGAGACGAAATGACTCCAGTTGGTGAAAGCCTGGCCGATATGTCTTCTCTCCCTCGATGAAAACAAAAGTAAGCATGGGGACATGGAAAATTCGGACTGGATCATGCAACAAACTGTGAGGAGCTATGAGAAGAGGGATATATGCTGTTTGATAGGTGAAAACATCCCAGAAGAAGATTTCGACTTCACCGATGATGATTTATATCTAATGTCGGATAAACTCGAAGATCTATAGGCGAAAACCAACAAGTTGGCAAAAGCGGCACGGCAGCAAAGAAAGACGGGACTGCGTTCTGGTGAACGTAGAGAAGACAGAGGTGATGAAGATACCCAACCAACAACAACAACAAACACCAATCACCATGAACGTGAGAAATCTAAAGGAAGTTGTCTCTTTCACATATCTACATAAACACCATCTTTTCAACTACAGGTGGTACAAATGACGACGTCAAAGTCAGGATCGAAAGACAGCAAGACAGGCCTTCCTTCATTCATTTGAAGTCAGTGTGGAGATCTGCACTCCACTCCACTCCACATAAAGCATGAACAAGATTCGGATTTTCAACTTTGATGTCAGTCAAGTCAGTGCTTCTGTGCGATGGTTGAGAGACTTGATGCGTTACGAAAAGCATTTCCAACAAACTAAAGACATTCCTCTACAGCTGCCTACGCTCGATACTGAAGAGGAGATCATATGGCCAGAAGGAATAAGCAACAAGGAACTCTGGCTGACTGGCAACGAACTGTCCAACAAATATGGAGAAAAGGGTGGAGATGGATTGGATTGGGGATACATTGAGAAGACCGTTTGGGGACGTCACGCGCTAGGCCATGCTGACGAGTGAACCCAAATGGGAAACGACGAGTTGGGCGTGGGAGGGTGATATGGATGAGATAGTGTGAGGAAGAAATGAAAGCTTGTGGGTAGTCGCGGAGCTAGGTGAGAAAGACTGCAGAAAACAGAGTGAAATGGTGACGTGCGGCTGAAGCCCTATGTATAATGCTTATTAGTAAAATGTTTCAAGATGGATACCCCACAGTACTAATGAGAAACCGTGACCTGTGGGGTTAGTGAACCGGAAGTGAAACATATGGCAACTTAAAACTTTGGTTGATAGTCGCTGTATGTCGTGAACTGACAGCAGTAGGGAACTGTGGATCACCAAACTTCAATCCAGTGACTGAATAGTTAGTGTGTTTGCCGTAAAATTTGCAATTCCTGATTTCGACACCTGGCCAGTGAGTCCGCGCTACTGAGGAGTCTCGTAATGGGACAAAACAGTTGTCCTGTACTCACAGGATTTGATGGTTCTCCAGCTGATATCATTCCATAATGAATGCTATCCTGTATATGTAATAATTGAGCAAAATTGGCCTCTCTAGACATCGAACCCAGGATCTATAGTTCCAAACTTCACAGCGTTATCCACTAGGCCACCGAGTCGTGATAGCTACTCTTGTGCGATAAGCTTGTGTGCTAATGCCTCAATATTACCTGCGTTTCAGTTTTCTATTGATGAGTGATAGTGGCTAGCAATGGGATTCAGGATGCGTTCTTCGTCCTATTTAGGGTTTGTCAGTTTGATGTACCTGACTCTATAAATAAAGAAACTTTGTGATCATCATTCTGATTACTAATATTAAGCTGAGTTTTGCCTGTTATATTTTAATTCCCCAATGTACACATTTACTTTGTTCTAATTCAAAAGTCTGTTTCTCATTTTATCCCATGGTGATTCTGTATTCATTCTAGACTCTTTGTACCTGAGATGAGGTTGCAAAATAAGTATCAGCTCAATTTATTTACTCTGCGAATCAAAGTTTTCTGAACACTATGAGTGGTGATGTGAGAATGTTTAGGATGTGTTTCTTACCACACAAATGCAATTTGTTGCTCCAGGATTGGTCTTCAACGGTGCCACGACCAGCAATTGAGAGTGTAGTGATTGAGTGTGTCGACCACTTTACTTACCTGGGAAGTAGGATCAGTCGTGGTGCACTAGTCAGTTGCCGATGAAATCTCTACACGGATACAAAAGGGCTCGATTGGCTTTTGCCAATTTACGCCACCTGTGGCACCGCCGTGATATACAATTGTCTATTAAGGGTCGCGTGTACTGCACGTGCACACCAGTCCGGTCTGTTCTACTGTGTGGCTGTGAAACATGGTCATTCAAGGTGGAAGACATGAGAAGGCTTCAGGTATTTGGTCTCCGTTACCTTCATGGTATAGGCTGTATTCTGTGGTGTCACCACGTGAGTGAGTAATGCAGAAGTCAGGTGTAAAGTTTTAGGAAGAAGAGGTAAGTCGGTTGACGAGGTCGTGAACCTTCATCGACTGAGATGGTTGGGACACATGTTACGTATGCCTAGTTGCCCGTCTGCCTGGTCACACAATGTTAGCCATAGTAGGTTCAGGCTGGAAAAAGGCCCGAGGTGGCCAGACTAAAACATGGCACCAATGTATGAAGTGTATGACTGTTAGTTTGAGACATGTGGGGCGATGGAGACTACTCGGTTGATGTTGGTGGGACAAGGGAAACCACTGGTTGGAGACTGACTCTTGGTGATCACATGGCTGAGAATAGAAGTCAGTGGCGCAGATGTATCCCCATACAAATTATCCTCATCCTAACGACGCTATATCGAATCTTACCATTTTCCTATTCTTCGTTTCTCTCTTTTTGTACTTTATATTTCTTTCGACTGAATTTTATTTTCTTCATCTTCCACTTCACTAGCTTGTTTACTTGATGTACTGATATGAGCTGTGGCAACTCGGATCGTTACCCAGTAATACCTGGTCCGATGTTGATATTGATGATGCAATTCCTTAAAACTATTTTACCAACTATCAAATGTTTATACAAAGATGAAAGTGAATTTAATTCCTTGTAAGACTTCAAGTTGGTATTCATCATGGTCTGATATCAGTTGGAGAAACATAGGGAAATTGACAGCAGTGAAAAGCTGTTTCGTTCCAGTATGGGACTCCTAGACAGTGTGCACCCATGACGCCGTCTACTAGGGATCGAACTCAGAACCTTTGTGTCTCTTGGCCAGCATGTTACCACTGAGTCACTGGGTTATGACCCCGTGGTCCTTATTTCTAATTTCATTCATCATCCAATGTCATTGTTGAATATTTGTCCTCACCTCTATCAGGAATCATCTCTCTCCTTGGCGTAGTCATGGGTGCGCACTGCTGAAGGGAAGCATAATAGGATGAAACAACTGTCCAGTGTTCCAAGGTTTCTAATGTTCCTCCAACTAATGTCAGTTCATGATGAATACCAACTTGGAATCAGTGAATCCCCCTTAAAAAACCGCAAATTGAATCATTGTAAGACATAAACTGTTCCCGTTGCCAAGAAATGAATGACGAACGTAATGACTGGGATATCAGTGTCATGCATATGCGGTATAAATTGTATTGTCGGTGAAATTCTCAACAGACTGTGATGACTGAGTAACAAGCGCCTTATATTTTATGTATGCTACTACATATTGGCAGACACAGAGACAACAGCGGACATGCTCATATCACTACTGCAGAAGGTTTGGAAGGAAGGAAAGGTACCTGCCAATTCATTGGAGGAAGGGCTACGTTGTCAAATAACCAGAGAAGGGAGACCTAAGCCTTTACGAGAACTGGCACGGAATCATGCTTCACTCCTGTCCACCCTAAGCAAAATATTAAACCGCATCATCCTGGAGACACTAAAGGATGCGCTGGATTCAAAACTACGACCGGAACAGGCAGGCTTCAGGAAGTACAAATCATGTGCGGACCAAATTGCAACTCTAAGCATCATCATAGAACAGAGCATAGAACAGCAGTCAACTTAGCACCACCTTAACTTCATCGACTTTAAAGGCATTCGACAGCCTCGACCGAGTAGTAATTTGGCAGGCAGCTGCTTCAGCACTACGGAATAGCACAAAAATTTATCAACCTCATTCAACAACTATATGAAGACGCCACATGCCAAGTAATTCACAGTGGGAAGCTCAGTGGTGCCTGTGAAGTGAAAATGGGAGTAAGATAACGCTGCCACCTACTATCACCTATGATATTCCTGATTGTGGTGGACTGGATCATGCAGGAAACCGTAAGTAGCGAGAGAGGGGGATACACTGGACCGAGGAAAAGTACCAAGAAGATTTGGATTTCGCCAGTGATGACTTGTATCTAATGTTGCACAAACTCGAACATCAACAAACAAAAACTAACAAGTTGACAGATGAAGCAAGCCAAGTCCAAGTGAACGTAGAGAAGACAGAGGTGATGAAGATACCCAACAATGCCACCACCACCAACAGCAAGTTCCAATCAGCATCAACAGGAGAAAATTATACGAAGTAGCCTCATTCACGTACCCTCTTAGGCAGCACTGTCTCAACTACAGGCGGCACTGACGAGGACGTCAAAGCCAACCAGGATCCGAAACACAGCAAGACAAGCGTTCATTAACCTGAAACCAGTGTGCAGATCTTCTACACTGCAATCAGCAGAAAGTGTGAACAACATCCCGATTTTCAACACAAATCCAGTCAAGTCAGTGCTTCTCTGTGATGGTCGAGAAACTTGGCGTGTCACGAAAGGCATTTGCAACAAACTACAGATATTCATCAACAACTGCCACCTACTCTTGTTCGTTACTGAAGCTCAGACGGATGGCCAGAAAGAATTAACAACGAGGAAATCTGGTGATAAACCAACCAAGAATCTATGGCTGAACAAATGTGCAGTGGAAGGAAGTGGAGATGGATTGGATTAGGGATACACAGAGAAGGCCGACTGGGGACATCACGCACCAGACCAGGCACTTGAGTGGAACCCAGATGGGAAACGACGTGTTGGGCATCCGAGGTGAGGGTGACATGGAGGAGATGATGTGAGGAAGAAATGAGAGCTTCTGGACAGTCGTGGAGCGAGGTTCAAAAGATTTCAGAGAAGAGAGTGGAAATGGAGACGTGCTACAGAAGCCCCATATCCCACTAGGAACCCAAGGGACAAATAATAATAACTACATATTGTAAAAAAGATATCATAGATTCAGTTTCTTCACATTGCACCTCCTTCCAATTAAGTGTGTGTTAACTACTATTTTGGGGATAAACCTAACCCTTCTGTGAGATTTCAAACTCATAATGAATCAATACGTAAAGATAGGTAGTTGTGTTGTGAATGAAGTCAGCTAACTGTGACATTTGTCAGTCGATAGACTTCAGTCACAGCTGATCATTAGAGTATAGTGTTTATTTATTCTCCAATAGGTGATTGATATAAATCTTTCACATTGGCCTGGTAACCAGCAACATTCATTAAATTCTACTTAATAATATTGTATTTCTACAAGACTTTCAACCTATATAACTGTGTTAGGCATCTTAAATTGCTTTAGCCTTTTAATAACAACTTGGTAATAAATGGATTCTGTTGTTCACATTTCTTCTATATTGTTTATATTGTAGTCATTGAACGGTTAGATTATCTATCTGACATTATTGAATCATCATCAATTAGCTGTAAACCAAATATGAAACGTATTATCAATCTACTCACTACAACAGTACAACCTGAGATATTAGGACCAATATCACGATTCAGGTTAGCTCAACTGGAACAAAAATCATTGGAACGTGATCATTGTCGTAGAAATCAACGAAAACATAAAAGTAATACCTGGAAACCAATTAAATGTTTGAAAAATGATAGTGAAAATTTAAATAATAAAAATGTAAGTCAAAATCAAAATAACATTGTTTTTATACTCTACTAACTGAGCTATGGTAGAGTATCAGGCTAGAAATCCAGTGGTCGCTGGTTCGAATCCGGCTGCGGTCCCAAATTTTCATTTTACCTTTAATCATCACCCAGTATATAAATAATAAATAGTCTGACAAACTACGGCTACCTCCGATAGTCAAATAATAATAAATTATATCCGAAAGACCAAACTGCAGTGTAGACAGAACACAAATATTGATATAGAATAGACTTACCTAACAGATAATCATTAAACACTTTTCAAATGTAGAGTGTGACTGTTTATGGACAGAAGAACATCGAATGTCTAAAATCTGATCGGTTCAAACTGATAGGCGAAAATCTCGTCAGTGAATTCTCTCTACTGGGTAGTAATGTGAACGTTTGAATAAATCACAAATAATAGTCAACATGATGCTCTCCCTCTCGAATTCAGTTAGATTTCTATTGCAATGAGAAGTCCTGATTAGGTAGTCAGTGTAAATACAATTAAGCGGTAGTGACGCGTTACAAATTCACATAGTAGTCAGGAAAAATCCTTTATGATTGAAGTGAAATGGAAAATCTGGTCAGTAGTTGGACCTCGTGGCTGAGTTGGTAGAGTATCGAGTCGGAAACCTGGTGGTAGTTAGTTCAAATCCGGCTGCGGACCCAATTCCATCTGCCAAACTACGGCTATCTCCGATAGTCAAATGACAAACATTGTTTGTACGACACCGTTTCTTATTTAAAACTGAAATGGCTTTATTTTGTAGATCCGTGGCTACAGTTACAGTTGAAATGTATTCAAGCACGATATCATCTATCGCTAAATATATTGGTTATTGAAAGTATTTCACAACTGATATTTAGTGCTGATTATTCACTGGGTAAACAGTAGCCAAGAATGAATAATTCTCAAGTTAAAAAGTGGAGTTACACACCGAATCCTGTTATTGCGTAACACTAAGTGTTCTACGAGAATCAATTTGGACTGAGAAGTAACTGAGAAAATTGCGGATGGATTTTCATTATAACACCCTAGGTCCTGAAACATTGAAGCCAAAATGCTATCTCTCCAGATTCGTACAGTTACCTGTATAACGTTCTCAACCAAATTTGCAAGGTAACATTTCGGTTGAATCCACAGATTCATTGGCCAGATTCATAGAGTTATTCTTGATCACTAGTTGACGAACGCTAAAAGCTGTCATCTTCTCCTCCAGCTTTCCACACGATACACTACACATCATAATCAATATCGACTTCCAATATGTCTATCATCACCCTGTCACCTACTATCCTCATCTACCATTCACACCTCAAATCAAACAGACTCAGATTTGTTGTTTGAGGATAGGAGGCTGGCAGCCTACGTTAATCGTCGTAAAGTAGATTTCTGTGCTTACCCAATCACTTTTCGATCGAGTCCATTGATAATGAGGACACCACTCATTCTCGAAGTCAGTTCCAGACGTAGAGTACTCGAAGCGAGAAGCAGTACCCTGTGAAGACTACGCTCGTTCTCCACTTTCGCAGCCTCCTGCCATGTCCTCTGAGGTGTTCTGACCTAGTGGGAAGGAAAAGAGAAGATACATCAGGTCCGAAGTCATTTATTGGAATCCTGGATAGCATGATTGGGTCCCCTCTCTGTCTGTGATAGGATAAAGAGAAGAGGTTCAGCTCCTTCAGTCGATCTTCATAGGTGAGGCATCATACGAGTGCCTACCCTCTGAACTCTTTCTAGAAGGTCTGCGTCACCTTTCAAACAAGGATTAGCCACCTGTGTACACTCATCTAATTTAGACCTAACTAAGCATGTGTATAAGATGGTGAACACGCCACCAATCACCTTCGTCAAACTTCCACCTAACACCCAAAATGTCCCAATATCACAATTTACTCATGAATTCCCTTTATTCAACAGAACCTATGTATAATCTAATCATGCTTTATTTTGCAACTTAACTCCATCTTATGTTTCAGTTTTCATCAACACTGTCATTCTAAACTAGTCTCATCTTGTCTGAGGAGTAATTTTCAACGGAAACCCTGTTGACACCATATCTGAATAGTTGGAAAACTATTCATTTGTGAGAAATATCTATGTGGAGGACAAAATCATTGTGTGATTTGTACATTTCTTATCCTATTTCACATAAACCAATCCATGGAATTCAGTTAGTCAAATTCAGGTGGTCTGAACAATAATACTCGTGTTACACAGCTGATGAGCTCTGTCACAAACAACTGGGACAACCATCCGATGCTTAGATCACTATGATCTGTCTACCGGATGAAATATACAGATCAACCTGATTGGTTTATTACTACTCAAGTTATTGTGTTGTATATTTCGTTCTGTAATTACTACTTAGCAGGGAACCAACAAGCTTCTTATGTTTGCCATCATTCTCTGAATAACCTGTACATTGTGATACTTGTACTGAGATAAATGATACCTAACAAGTGTAGTTTGTGACTGTTAATTATAGGTGTATGCTGGAACTGGCAGGCAAAATAACATAGGCTAAAACTGAGATGAATTAGCTGGACAACATATAATGAGGAAGATGGAGGAGGGGATTGAAACTTGTCGTGAATCATAAATGTTGAGTGACAGACTTCCAATTATATTGTTGATTGAATTTTATAACAAACAGTTTGGTAAGTTCCATTAAAAAACCTTTAGTTTGGGGGTGGTGATCCATTGGAAGTAGTCGAAAAGTTCGTGTATCTGGATAGTTGTGTGAATGCTAGTGGAGGTGTGATTAATGAAGCTTCCAATGACATATTGAAAGACAGGATGGCATACGTCAATCTGGCACCACCTTTAGTGCTGTCGCGACGTTTGTCTTACCGTAAAAGGTTGGGTTTACAACATCTCGGTGCTAGCAGTTTTAATCTACTCCTATAAAACCTGACCTTTCCTAGCTGAAGATGTGCAACAGTTCTGTGTGTTTAACCATGATTGTCTCCATAGGATTACTCGTATCCAGTGGTAACACCATGTAAATAATTGTTAGGTACGACAGTATGTGTTTGGGTATGATGGAGATCGTCATTCAATAAGTTAAGTGATTCGAAAACACCGGCTTCGGTGGTTTGGACATGTGTTACACATGTTGTCCCAACGGCTTCCACAACGATCATTGTTTGATAGCCCTGTGACTAGATGAAAGAAGCTGAGAGGTGGTCAGTGTATGACGTGGTGTCGTGGGATGAAAGATAGTTATATTGAGTTAGGATTTGTTAATGAATCACGACTTTCTGGATGGAGTCTGAGAGATCACGTAACTCAATGGCTTGAGAGATTATCAGATATGCCTGAGAATGGAAATCTGTAGCTTCCTCCTGACTTCTGCTACTGAAGAGTAATGAGCGTTTTGTTTTGAATGTATCTTACTTGACTGCCCTTGTAATCATTCTATTCTCATTGTACCTCCCTTTTTATCCACTTCCCTTCACTTTATATCTTCATAATGTTGTTGTATTACTTTATGTGGCTTATTTCTTGGTGACCATGTTGTACCATGTTTGTGTTCTAATAATAACAGCAGTAATAATAAAGTTAAGCGCCATACCTGGTTGAAAGTTTTTGGAAACGCAAGTATGTTTACTGGCTATCTTCTTTTCGCCTCAAGGATTCGGGAAACACTCAGTGATACTTCGTAGGCGTTTAGCACTTAGTCTTGGATCCATCATGATTTGTTGTTTACATATAACAGTGGGTACAAAACACTACAGATATTCATCAACAACTGCTACCTACGCTGGCTGGGTACTGAAGCTCAGATGGCCAGAAAGAATAAGCAACAAGAAACTCTGGCATGTCGACGAACTAACCAAGAAGCTATCACCCGAAAAAATATGCAGAAAGAAGTGGAGATGGATTGGGCATGTATTGAGAAGGCTGATTAGGGACATCATGCACAAGGCCAGACTCTCGAATGGAACCCAGATGGGAAACGACTAGTTGGGCATCCGAGGTGATGGTGACATGGAGGAGATGGTGTGATGAAGAAATGAGAGCTTCTGGACAGTCATGGAGCAAGGTTAAGATGACTGCAGAGAACTGGAGAGTGTAATAGAAATGTGCTACTGAAGGTGTATGTCCCACTAGGAACCAAGAAAAGGAAAAATAATCAAAATAAAAGTGGGCAAAATCAATCTACTCATAGCTGTCTGTTAAGAATGACAATTTTGATGCATATCAAAGCGCAAGGTGAACTTAAATCAAAAAATAAAGCGTAATCAGATTTTACACATTTGTGTAATGATAAAGATAATCTAATGGAGACAGAAATAAACAAACAAAAGGTGCTTTAGTAGAACTTCAGCTACAGGTTTCCATTCTCAGGCATATCTGATAATCTCTCAAGCCATTGAGTTACGTGATCTCTCAGACTCCATCCAGAAAGTCGTGATTCATTAACAAATCCTAACTCAATATAACTATCTTTCATCCCACGACACCACGTCATACACTGACCACCTCTCAGCTTCTTTCATCTAGTCACAGGGCTATCAAACAATGATCGTTGTGGAAGCCGTTGGGACAACATGTGTAACACATGTCCAAACCACCGAAGCCGGTGTTTTCGAATCACTTAACTTATTGAATGACGATCTCCATCATACCCAAACACATACTGTCGTACCTAACAATTATTTACATGGTGTTACCACTGGATACGAGTAATCCTATGGAGACAATCATGGTTAAACACACAGAACTGTTGCACATCTTCAGCTAGGAAAGGTCAGGTTTTATAGGAGTAGATTAAAACTGCTAGCACCGAGATGTTGTAAACCCAACCTTTTACGGTAAGACAAACGTCGCGACAGCACTAAAGGTGGTGCCAGATTGACGTATGCCATCCTGTCTTTCAATATGTCATTGGAAGCTTCATTAATCACACCTCCACTAGCATTCACACAACTATCCAGATACACGAACTTTTCGACTACTTCCAATGGATCACCACCCCAAACTAAAGGTTTTTTAATGGAACTTACCAAACTGTTTGTTATAAAATTCAATCAACAATATAATTGGAAGTCTGTCACTCAACATTTATGATTCACGACAAGTTTCAATCCCCTCCTCCATCTTCCTCATTATATGTTGTCCAGCTAATTCATCTCAGTTTTAGCCTATGTTATTTTGCCTGCCAGTTCCAGCATACACCTATAATTAACAGTCACAAACTACACTTGTTAGGTATCATTTATCTCAGTACAAGTATCACAATGTACAGGTTATTCAGAGAATGATGGCAAACATAAGAAGCTTGTTGGTTCCCTGCTAAGTAGTAATTACAGAACGAAATATACAACACAATAACTTGAGTAGTAATAAACCAATCAGGTTGATCTGTATATTTCATCCGGTAGACAGATCATAGTGATCTAAGCATCGGATGGTTGTCCCAGTTGTTTGTGACAGAGCTCATCAGCTGTGTAACACGAGTATTATTGTTCAGACCACCTGAATTTGACTAACTGAATTCCATGGATTGGTTTATGTGAAATAGGATAAGAAATGTACAAATCACACAATGATTTTGTCCTCCACATAGATATTTCTCACAAATGAATAGTTTTCCAACTATTCAGATATGGTGTCAACAGGGTTTCCGTTGAAAATTACTCCTCAGACAAGATGAGACTAGTTTAGAATGACAGTGTTGATGAAAACTGAAACATAAGATGGAGTTAAGTTGCAAAATAAAGCATGATTAGATTATACATAGGTTCTGTTGAATAAAGGGAATTCATGAGTAAATTGTGATATTGGGACATTTTGGGTGTTAGGTGGAAGTTTGACGAAGGTGATTGGTGGCGTGTTCACCATCTTATACACATGCTTAGTTAGGTCTAAATTAGATGAGTGTACACAGGTGGCTAATCCTTGTTTGAAAGGTGACGCAGACCTTCTAGAAAGAGTTCAGAGGGTAGGCACTCGTATGATGCCTCACCTATGAAGATCGACTGAAGGAGCTGAACCTCTTCTCTTTATCCTATCACAGACAGAGAGGGGACCCAATCATGCTATCCAGGATTCCAATAAATGACTTCGGACCTGATGTATCTTCTCTTTTCCTTCCCACTAGGTCAGAACACCTCAGAGGACATGGCAGGAGGCTGCGAAAGTGGAGAACGAGCGTAGTCTTCACAGGGTACTGCTTCTCGCTTCGAGTACTCTACGTCTGGAACTGACTTCGAGAATGAGTGGTGTCCTCATTATCAATGGACTCGATCGAAAAGTGATTGGGTAAGCACAGAAATCTACTTTACGACGATTAACGTAGGCTGCCAGCCTCCTATCCTCAAACAACAAATCTGAGTCTGTTTGATTTGAGGTGTGAATGGTAGATAGAGGATAGTAGGTGACAGGGTGATGATAGACATATTGGAAGTCGATATTGATTATGATGTGTAGTGTATCGTGTGGAAAGCTGGAGGAGAAGATGACAGCTTTTAGCGTTCGTCAACTAGTGATCAAGAATAACTTCTATGAATCTGGCCAATTGATCTTTTAATTGATATCTGTAGCTTTGGTAGATGTGTTCGTCCTTTCGGGTCATAGGTAGTGGTGATTTATTTACGTGTGTATCTATGTCCATCACTTCTCCGTCTAACCAAATCTCTATGCGTGAGTACTCAAATAGCTGTTGTTTAGGGATCCATTCGAGTAGTACAAATTCAACTATAGTAGGTAGGTTAACGTCTATTTAGTCATGTTTGAATGCTGATACCATAAGACGTTTAGTCAAAAATACTTAAAACACGCTATATCTACTGACAAATGGAAGGAGATCTCACATGAATCTCTCTGAAATAGAAAAAGAAAGGCTGCATGAAATGGGAAGTTATCCATCCATCCATCCCTCAATACAACAACAGTTTATCTGAAATAGATCTAATGATTTGTACACATATCAAGATACTCTGTTGATACATAGATTGATTTAACTGCTAGGTGAATTATTCATGTAATAAATGTTATGTATAGAGTTTAATTTAAGAGTATACACCGAAATTTCATTGTTATTCTAATTACCTTTAACAGAATTCATCTATGAAGAAGATAAAGTCACATATCAATCAATATGTAGATGAAATATTTGACGAACTAAAGGATGAAGATGAATTATACCAATGGAGTCAATATCTTCCTTCATCATTCATAGGTGATACAAGTTAATGACTTTTATTGAACTATATTTCATCGAATAAGAATATTGTTTATGAAATATCAAGTATACGTTATATATATACATATAGTAAAACCTTTTAATATACAGACAGTGTTTATCTTCTATACTGTCAATAATACTTGATTTCAGCCATATTTCAGTAGTATATAAGCTGATCTTAGTTAATTTTTAAACAAAAACTCTAACCATACTGTTGTTCTCTTCCAATTGTCATATCTTAGCTAATCGATTGTAATGAAAGGCATGATGCAGAATATTTATAACTCAGATGGATGGTCTTGGTTATATTGTGTTCTCTGAGCTGGCGGGTTGTTTAATCGTGAAGCTTTCATCGTCTTTCTCCTGGACGACATCATCAACACTAACTTCTATATGAAGTGAGCTGTCAATATCTCTCCATGAGTGATTTAGTGACTTGCTCTGATAATGTGGTCTATGATTGGTTGTTTCCTTCGATTGTTGTGTCATTGACTGACTGTATAGATTTTCCTGTTGGCTGTTACTCTGCTTCACCTCTGACCTTTCTGTCAGTTATCATTTTTCTTATTGGTCGATAGGTTGGATCTATCTATGTCTATTCATCTGTTGATTGTTGACTGACTCACGTGAATGCCACTCTTCTAGGAATTCCTTGATATTCTTTGTGTTTCCTCTCTACGTCCACGATTTCTACATTGTCGAAATTGAATTCATGTCCACAGTTGTTATCCACGTGCATTGAGTGAAGAGTGGTGAAATATCGTGGAGTTAAATAGCCAATTGATGCTCATGTAGACGAAGGCGAAGAGGGCGGCCGCTCTGTCCAATGGACGGCATTTCATTGCATGTGGATAATTATGGACATGAATTCAATTTCGGCAATTTAGAAATTTTGGATGGAGAATGGAAACACAAAGAATATCATCAGAGAATCCTGGAGGCTTGGTATTCATATCAGTCAGTCAACAATCAACAGATGAATAGACATAGATCCAACCTGTCAACCAATAAGAAAAATGATAACTGACAGAAAGGTCAGAGGTGAAGCAGAGTAACAGCCAACAGGAAAATCTATACAGTCAGTCAATGACACAACAATCGAAGGAAACAACCAATCATAGACCACATTGTCAGAGCAAGTCACTAAATCACTCATGGAGAGATATTGACAGCTCACTTCATATTGAAGTTAGTGTTGATGATGTCGTCCAGGAGAAAGACGATGAAAGCTTCACGATTAAACAACCCGCCAGCTCAGAGAACACAATGCAACTAATGGAAGGCATCGATACGTTAGATCCCTACGCCAATATGATCAGCTTTGACTAAACTTCAGCTGAATTAGTTGTGTTGTTGTTTTTTTTGAAAAGTATGGTAAACTGCTTTTTCCAGTGACTATCTGAAAATTATATGACCCATATAACTTTCGGATGATGTAAGCGTACCGATTAGATCTTGATTGCATTATGTTCTCTGAGCTGGCGGGTTGTTTAATCGATCTCAACGAGTAATGTTGGCCGATGTAGGTTTGGTTTGGAAAGAAGTATAACTTTAGTCCATAAACTCTCTAATGGTTTGTCTGAACCATATAGTGAGATTTATTCTGACTTACTGAGATCCTGAGCCGATAGATATCAATGTTTGAAGACACTCAGTGATGCAGATATATTCACTTTTTCATGTTTTCTGAGGTTTGAACACTTCCGCTAACTTCAGTGTTCAAACTCCTTTTCCCCTCAAACACTTTTGTTAAACTTAATACGAATCTTTCCTACTCACTTGTTCATTATGTGCTAATGTGAAGGGAGAGGATTTCCAAAGTTTCAATGAGAAGTCGTGGCCCATGGAGTCAACCAAGTGGAACATGAGGACAGTTACTGAACGATCCATCCCATTGGATGGAAATGGTGCTGTATTGTGAACAGACAGAAGTTGGAAATATGAACTATCGTATTCTAACTCAGTGATTCAATGGTAACGTACTGGCCATGGAACCTGAAGGTCATGGGTTTGATCTCTGACAGACAGGGTAGTAGATATGGACTGCTGGGGAGTCGTATCCTAGGATGAAAAAGGCAGCTGTCCAGTGCATTCAGATTTCTAATATTCCTGCAACTAATGTCAATCTATGATTTATTCCGGCCAGAAAAAAAATTAAAATGTTTAACGAAAATATTTCCAATCTACTTTACTATTTACATTCAAAGAGACTGCGTTACATTTTTTCAGTATTATTATTATTATTATTAGTCCCTTGGGTTCCTAATGGAACTTGGGCTTCAGTAGCACGTCTCTAGTGAACTCTGTTCGCCGAAATCTTCTCAGCCTGGCTCCACGACAGCCCAGAAGCTCTCATTTCCTCCTCGAATGATCTCCTCTTTGTCACCCTCAGTTGGCATGCCCAACTCGTCGTTTCCCATCTGGGTTCCACTCGAGTGCCTGGCCTGGTGTGTGATGTCCCCAGTCGGCCTTCTCAGTGTATCCCTAATCCAATCCATCTCCACTTCCTTCTAAATATTTATTGGGTGATAGGTTTTTGGCTGGTTCGTTCCCAGAGCTCCTTGTTGCTTATTCTTTCTGGACATCCATCTGATCTTCAGCAGCCAGCGTAGGTGGCAGTTGTTGATGAATGTCTGTAGTTTGTTGGAAATCCCTTTCGTTACAATTTTTCAGTGTACAAACATGATTTATACAATGTTCAACCATTTTTATGAAAAAAATTTTCAGCATATCATATAGCATCAGTTGGATACAGACAGTGTATATGAATACATAGAGAAAGATGAAATAAGTAGAAATTAGACTGTTCAATCTAGAACTTTCTTGAAAATCTAGAGTCAACTTAGATGGTAAACAATCATAATACATAAGTAATAACAAGCTGTGTGTACTCAGTAATTAGTTTGCTTTCAAAAGCATAAGTTGATTAGTGTTAGTTCATTTCTAACGCTTTCTTCCCCACAAAGGACATGAGCTAAACAAGGTATTGTAGAGTTTTTATGTTGAATAGTGAGTGCATAAAGTCATATGTACTTTGCTCCTCGTCATTCCTGATGACGACACCCAGAAAGCTTAGAGTGAACAGGATACCGGTCATCTGATAAAATAACCCCTACCGGATGGTTATATGAGTTACTATGTTTGACCACAACCGTTTTGCCTAGAAGCTTTAGAGGTACACCACTAGTTCTACTAACAATCTTCAAAGCTCTACACAATACACCATACTCTTTCTTCAACAATCCGGGAAAAAATAAAGGGGAGCAGTAGAGGAGGAGAGGCAAGATACAGGAGTTTATAAAACACAGGAGTAGAGGCTTTCAGCTTCCTTATGTAGAAAGTTAGGTGGGAAATTCTTTGGGAAATTAGTAACATATGAGAGGACCAGTAAAGGTTCAAAGTAAAACACACACTGAGATAAATCACACTTGCAACATTCTCTAATACGCAACTATCAATAGAACAGAATAACGAGAACTAAGCAGTTCATGTCTAAAACTAAAGTTTATAGTCTGACACTTCAAAGAATTAAGCATAGGACCATCCACGGAGGACCATCGGCCAACAGTAGATAGGAAATCATTCAGTTGGGAACAATCTGCTGAAGAGGAGGCAAGTATGGAAACTGTTAGGTCATCAACATATTTGATGGAATTAATATTACCTGAAGATGTTAAGTCATGCAGAAAGAACGAGAAAAGACAGGGGGAAAGGACGGCTGCTAGGAGCACACCAGATACAGTCAGCAATGAACAATATGTTGTTTCCTTTCAGAGATATAGGAATGCAGTCAGCTGATTATCCACGACTCAATATTTGTCCCGGCTAGCCTATCCAGAAAAAGAGGCCTTGGGACAGAATCAACTGCCGAAGTATGGTCTGAAAAGGTACACTTGACATACTTGTCATTTTTATCAAGACTATAAGCAACATCGTGGTATAAGAGAGTGGTGGCATCCAAAGTGTTTCTTTTGCTTCTATATGTAAATTGACTAGGGTCTCCGAAAATCTCGAATAAGTGTTCAATCAAGGGGTTATTAGCTTCTCCATTATTATCAAGAACGGACAAGTAACTGCAATCAGACAGAATTTCGAACATGCATCTACAGACCTAAACTTTGGTACGACGACTATCTGAATATCCTTCCAGGCAGCTGGTGTGTTGTTTTCTAAAAATGACCTGTTGCACATATTAGCCAATGGATAGCATAAAATATCAGCACACTTCATGAATACGAATCTTGACATACCACCCAGACCTGAACTGTGTGAAGGGTTCAAAGACATTTGAGACATTTGAAAATATCTTTTGCCGTGAAATCTGAACAACATTCTTCATTGGACATATACAGATAAAGTGGGATGGGACAGGTGGATTGACATATAAATGATTTGTTCAAAGCATAGACATCAACACCTGCTTCTTTACTAAGGTCTTAACTACCGGTGAGGTCTTTAAAAAGCTTCTATATGCTGGAAGAGCCTTTGAATGACAAACACTTCTGGTTGTACAGTAGACTCGGAAGTTTAATTTCCAACCTAATTAAAGCGTCGAATCGATGAGCACCAGCATTATCACTTACTTTATATAGTCTCTTTTACTCTTCGTAGTTTCTTAAGCTAGGCAGAAGATCTACGATTTATTGATTACTTCTATTATATTGACATTGTTATGGTTACATCAGATTCCTTTCTGTGTAGTTCTAGATACCTGTTCACCTAAAAGATATCCAACTCATATGTTTTAGAAGTCAGCATAGTTCACTTTCGATGATAATCTAATTTTTCCCTATGGAAATGTTTCTATATTGATAGGGATGAAAGAATGATTCCTAATACTTCAACAGTCATTTATGGTGGTTAAAGTTAGTTTTCGTGACAGTAACCTAATCAACTGATGATCCAGTTTCATTTCTAGTAAGCATATATGCAATGAAACACGTATAACCATTTTCATAATCAAGATTATTTTAAGTTTTTCCCTTTGAATTAACTTAAAATGTACAAT